AAAGTCAGGGGATCTTGCGAATAGAGTAAAAATTGCAATAATCTCCAAGCTTTTTGCTTACGCGGACCAGGAATTTTGTCCAGGATTCTCGCATAAGTTTCGTCCAACGTTTTTGGCAAACTTGCCAGGGTTTCTTGTAGCTGTTCGCCGTCGCAGCAGTCTTTCAGAGTAACGAGTTGGCAGGATACCCAGCGGAACCTATATCACCGGTCACCAAGTAGTCTTGGAAAGCTTTCTAGGAAGCTATTTACTCACATACCGTCAGCATGACTGATCAAATGTTTCTCAACTTTCTGTCGAGAAGTTTGGTCGTCTTTCCATTCACACAAGTCATCCCAAGTCGCAATCGTTGTTTGGATGAATGACTGTATGTCAGCATCGACATGTTCGTTGCGTACAGAAATCTGCATATTTTCTGGAATGGCTTCCAGAGCTTTTCGAATGTTCTTCTCGTCACGGCTTGTAAATATGATATGAAAATTGCTTTCCCAGGATTTCAGAAGGGTTTTGATCCATGGGAGTAGTCCTTTGTTCTTCAGGGCTTGACCCTCTTGACATTCGTGATTGGTTTCCCATTCGTCAAGAGCATCTAGTACAATCCAGACTTCACCAGTCTCTTTTACCATGGCTTCGAACCAAGAGCATAAGCAGTTGGTGTCAGGTTGCGCCAAATTGTTCGCTCTGGAGTCGAAGACTGAGTTGAGATATACTTCAGCGGGCTTGCTCTGGCAATAAAGTTGGTACACGAGCGATCGAACGGCCATATCCAATGACTGTTTTTTCGTATCGGTGAATGTGAAATAGAAATACAGGCAGATAAGACCGCCGTGCTGTAGATCTGTGATGATCCTTGAGCTCAAGATCGTCTTACCACATCCTGGTAAGCCATGTAGCCACAAGGCTGAACGGGATTCCGTCTTCCATTGCAAGTACTTCGGGCTTTCAAGGAACCACTGGCATGTGCCAGCATGGTGGAGATTGGATGCCTTGTTGTGGTCGATTGATGGGTCTGGTGCAGAAAGCCACGATCGAAGCTTATCGAACCGATCACCAGCGCTCAGCTCTTGAACTTCCCAATGTGTGTCTCGTGGTTGCCTCGATCTGGGAAACTGGAGTGTATGTGAGAAACAGCACGTGCATCGGTGAATACTGTCTACTGACCTATTCCTATAATCTCTCCTATTTGCTTGGTCTGTACCACATTCGTAGCTTCCATGACCAACAGGAGCTCTTTAGCATACGCAGCAGCAACAATGGCCGCATAGTTTTGCCACCTATCATTCTTGTGGCTGTCTGCGTAGTCACAAACTCCTCTTATCACGAGACAGGGGAAGTCATTCATCAGACCGGCCGCCTCCATCTCAAAACAAAGACATTTTGTCTCAAGCTTTTGCAGGATTTGGCCTCGGGAAACGCTTTCTTTGACAATTGAATTTCCAGAAGCAATGGTGCCATAGTGTATCTCAGGGTCGGTGTCGGGTCGATTGTCTCTTGTGAGTTCATCTTCAGGATTGCAGTGTACGCAAGTCTCAGTCTTCGTAATGCTTTGGAGTCTTGCTTCTCTGGCCTGAGATTTTGTGACCAATTCTGCACCACTTCTGTTCTTTATAGACCTCCATTGAGAGAAGAAAAAAAACATGATCATTCCCCAGATCCAGACTGTTGAATTGTAAAGATGATGGTAGGAAAGCTGCGCGAACTTCATCAGGACTTGCTTTTTCGAATGTAAGGGTCTCTGAATATCCATGACTTGCATATGTATCGATGACGCTGCGAATAGCCGATCGTTTTGGAGTCCTTGATGAATGAACGCTGCCTCTTTACCGCGCGATTCCGCCAGTCGTGGAAAGAGTTTGAGTGCATCAGCCAGTATTCTTGGTAACTGGCTTCCATTAAGCCGCTGATCAGCTTTCAACTTTGCCAACCCTTTGAGCAGGACTGCCGGTGGAGGAGCGAGCGAACCAACTCGCTGGAATTCGCCGTGTGCCTTCAACTTCCCCAAATCGTACTGTACGACTCCCGAAGACCCATCAATGGGCTGGCTAACCACAACATCGCCGAGACGAATATCAACACCGTCTTCTAATCTAGGAATCCCGGCACCGATGCCGACCATGAGACCGAATCGGATATGTGGAAGTGAGAGAATCATGCTGGTAGCGGTCGTTGCTGCAGATACAAGGCCATAGCTTCCTTCGGCCAAGGATGCGATGATCACATTGTGAGCGCCGATGCGGCCCCATGAGTAGCTGTTCGTATCTCGTTGATTTTGAATGAAGTTTTCTGGTTGTCGGTGACTTTCGTCAAGCATAGCAAGCGCGGCCGTGAGTTCTGCGTTCAGAGCGGCGATCCACCCGATGGTGTAGGCCCGAAAGTCAGGAAGTCGTTTCTGGTTTATCATATTTGTTTCGTTGAGGGGGCCCAAGGTCCCGCGTGATAATGAATCGATCCTCAGAGAAACTTTTACAAATAGCGCGAGCTGCTCGCGGGTGGTTCAAGAATAAGTTCGAAGTGGCATTGTCTGAGGCAAGTAAGGCTCTCAGGTTCTATAGCAGCAGAGATCGAATATGTGCGGCGCAGCGACAGCCGGACCAGTTTCTGCGCAACACGTAATCTCATGATTGGGATGGCTGGCCGGCCAGCAATGAGCTGCATAATAAGGTGGATTGCGTGACTGCTTGAGCCAATGAGTAAAGAGTTGGGAATCTGTACATTCTGGCAGCTATGTTGGAACCGGCATGGCTTTCGCTTATCTTGGCATAGAATAATATTCGAACATCCCTCCAATGACGGCAATTGTCAAGCCATCTTCTATTCTGAAGTCTTGTAAACCATCGTGTATTGTTTGAAAAAATCCATAGGTGAAGTTTCATCAATTTCTCTTGGCAAGGGCGTCGAACAGCGTAACCAGACCTATCAAGAGAACCCCGGCCGTCACGACAGAGCTACCCACCGTCGCCCTAGTCTGAACACTTGTCTGCACATCCGCCTCATACTTCAGAACCGCAACATTGACCAACCCATGCCGGTGGCAATGCTGATAATGGTCGGCAGCAGAACGACTATCGAAATGAGAGTGGCATCCCATCCGACTACAAACCTTCAACCCTTTAGCGAGTCTGCTTGGGCAAGACCCCGGTAGACAGAAGTGCGTCGCAGCTCCCGTATATTCGTCCGAGGATCATGTCCAGCCGGTATTCTGGTAGGAGTGTCGTTCTCTACTAGCCTCAAGATGCGCTGGGGAACGTCGAAGACAGACACTATTGGTCCCTTGTAACATCGTCAGTGATCTGTATGTCATGTTAATGAGCTAGCTAGAGACCGTCATCGGCTACATCTTATGCTTTATCAACTTCTTGACTAAATGAAGCTTTCGCTTACCTCCGCGATCTCGAATCTAACCAGCACCTTAGGAAGCAGGGCCTGGGACAATCCGCCCTCGAGCCTAGACAAGCGGTAGAAGAAGGAGAGGTGTTTCCACAAGTGAAGGTCATCCATACCGGGTTCGTCGGGACCTAGAAGCCGAGCTCGGACGCAGTCGGACGGTCCGATGAAGACGGGGATGAAGTGCCCAGTGCTTCAGTCTCCAAGCTTCATGATAGTCTCGAGAGAAACGTCGTCGACGAATGGCGAACAGGCAGTAGGTGAACCAGAAGTATGACCTGATGGAAGGCCAAAATGAAGAGACCTTCGACACGATGACTAGACAACTTGCGGCCTTTTCAAATAAATGAGCCAGTCTCTGAGAAGTAGATTGATCGGGACGTTGGCCTAGACATGGGTAGAGCTTACGTAGTAATGGCCAACACTAGAAAGCAAGGATCCGATTGTGAAAGTGCCACTTCCTATCCCAAGTGTCCTGAAGATGAAGGCAATGATCTGAACCATTACAACGGAGATGATGACTAGGCTAGGACTGAACCAGACAGAGTAGAAGATGAAGGAATAGACGGCAATCGAGTTGCAGAATATGAGGCAGGCCATAAGACGCCAACTACCGAGAAGTTTGGGAAAGTATGGTGCCGGAACAGGCTGCGTAACTCCGTCGACGATGAACGCATTGATGGTGAACCCGTGAGGTCGCGTGGGATACAATTGTCGGTACCAACGAACAAGACGAATGAGGAACGCGTTTCTCCTGGCTAGACGACCAACAAGGCTCTCGATATCCATGACACAAAGGTTGTCAAGTAGTGCCTGAGCAAGTTTGTGTTATCTGGCTGTGATGAATGATTGAAGTAGGACGAGGAACACGAGGCTGCAATAGTAGTCACTTCAGTGTCTCTTATCATATGACCATGACCATGAGGCCACGGCTGCTCGTTGCAGGGTCGTGACAGGGATAGCATGGTTGGTAGAGATTATTCGAGCTGGAGCTGAAGATGGTGGCTCACCCGATCTAGTGATCACCCAATAGGACATGGGTGACGAAGCCGATTTCTTTCCTGCCCGGTCTGGATGTGAGCCGCAACGAATTAGATTCTGTCTTGATGTGCTTAAGGTCGTGAAGCTGAAGGATCGTACTTTAGGTAGTTGGTCGAGAGCGAGTTCTCTTACTCGCCGGCACGAGGAGGCAGATTCTCCCATAGGTTCTGCCTGTAGTCGCAAGGAACGGCATGCAAGGTGTGATACTGCTCAGAATTGACAAGTATAAATTGTTCGCTAAAACGTAATCTTGGTACCGGTGTGTTTCGCCGCAGTACCCGTCAACCGCGCAACCATGAGATCGTCCTGCGCCTTGAGCTCGCCCGCAGGCTTCTCCGTCTTCGGGGGCCGGGGCGCCCTCGGCTTCCTCTCCTCGGTCGCCTCCTCCGTGCCGTCGCCGCCCTCCTCGCCGTCCCGCCTGGACTTCTGCTCCTGCCTCTTGGGCGCGTCCTTGCCAAACCGCTTCTTGTACCTCGTCTGGTCGTCCTCGGCGAGCTCAATCTTGAGCATGCGACCGAGCAGCTTGTTGACCCACCATTTTCTCAGCTTGAACTTCTTCTCCTCCGTCTTCTTATCCTCCTCGCCTTCCGCCATCTCGTCGTCGCCGTCCTTGTCCTTGGAGGCGACGAAGTCGTCCTCCGTCTCGATCTCCTCCTTGATCTTGACAAAGCCCTTGACGGCCCAGCCGGCGGCTTCGGGCTCGCGGAACTTGACCCAGCCGTATCCCTTGCACTTGCCCGTGTCCTCAAAGGTGGCGACCTTGACCCAGTCGATCTGTCCGCACTTTTCAAAGTGCTGCCACACGTCGTCGTCGGTCGTCTTGAAGCTCAGGTTGCCAATGAAGATTTTGCTGCTCTTGGGCACCTCCTCCTTGGCCGCCGCCGCACCGGCAGCGCCACCGGCGGCAGCAGTCTCCTCTTCCTTCTTCGGCCGGCCCTCGAACGACTTGGAGTCCTTGATGAGGAGCTTACGACGGCTCAGCTCGGCCTCGGTAAGCGCAATGGCGGCGACCTTGGGCGCGACGTCGTTGAAGTCGACGTAGGCGAAACCCTTGTTGGAGGGCTTGTCCTTGCTGACCTGCTTCGTCGTGGGCATGTGTAATCTCGTGATGGACTCCTTGGTAATCATCTCGCCCGAGTTATCAATGAGCCACTGGCGCAGCTCGTCGGGGGTGACGAAGAAGGGCAGGTTGCCGATCCACACGCCGTGCTCGGAGCGGGCGGCGGCCTTGGCCTGCTCCTTTTCCTCCTTCTTCTTGGCTTCCCTCTCGTCATCACTGTCAAGCTTGACGGGGAGCTTCTTGCCCTTCTTCAGAGCACGCTTGGCGCGCTTGGAGGGGGGTTCGGGTGCCTCGAGGTCGACTTCGATCTCCTCGACGGCGGCGGTGGATTTGCGCTTCTTGGACGACTCGGGGGATTGTGATGGCGCATCTTCGACTTCAGCTTCGGCCTCGGGTTCGGCCTTGGCCTTGATCTTCTTCGACCGCTTCTCTGAGTCGGTGGTAGCCATTGTGAATGTTGTGGGAGCTATGCGATCCCAAAGACTGATTGCGCTCCAATAACGACAAAGGGCAGTTCGAGATGTTACGAGAAACCACCGTGAGAATCTCGCATTGAGACCCTTGGCCGCTTGGGCCCAGAAGTTTTTTTTTTTTTGTTCCTGGACCACAATCGATAAGCCGATAAGAGAATATAGGCGGAACCTGGTGGGTCTCGACCGCTCCACCCCGCCGCCGAGGCCTGCTCACCGAGGTTGACCTTGCCGGGCCAAGGTCAGACGGATGTACCCAGACATGTAGCGGTACTTGGTGGCAGCTTGGGCTGCAGAGAGCTGACTTTGCCTAGCGGTCGAGGAGGTTGGCACTTTGCCCGAAAATTCGCGCCCTGCATTTTTGGCAGGACTTTGAGTCCTATACGTGTGACTAAGAAGCGGATACAGTAAGGCAGTCTGTGGTCATGATGCAGAAGGGGAAAAGAAGAAGAAGAAGAAGAAGAAGAAGCGGTGACTGAGACTTTTTTCTCTCGGGCTTCAGATCTGTGTCTCTTGGTCTCTGTTATTGCTCTCCCTTTGATTATGCATATGGCTGTGTGTGTAAGTCATCATTTCTCATCCGGGTCGGTCTGTCTTGTTTTGATTCAGAAGAGAGCAGTGCGGCTCAATGTAACCCGACGCAAATGAGGAATAAAGTGCCAACTAAGGACTTGTCGTCAAGGACAATGAGGGGCATCCACTTTGTGGCCGGGGAGTTCCAGGTTCTTTGCTATCAAGGGACGCTGAAGAAGGTTAGAGGGGTTGGAAGGCGTTCATGGATGATGATGCGAATGGGGCCACCCGCGACCCGCTTACTGTACTTTACCTAAAGTGCTTTTTTTGCTTGGGTATCCGTACGGAGTAGAGAGTTGAGATGAGCATCCATTGGCTTGTCGACGCCGCTGAACTCTGTCTGACAAGCCATATTCAATCATGGCTGAAGGTTATTGTGCTTTGACAGTTCGCATCCGCTTGAGATATTACCCTAGAGTAAGGTACTTTACTTCCGGTGAGTGTGCGAGGTATCAAAGTCAGCTGAAAAGGAGGCTGAACAGAAGACCTGAGAGAGTGGAGAGTTGTACCTACCTACCTTATGTAACTGCTAAGCCAAGGTACCTTGTCTTCAGAGTGAGACTCTCGACTCAAGAGGGAGAGAGGGAGAGTGAAAAAATAGTCAGAGACAACCCCCCACCAGTAGCAAAGGCGCCAACGCCGCCGGATTGGCGCCCCCCATCATCCACTCACGTGCGGGCGATTCCCGACGAATAAGATCCGCCAGTCACCTGGACGAAACCGCCCAGTGGCCGCCATCCCGCTGCCCCCTGTCACAACAACTCGCAGAGTGCAGAAGTGACAACCAATGCCGGCTCGGTAAGGTGTGGTCGTGTGCCTTCCCAATGTACCGTAAGTACCTATACATTCCTGCGATTGGTGGATGGTGCCTGCTGTTTCGGCATAGGGCATCCATCGGGCCCTTGACCGCTTCTGTTTAATATTACAGGCGGCTTGCAGCAGCTCGACCCAACGACGCTGCACCCTCTTTCTCTACCTAGGTACTGTAGGTTCCTCTCTACTTACTCCGTAGTACGCGGACATCTGCAAGCTACTGTGAATGCAGTCCAATCCCTAGCACATCTCTGGATCTATATTCGGACCCAATCCCTTTTCGATCATTCCTCTATACTCGGGCAGCCTGCAACTCGGCACAGAGAGTGGGTTAGGTGGGCATCCCATCCAGCCAACGCACGTTGCTTAGCTGGGTCTAGGTGGTTCCAGCGATCCAGTGACCCAGTTGCAGGCTTGCAGCAGCAAATCCCACGCCGCCATCTGAGCAAGGTCCAGCAGGCCCAAGCCTACCAGGTTAGTCCCCAGCAGCTTAGTACCACTGTAAGGAAGGCGACAGGTGCGGTACAAGCACTGAAAGAGGAAAAGGTCCTTTTTTCCCTTTCCTCCAGTCCCCTTCGCTTCCTCAGGTGTGCAGCGGGTGCTATCCCTCGCTCCGTTCGCCTCCATCGTCCTTCTTCTCCTTTGCCCAAATCCTGCTGCCGACTACTCTTCTTTCCCCTCACATTCACCCTCCTCACAAAAAGCCCACAATAATCAATCCAAACAAGAACCCGTCCTCCCGTCTTCTCCCCGACACTTACCGCCCGACCGACTCATCTTCAATCAAAGCAACTCGAGCATCTGGTCGCACCTAGATTGTTGTCGTCGTCGTCGCCGTCGTCGTTGTTGGTCGCAACCGTCGTCGTCAGCCAGAGTCAAAAAGCAGGAAGCCTTCCGCCCGACTCCGACTCCCCGATCTTTCGGATTCAATCACAACATGAATGTGTTGTTGTCGCCACAACCGCCTCTCTTCCAACATCCCCACGATCCAAACCGCATTTCCCCTTCTCGTTCTTGTGAGTATTTTCCTCGCCGCCATTTCCTCTCCCTGGGCTGGCGTAGCATGGGGCGAAGGCAAATCTCGATTTTGTTTCGCACCCGCTACCCGACGACTCGTGCATCCTTGACGCTAACCCTTAAACAGTGAGCCCATTTCACAACATGGCCACCAGCCGCAAGCGCAAGGCTGACGAGGAAGGCGATGAGATGTCCCTCTCCCCCCGAAGCTCCCCTTCTACCTCATCAAGACAACTTCAACGCCCGTCCAAAAAGGTTCGCTCGAATGAACTGGTCGGCCGCCCACTTACCCTCCCCCGACTCTTGGAGACTCTGGATCCGACCGCATTGCGAACCGTTCTCGAGCGAATTTGCGAGCGTCACCCTGACATCGGCCAAGAGGTCGTTAGCAGTGCCCCTCGCCCGACAGTCGCCGCTGCACACGGCGTTTTGCAGGAGTACCAGGACAAGGTGAAGGCCGCCATTCCGTACGGAGAGACTAGTGCCGACTACACCTACTACCGGGTTAAGGCGCCCCTGACGGCTCTTATCGATGCACTCCTCGACTTCACCCCGCAATACCTCCCTCCCAACGAGAACCAAGCCACCGTCTCGCTGCAATATCTGGACGGAGCCACCAAGATTATCCATGCCCTTCCGGACTGGGAACCTCAACAATATCGACACCACAAGGAGAGCGCATATGACGAAATTGCAAAGGCCTGGGCCCTGGTCATCAACGAGGCTGCTAAGCGCGGGGGCGGTCTGAGCCTGCACACTGGAGGATGGGACCAGACCCTGGCGAAACACCACGAGATCTCTGGCGGACGCATGGGCACGGCAATGAATGCTATGGCGGCGAGCGTCAGCTGGATGGCGAACGGGGGCTCTAATGGTCAACAGCCCGGAAACCAATCCTCGGATCCGAACTCAATCCTCAACCAGCTCATGTCTGGCACATATGGCGCACCTGTGCGTGTCGGACCTTGGTAGACCTGGAGCGACGAAAGAACAAAATCATCCGAACGTCAAATAATAAGCATTGCCGCGACATCGGCCACGGTCGGCGGCACCCACTGAACATATCACGACGACTATAACGACGGCTTACTTCCTTCATTACTTTATTCAGCATGGGACGGCAACGGGCATAGATTTTGGGTTCCACGGACAACTTTTCTGTCAGGACCATGAGGGGTTGGGCGGCGTTTTGCCATTTTTCATTCATTTGATGATATCCCTTTCCTGACGCTAGTTGCGAGTCTTCTCGCGGTTGGGAGCTGGGGTGTTCCTATTTCCCATTCTCTTCCTGCGGTCGACGAGGAAATCGAGTCACGCACTTCGCATGTAGGTAGTTAGTTTTGGTTTTCTTAAGTTTCAGGGACAGCATCTTGGGGACAGCAAGCAATCGATGATTCCGTCCGCTTGGGAGAGTTCAGTCCAACCATGACTTATAATCATCGCCCTTGATGGAGACGCTGCGTCGGTTGATGGAGGATGAGTGTGTGAGAGAGAGGTACCTTGGAATGAGAAGAAACGAGTCCACGCTCGAGTCGTGCAGGGCAGATAACGGTTTCACAGCAGTTGGCTACCTCATGTTAGTGTAGCATGAAATTAAGGTATTAGCACGTTGTATCCATGCAAGCGTACGTGTCCCACGAGTCGCTTAGTTTGCGTGCATCCAAGACGGCACATCTGTTTCAACTGCCCACTGAGTCGGTGACATCCGCGATGGCCACATGCGTTCTCTTTTATAAATCGAGGAAGAAAACGGCCTGCAGCATTGTTGCAGGTTGCATGTTTGCATGTTTGGCGTTGACAAACACATGCATTCATGAGAGGTAAGGTGCAATCTGACGATGAGATACCTTCGTACGGTCAGAGTTGTGTGGGTGTTCATTCTGATGCAACCCCCCTCTCCTCTGTGCGTGCCTGATCATCGTCAGCTTTCAATAGATGCTGTGCCCGGACCAGCCGCGGATAGCTCCTCATGATCGTCGCTACTCTTCTCGGGCTGCCTCTTTTCTACTCTCTGCCGACTACCTCATGAGCGAGACCCTCAGGCCCGGCGAGATGTCTAGCTAACAACTTGAAATTACTCGTTTCCTTTTCCCTACTCGTGCGCTTTGGTCACGTTACACCAAAACACTCCCACCTCTCCGCCCCCTCTCTCCCTCTAATGTTTGTCGTGGCCTGTCCCTGTTCAACTTCTTTTTTCCCCTCTGCGTGTGTATGGTATATCGCGTGTTGTGTGGTTTGAGCAATAGACTAAACCCTTCTGGATGAATTGGACTAGAGTCAAGAAAGGGCTGAAACTCGTCAGAGATGATGCACGTCTCTCGCTGGTGGTGATGAGATTGGATCCTCCTCCCCTTTCACCGATTACGAGATGACCCTCCAACCTTTGCGGGCATTTGGGATGCACCTGACATTGGCCGCGCCCGCTGTGCTCCCACACACACTGTTTGGCTGTTCCAGGGTTCCTCCAGGGAAATCAAAGCTTTCGAACCTCGTTTTGGCGGCATATAGCGGGGTAGGTTTGTGGAGGCTCTTACTCCAACCGTTCGCTGTTCGGACGACAGCGGCAGTGAACTCTGAGGTGATGGTTCAGGTGCCACGGGTGCCTAGGTCCCCTCCCTTTCCCCCGCCCGCTTTCTTTTCAGGTACTTTGCCTCCGAAAGTACCTGCTGAGCCTCCCCGGGGGGCTAGGCCTCAGCCCTCCCGTCAGGAACAGGCAGACAGCTCCAGCCAATGTTAGTGGGGGCTTATGTCACATCTCCCAGTCACATGACTACCCGTCATTGCTGCCTCCCGCGCTCGACTCGACGCGTCAAGGCAGGCGTTAATTGTGAATGCGCGACATATCTGTTGCACCTCACTTCTTTTAGGCAGAGAGCCCATATTTGCTCTGCCCACGACGCCCAGCCTTCCGTCTCGAAGGAATCTGTTCTAGCTCCGAAGTTCAGTTCGAGCATTTTTATCCCTTGGATCTGTGCGAAAGAGACGTCCTGTTCGACAAGATGCCCGCGTATGTTTGCCACTTCCCAGACGCGTCTCGTCCGCTGACACACTCCACCATAGCCCGGGCGATCAGCACAGCATCGTGGTGAACCCTTTCGAGGAGCCACAGAAGCGAATGAGCGAGTACACGGCACAGGAAATCGCTACTTTGCAAAGTCGCCTCGAGAAGCAGCTCGGCCCCGAATACCTATCCTCACGCTCCGGTCCCTCAGGCCAAAAGGTCCACTACATCACCGCCGAGAAGTGCATCGCCCTCGCCAATGAGGTATTCGGCTTCAATGGCTGGTCATCGTCCATCCAGAACATCCAGGTCGACTTTGTCGACGAGCACCCACAGACGATGAGGATCAGCCTCGGACTCTCTGTCATTATCAGGGTGACGCTCCGCGACGGCACGTTTCACGAGGATATTGGGTATGGGCATATCGAGAACTGCAAGGGCAAGGCTGCGGCGTTTGAAAAGGCGAAAAAGGAGGGCACCACAGACGCGTTGAAGAGGGCGTTGAGGAACTTTGGCAACGTGCTGGGCAACTGCATATACGACAAGGATTACCTCGCCAGGGTGATCAAGATGAAGGTTGAACCGAAAAAGTTCCACGAGGACGACTTGCACAGACAACGAGACTTTGTCGTCAAAAGGGGGGAGGAAAAGGCACCAGTGGCAACAGCGGCACCACCAGCACCACCCGTGAAACTAGAGGCCACGGAATCGCTCGAAGACCTGATGGACGAAGGTAGGAATTCTTGAGTGTGGCTGATGGAGCGCAGAGCTCTTTTGCTGACATGACTAGACTTCGACGATGTAGACTTTGCCATTTCCGAAGGCGATCATCCCGACGAAGTTACTCTCCCGCCAACAACGAACGGCAACTCGAACAGTAGGGCTGCAAGCGTTGCCCCAGCGCCCGTGCCTCAGCACATCCAAGCACCGTCTCGACAAATGGGCAGGAGCACGTCAGCAGGAAATTTAGGAAACAATGGAAATCAACGACCACCTCAGACACCAAATCAAGCACAATCACGACCGGGCCCTCCAACAGGCTACGGTAACCGACCTCAACCACCAAACCAACCGCGCGCACCCACGAACCCGTCAGGCCCCTCCGCTCCGCTCGCTCCCCCAGCAAATGCCAATCTGACCACGCCAGGCCAGGCCGGCAATGTTGCTGCCGAACCCGTCGGCTTCTTCTCTGCACGTGCTGTACAGCAAATCCCAGAATCTGCTCTGCAGGGGAACAATGCTGACGCCCCCATGTTGCTGCCAGCCGGCCAACAAGCCTTCAATCCAAAGGCCGAGAGCCCATCCATACGAAAGACCCCCGGCATAGACCACTCGAGCTCGAAGCCGCTCTCTAGGTCTGGTCAACACGTCCCGCCCACCCCATCGCAACAGCCATCTACGTCTGGTTTCACGCCGGTGAGACCGGGTAACGCCGGCCCGGGAGGAGGGGCCGGCATGCCTCACCCTCAGTTCAGCCAGACTCGCCGTATCGGAGCTCCTGGAGGCGCTGGTAGTCCCTTGGCCAACCGGAACTCGTATCGACCGCCCACGATGAAGCGTCCTTTGCAGCAAGACGGCGCCGGACGACCGGCGCTGGCTGATGTATCGAACAATGGAACGTCGGGCAACCCTCCTGGCGCACCGGGAGCAGACCCGAAACGTCAGAAGATGGCTTGAGAACACGCGATGTTGCTGTGATCGAGCCTGTTTATTAGTTTGCTTTGGCCTGGAGCTTTGGAGTCTGGTTCGCTAAAGAATACTGATGGCATAATCATGTACGGAGTTTCTGGAGCTGGGTTGGCTGACGTCTGGCCATTGCGCCTTAGACAATCTTATGGAACATTATTAAATACTGTTTTCTATCATGCCGATTCGGGATGCCCTTCGGTATTGGAGTCGAAGAGACCTGCGTGATTATTCTACACAAGGCAGTGGCTCATGGTGTCTAGCCCTGCTTTCGACTACGAGTGGAAGTTAGGTCTGGAGTGAAGATATTGACGAATCTAGACCGATCCATGAGAGCGTTGATTCATCCGCTTGACAACTCAGAGTCATGTATAACGTTGCAACCTGTCACTGAGGTAAGGACGTAAATATCAATTAAAGAAAATGAATTTTATTAAGACCTATACTAGAAGTAATCAATGAAAATTGATGTGGTGTTTTTCTTTTTCCTTTTTTCTTCCCTAGCTTCTCAGGGACTTGGTTGGTTGCAAAGGGGTTTAATGAGAGCGCAATGAATGGGACCCCAGCAGAACTTTTTAGACTGCAACTTCTCCACGGAACCCTACTCGGTGAGAGTCTTCCTCAGTTAGATAATCTAGTTGCTGACAATCTTGCCATCCGTAGCTCCAAGCTGGACAGTTTGGTCACCAACCCTAATGGTGTAAAGGGGCTGGGTGACGGTGTTGACGACGGGTTGGGACAGCGAGAGGCTGTTGACGGGCGCCTGGAAGCCGGCCTTGCGGACAATATTGAAGGCGTCGGTGGAGCTGACCTTGACGGGCCTCTCGAAGGGTGTGACGCCGATGAGGAGGCCTCCGGGCGTGACGGGGCCAAAGTCGAGAGGGCCCTGGGTGCGGATAGAAGCCGTCTTGTTGCCGTCGAGGCGGGCGGTGACGTTGACGCTGGTGAGTTCGTAGGACTGCTCGACGCCGGCGCCGGTCGGGGAGCGACCGGTAGCGCTCTGGAGCTGGGCGGAGGGGAACTGCTTCTTGATGAGGTTGAGGCCGATGTTGACGGCGACGTCCCAGGAAGGGATGAGCTCCTTGTTGCCGCCGGTGCTAGACTTGGCGATCTCGGCCTCAGTGTTGTCCTGGGTGGCCTTGGCGGCGTCGTTGACGGAGAAGAGGGCCAGGGGCTTGAGGGCCTCGGTGGAGGCGGCTGGCTTGATTATGACGTTGCGGACCACGCGGTAGGAGAAGGGAGGGTTTTGCTGGGAGACGGAGACGATAACCTGGGAGTTGCCGGTCTGCAGGGTGTCAAAGGTCCACTCGATCTGGTTCTCGACAATGCTGGCGTTGGTCAGCTTGACAAAGGCCGAGTTGAAGAAGACGTCGACGCTGCCTCCCTGGCCCTTGAACTGGTCGTTCTGGCGGACGGTGAAGCCCTGTCCGAGCTTGGTGATGATGGGCTCCGTAGGGGGGATGAGCTTGACGTTGGGGATCTCGAAGTCGGCCTGTGCGTTGGAAGAGGTCTGGAGCTTGGCGTTGTTGCCGCCGTCCTTGAGGAGAGGCTCGATCTTGACGGTGAGCTGGGTGTTGTCGCCGCCCTTGATGACGACGTAGCCGGAGGGGAAGACGCGGCTGGGGAGATCGATGGGGAAGGTGTTGGATACGGTGTAAGAGCGGGTTCCCTCAGTGACGGGGCCGACCCATCCTACAACCTGGAAGAGCAGACCGCCGATCTGCTGGAGGCGGACGATTTGAATGTCAGTGGTGATGTTGACGGCATTGCCCTGGGCCTTGAGATAGAGGATCTTGTTGTCGTTGTCGTACAAGGCGGACAGAGCGGATACGGGGATAGGAGAGAAGTGGCTGAGGGGCCTAGGGGGCTGTTGGGAGGAAGACATGTTGATGAAGCTAAGGGCTTTCTTTAGACTAAACGAGGAGCAGTGTTCAATTGTTGAGTGTGATGATTAGAGTAGTTGATTGAGAGTGAAGTGAGTGATGATGAGCAATAGAAAATACCTGACTCCCAAGTTCTCATCTCTCCTCTTATACTCGAAACCAAGCGGTATTTTCACGCTCAAAGTTGCAAGATTTTCTGAGTTTTCCGTTCGCTTCGACCTTCACCGACTCTTGGAATGAATCCGTCGTCTCGATTCCTCAATGCGGCCAAGAACCAGCACATCACCAAGCCAAAATGCAGCAAAGGCGCTCAGCCCCTCGTTCCGAGCATGTTGAGCCATTCGTGTTGCCGTAGGCCCGTAGCTGCGTGCCATTTAGAGTTTCACGATGTCTCTCCTGCGGTTGCTTCTGGACCTTCTAGGCTCTGTCAGCTGCATTGCCCATCATGCCATTTCATGACGCCTTGTTTTCAAAATTTTCACGATACCTCCTCAGCCCAAACGGGAACGGGGTCAGTTGATCGTGAGAATCCTCAGAATTCCTGAGAGTCCCCGCCGGATTGAGACTAGAAGCGGGCGGGGTAACCCATCCCGCGTGGTTAACCGTCGTGCCCGTCTACCAGGTGCGTGCCGTCCAGTGTCTCAGTCGTTTCTCAGCCGCACAATGTTTGGTCTAGGCAATTCACTTTTGCAGCTAGAGGGCGGCAAGGCAGCTTCCCCGCGCGTGGCCCGGTCCGTGGTCCTGCATGTTGATGTTTACGGTAACCCGGAACACGATGAAAACATTCCTGGCGGGGGGGTTTGTGGCGTTTCAAAGGGTCCAGCTGAGATGCTTTTTGCCTTTTTTTTCTTTCTTGTTCTCGACCCTGCAAACATTCATTCGCTCCATGTTGTGCGAGAGAATGCGGGTTGAGGATTGCGTCTTATGAGGCCATTCTGAGTACAGATGGGGTGTATTGCGAGATGAGACTTTCAAATGAGAAATTCCTTCTCAATGGTAAAAGGTTGCAAGCCACCCAACGGATGAAGGCATGGCTGCTGCATATGTCAAGACGGGTAGAGCCGGCTGGCGATCTGACCAGGAAAACTTGCGCATCTAGGCCAAGTTTTGCCGGCACGAAATGGAGGCATGTGGTAGGTGGCACCTGCAAAATAGATTTCTTCGGCAAAGTCGAGCATTCCGTTCGTGAATTGAACTTCCTGCCACGCAAGTGGTGGTGAAAGTTGGATATGAATATTGACAGAATATCACTACATGTAATAATGCGGGCTGGCGATGCTCGAGCTGCATGATGTTTGAGAGCATCGTGCCAAGTCTCAGGAAAGACAGTTGAAAGCACCCATCGTGATAAACTGTCTTGGGCGTGAATTCCTACTGTCATCAACTTGCCACACGAGGCGAGTCCTCCGAAACCTACATGCCACCGAACAATGTTGTCAGTCTGTGCATGCATTTCAAGCTGGAAGCATCTAGACTATACGTGGTTTTATCCTCATAGTTGATACCAAATTATTGTGACTATGAAATCCTTCTCCTGGAGGTACACGTAAGTTTCTGCATAGCTTGTTGAACACCCGCAGTGATTAGTATGATATGACACCCAATACCATAGTAGGCGTTTACGAGAACAAAGGTCCAGATAGGTACTTGAGTCCGGTATCACAAGCAATCGTAACTACTTTTTTCCCTGGCCCCAGCTCTTTCGCGATTTCAATAGCTGCTGCGATATTCATCCCCGAAGATGTTCCAAGTATCAGGCCTTCCTCTCTACACAATCGACGGCACATATTCCGGGCGATGCTTTCATCCACAGTGCGGGCCTCATCGTACAATTCTCTTGTAACATGAGGGGAGATGAAGCCTGGCGCGACGCCGTCAACACCGTGTGATCCGCCCTGGCCCTCAGCCAGTAAAGCCGCCGACGAGGGTTCCAGAAGCACCACGCGGACGTTGGGGTTCTGGGTCTTGATAACGCTTGACACCCCCATTGCCATGCCTCCCGTCCCGAATGCACCGCAGAACACGTCAAACCCGTCGGGGAACTGCCGGACCAGTTCGTTGCCAATCTCGGCATATCCAATAAGTGCATCTCGGTTGCTGAACTGGTCGGTGTAAAGGAACTGATCGCGCGAACCGAATTGTGCCGCACGGTTCTTCATTGATGCCATGAGATCCGCTGTGGTATCGCCCGAAGGGCTGGGCGTGATATCGACCGTAGCCCCAAAGGCAGCCATTGTCTGCAGCTTCTCTTTTGCGTATGCGTCAGATGAGAGGGCTAGGAACCTATACCCCTTCACCGCGCAAACAAATGCCAAAGAGGATCCAGTGCTTCCGCCGGTCGCTTCGACAACTGTAATGTCGGGCGTGAGATCGCCACGGCGTTCGGCTTCCTCAACCATGGACTTAGCCATGCGGTCTTTGTAAGAGCCCGTCGGGCTCAGGAACTCCAGCTTGACAAATACATCGGCGCAATTTTCGGGGACGATGCGCTTGAGTTGGATAACTGGGGTGTTGCCTATAACATCCAGGACGCTGGAGTATGGGAGAGGGGGACGCAGTGACATGCTGGACGAGACGGGTTTGGTTGTAATGTAAGTCGGAACAGTGAGTCGTGCATCGATATGACTTACGAAAATCTGCGGGCAATCGATAATTAAATATTCGTAGCAGAACCTGAAGAAAGTATAATTATGTCTGGAAGTGATGCGGTGGCATTTTCCCATTGATAAGCTCTGATCGCAAATGCCTTCCATCTTTCTCCATGAAGTGGATCCATCACAGGGATGTTCCACCTGGTCGCAGCTTCAGAAAAGCTGTTGGCGTGCTCGGACTTGGGTATTCTGACACGAGCATCATCTTAACCTCTTCGGCCGACAGATTAGGTCTCTAGTTCGTGACTCACATCAGACCCCTTGTGGGCTGGATGCTGAGCAGAAGTTCGGTTATTGCAGTAACTACATTCAGAGCAAGATTCAGAGATATAATCCCATCTTCAAATCCGTCCACCGAACCCTAAGAGGCCGACAATTCTTCAAACGAGTGCTAAAACGAAAGGGGGCTGCCTCGGGGTTCGCTTTTCGAGAATAGTAAGAGAGGATAGAAGCAAATTTCCACCGTATAGCGTATACTCATGGATCACTAATTTTGCAACATCTACTCGAAAACAGTATTAAAACATTCTTTGTATCATTTATGATTAGTCATTCAGTGCATAAATATACAGCCCTGTATTATAACGCAGCAACGCAGCAAGATTCCTCAATCCATTTTGCTACCCATAACATCTAGCTTATTCTACTCCCGGCAGATAAACACTCATCTCAAATCCGTTGGCAAATGGCAAAGTCATATTCTGGAAGCCGTTCTTCGGCTCTCGCAAGAATTCCAGCAAATGCTTGTATCCATCCGCCGCTGAGATCGTGTTATCGGTCAGGACTACCGCGCCAGGTCGTAGTCGAGGAAGAACTGTCTTAAGCGTCGGCAAAGCGAGCACCGACCAAACTATCAACGATTTAGCCACACGCAGTCCTCTTCACATTAAATCAGAGTACTAACTCACTGTCAAGAAGGAGAAGGTCAACCCACGGAAGCCTTTCCTTCAATGTTTCAAGTATATCACCCTCACGTAAGTCAATCTCTTGCTCGACCACCGAACCGCACTGTTTCCAATAGCCGCGCGCAATCGCAGCTTTTTGACTCTCTTTCTCCGTCGCGATTACGGTTCCAGATTTGCCCGTGGTAGCCTTGGTCCGAGCAACGGCAAGCGCAAGATAGATGGTGCTGACGCCGAAGCTCGTGCCGGCTTCCACGACGTTGGTGGCGCCCATAGCGTTGATGAGTTGGTACGTAAACCGGCACTTGTCTTCATCCAGTGCGACGAACTTATCCAGCATGAGCTTATCAAACTCGTTCTCGGCCTCTCCCTGGCCATGCTGGTCTTCTAAGTCGCCGATAGCCTTAGAAGAAAATACTCTGCCGGTCTTGGAGAGGACAGCCTCCTGGTCTAGTGACTTCTGGTGAAGCTCAGACAGGAGTTGTAAGATATGCTGAGGTGCATTCATAGTTGCGGGGGCTGGCATGTCGTAAGTCTTGATCCGCTGAGGAGAAACTGAATGTACGAGTGAGGAAGATGCGTAAGTCTAGGGTAGTCTTGAGGAGAATGTTCCTGTTCTCTGAGATGCTTATATAGCCATCGTTTGCAGGGGCGATGCCCTATGCAAATCCGAAGCCGCACCGAGATGTTTGCCCGATTGTGTCTCCCTTGGCTTCTATGCGGAGGGCAAGTATTTGCGAGCCTGTTCCCTGTCAATGAACTAATGGGGTTCAAGAAGTACGGGATAAGCGGGGTAACAGGTTCCCAGAAAGCTAGCGCAATATGCATACGGATTACTTATACGAGTGAGCAGAAGAGAGTATCTGTCTATTACACGTAAAAGTGGGTACGATCACCACAAACTTGTAAGGCCAATGCCATGACTGATCGCAATGAGTCTTGCAGAGCTAGGGCGAGGTGGGAATGGGAAGCAGGTCTAGTTCAGTATCAAATACCCATGACTCATACTGCATGTGTCCTGTCACGGGGCCAACGGCACAGTTTCCGAGCTCCGACCCAGCGTCAAACTCAATCCTCCGCCTTTCGACGTTGTATTTCTGCAGGTTCTCTTACCCGAGCGATGCATTATGAGGTTAAGGAAGTCCGATGTGGTTTATAGAAGATTAGAAGAACACACATGACATTATCTTTGACCACTCTGTTTCTACTATGGTGCTTTAGCTGCTGATTTTCGCAAAGGGTAGAGCTTGAACAGAAAGGTCAAGAATAGAGAGGTCAAGTTTAGTGAGTAATGACGTCGTTGAAAGAAACGGAGTTTCCTTCTTTTAAGCCGTAGGAATGGACTGATCCATTCTCTCACGCAAACCAAGGTACTGGCAAGTCGGACTCAATACACAGCCACCATGGTATCGTTCCCGTTGTATCCACCGGTTCCCGCAGATCCTGCTGGATCCATACGTTCTCAATTACGGACCGCATAACACGTACGTTCCCGACATTCCTGATCTTGTCCATGCGGTCCAGGATGTCAAGTATGTAAATGCGCTGCTCTTCCAAACGCGTCTCGCATGCGAAAATGAACACTGGCCAGGGGCTTGTCGCTACACGCACTTCTTTCATCGCTGCGTATGCCTGCTCCAAGTAGCCAAATCTCTTCTTTTCGTCGCCTGCTGCGGGAACGACACGCTGGAGGTACAGGAGACTTGCCAAGCGATACAATTCCGCAGTAGCTGATGCGTCTCGAATCTGGGCGCTCGTCGAGTGTGCAACTTCGTCAGGGCTTAGAGAGTGTGCTAGGTTCTCCAGCTTCTCTTGTACGACGATCCGGAACTGTTCTGTCTTTCTCTCGATGTCGCTCCTTTCCGACTTCAGGATCATTGTGCGCATTTGGTTGATAAACGATATGTTGTCAAAGACCTCGATAGAGCAGCCAAATAGACCGATAACCTTATTAGTGTTAGCAAAATGTAGATTTGTGCAAGCCTCTCACTTCCCTCGCCAGGCATAGTCTGCAGCTTGCCGGGATATTCAAGTTGGTCAAAGTCATTGAGAGTGCTCCTGTGAGGTTGTGCGAATTCGCTGAGAGTATCGTAATAAACTATCCACCCCATCAGAAACTGGAACACGGGTTGACGTCGTTGATGTGACGTTAAGTTCATCAACATATGCTTGGCGCCGTTTAGATGTAATTGGAACTGAGCTTCATTCTCATCAAACACCCGGTTATTGTTAATAGGGAACGTCTAGCTCAATGCTCAGGTATCGCGAGCTTACAGTGTACATGCACAGCATCATTGTAGTAGCCACATGAGTTTGGGCATTGGGAGAAGAGTTGTCAAGAGCCTTGTATAGGCCGCGAATCGCCTTCATCTTGTGACTTGACGCGGCGTCGGCTCCATGGCGATGATGAGCTGCGATCGCTAGAATCGCACTGCACAAGGCTTGCGTGGGCTCATCCCGGGAAGATAATACCATTGGAAGGATATGACACCGAAAGCCATTTGCCGCCCGAGTCGTCGAGCACATTGGCGCTATGATCTGCTCGTCTGCGAACCGTCAGCCAGAAATCTTCGTAAAGTAACCAGCCAGATTCGCACAGTAAACCAGGAGCATGCCGTCTTCATCTAGCAGGGGTGAGTAAAGGGTGACAGAGGCGCCTGGTCCAACAGATGCGTGAAGCATCACCTGATGCCACGTGACGCGTCGCTTGGTCGCCAAGCGGAAGTCTCTGTGAGTGGTATTGAGGAGCCTGGTCCCAAAAGTCCGGGGGTCCTTTTGAGTACTCGCTTTTTCTACCACAGGGCACACGATTTGATCTTTCTCCCTGCTGCGAAGCTGGTCAGGCCAGTTCAGGCGAATCCCGTAGCCAGCACACGCTCTCCTAGTTCGGACGCAATTATCGCAGTGCGGAATGCTTTTGTCACAGCCAATCTTTCTCTCTAGCTCAGTGCGGGAGTCAGTAGTCAGGAAGCTCAGCCTCGATGACGTCGTGGTCAGTTGCTTACGCTTACAAGTCCAGCAACCCTTATCTGCTTGCATCTTGGGTCGGTAGGCTGTTCCGAGTCTCTGTAGCCGAATGTATTATAGATAACCGTGATCATATCATTATATTGATCGATTGTCTCAAGGTATATTCTAACTCTTCCCAATGTATGCGGGAAAATCCCTTACTTAGTGTGTCGTGATTCCTGCTCTCTCATTGGCCGGCTCCACTATCATCATTACTGTGGGTCCAACATGTCTAGGTACTCTTCTACACACCTCTTTAGATCTTGGCTTGCATTTCTATTCCATCTGTCATGGCATGACGTTAGAGGAAATATCTCTAGCCTTTCTCTAACTCGAGAGTAATTACAGAGATTTCATTCATATAATTTCGTGTAAAGGTTTGTACGATTATATAATTAGTTACTAGCCCTCATAGAAATACGTACCTTTGTACTGACGTCTTGCCGACAAATAGGATAGCTGCCGTGATCTATCGATTTTGATTGAAGCGCTGTCTTTATTTTATTTTTGAGATAGAGTTGCGGAAGTGGAATAAATTAGCATTCTCAGACCTGGGAAACCAACATATCACCCTCGCATCGAAGCTCCTCTGATTCATCGCCTGTCCACACCTCGTAATTGAACCATGGTTCGGATCCTTGATACAAGCAAACTCGGCTATCCCGTCACACGAAAATCTGCCTGGCCCATTGTCGTTCCCAGAATACTTGCAATTCTTACGGCCATGAGCTTAATTCGAAGTTTTGATGCTAATTGGCCAAGGCCTCTCTGTCAAAGAACGGCTTGACGTCGCTTCTCCAGGACGGGTGGCATCGCATACTTTGAACGCCGAGTCTTCTCCATCTCTCTACAATATCACCCACCGCCCACCTCGGCCACCTCTTTCTGCCGGGCGATAGGCGATCTCGTACATGATAGCGACTCCCTCAGTAGGCTTTGGCGGTGGGGGCGGTGGAGGTGGAGGAGTTGGTGCTTTTTGAAGTTGAAGTGCTTAATTGTGGTTTACGTGAAGCCTTTGATGAAGCTGGCGCAATCGTACTCTTCGGCGAGGATGTCGATTTGAGTCGAGAAGATTGACTTGTGCTTGTTGGGGTCGGCCTCACATCTCCTGTGAAGGAGACTGTACTTGCAGCGCCTCGTGGTCGAGATGTGGTACCCGTCTGACCCCGAGCAACGGTACTTCATTTGTGTGGAGAACCTGTCGGGATGGACTGCGTTGAGTTCTGATGTGAGACTTTACTTGTGCTGAGTGAGGATGATTGCTGGTGACCCCAGTGGCTTACTTCCATCTCTTACAAGGAGTGTCTAATTCATGAATAATACTATGATGAATGATATTTTTGCAAGCCTTCAGGCGCTGTGTACAACCTTGAGAAAGTCATTCCGAAAAGGGTTTTCGTAGGACAGCGTCACTACATCAGACAGGCCAGGGCCACAAGCAGACCACGATAAAGAATATGGAACAGGTGTGACTACTTTTTCTTCCCTGAATCTTGTGGCTCGGTTCAACAAATTTTTAGCATTGTCTCTGCTGGTCTATGGTAAATGCAAAAATTGTGGTCCAGACTTTGTGCAGCGCAAGAAGGGTTCTTCAGAAGCGATGGCACGAGCTTATTAGAAAAAAAAAATAGAACAAGCCAAATCTTGACAGGGTGATATCGTAGAGATGAGAGACTTGGGATAGGATAGTTTCAGGATGCTTGAATCTTCAACCATAGGCCGTTGAAATAAATCAATACATTTTAAGCAACGATCAGACCTACCAAGAATAAAGTCATCTACAGCACATCATGTTCTTCGGTGGACTGATAGCAAAATTTAGTATCAGTTAGCAAATATGGTCGGAGAAGAAGAACCAAGAAACATTCTTATTGCCATTTGATTCTACTGGAGGCAAACTCGAAATCCGCATGACACAGTCGAAACTGGCAATAATGGCAAAATGTCAGACACTGCGGTCTTGAACTTAGATATCTCGGCTTGATCTTACCCCCACTTTCTTGAGATCAGATCAGGGCTGATGCCATGGTATATGCTTCCGAACAACGTACGGAGCTTCATGAATGTATTCTGTAATGTCCCCTATTGGTCAATCTATGCAAGGTTCGCCGCGGCAGGACTTAAGGAGCCAGGCTCTCAACAAATCTGTTGGATTTTGAGAAACATTCGACCGAATTTCTCACAAGGCGTGCTGCAGAGTGCTCACTCATCATGGGTATAAGACACAGAAATATAGATATGATAGCTTAGTTAAATTACCCGGCCTTGGAGAAAATCCTCTTAGCAAGTCTGCTGGGTAAGATAAGTGTAGTGACTCTGGAAGCTCAGGGTGCCTCTTGCCCGGGTGTCGCCGTTGGCAACAGTGCCACACTTGCTCACAATAATACCCATATCGACAGCGATATCACTGCAGTATACGCTCGTTTCGATAAACCGCTGTTGGCGTTAGCTTTTGGCTTTGATGTTATGGAACCTAGTGACGAGTGACGACTTACGTTGTTGCAGAGGTAAATGGAGCAGCTGTTGGAGCAGGCTACGCGAGCACAAGTGCTGGCAGGTACACTGCAGTAGTTGGTGCCCAGAGTGATCAGGCGGTTGATGGCGTTGGCGCACTGGGAGTAGTACGCCTCGACGTACGTTCCTTGGTTGCAGTTCCAGTTGTTCTTTGCTTTGAGTAAGCTCTTTGGTCTTCTCTGTTCCAACCCAGGTGCAGTAGACTCAAAAGGTCTACCAGAAAACTTACGGTGGTCTGTCTAGCCTCCAAGCCTCCCTCGGGCTCCTGGAATTCTTCCGCATTGAAGGTAGGGTTGATGGCGAGGATTTGTTCATAGATGGAGGAAGCATCTCCGTGGAGGGTGACGTTCGGGCCGCCGACGACGACAGGGCCAGTGAAGGTCATCTCGGAAATGGGCAATAGCTGATCCTTCACCTCATCGACAGTTCTGAACTCCAAGCCATTGTCTGATGGAGCGGCAATAACCTAGAAGATGTAGTTAGTGAAAAGGCTCAGATGCACTTCTTCCTTGCCTAAGTTGGATCTAGACTTACGGCGGATGCCAAAAAGGCAATACCAGCGACAGTGAATCTCATGTTGAAGGATGTGGAACCCAAGTTATTAAGAGTGGTCAGACTGCTTGGAAGCTGATGATGGAAAGCGGAATGACCACATGATGATGAGATAGTGGTCCGTCTTAAATAGTTTCACGCAAGTCTTGAGTTATTCACTTATCGAACGTATTGAGTGGAATCTGAACCTATATCGTATCTTTTGATGTTGCATTTATCACGAAATATGAACCCTTGGCAAAGCGGCGGCTCTGTTGCCCTGGCGTTTCCGCGATCCTACGTTTGTCTCCTTGGGGAAGCTCAATTACTCGAAGGATCGCGGGCCGCACTAGTTCGTCAGCGCCACACTCAAATGGAGAACTGATGCCCTGCCAAGCGAGCCTTCTATTGGTGACATCGGAAACCCTTATGGAGCCGAATCGCATTTCTTCAATGTTAGAATTCATTCACAGTATCCGTACGCCCCCAGTACGACTTTGACGACGAGCTACTTTGCGGGTGAATACTTGGGGTTACATGTAAGCTGATCCTCCGGGGGCGCGGACCGTCTCGAGGGTGGAGTAGAGCTTATGTTGTGTAATTGCGATTAGGTTCTAGCCAGGAGCATGTGTAAGTATTCAATCGAATCGAAGCGAGTGGATAGTCGCCTAGTAGTATAATGAAGGATAGTCGGGTCCAATCGGCTTCAAGAGACGCAGAAGTTGCAGACACCCTCGCGAAGGATCGATGCAACGTCGAAAATCGGACCATCTCGTATTCCCCTCAACCGTTGACAACTTTAGTTTGCCACAAAGTTGAACTCAGAAAATCTCGCAGTCAAGCTAGAGGCGAGACCAAATGTCACTGCTCTCTTGTGACGGATGACAATTTCGGACACGCGGTATGGCGTTCTCGTATCAGTGCCAAAGACGACCTTGATCGTGATCATGAGACTCTAAGACGATGACTGGGAATGAGGAACACAGATGGCGGATGCGATGACTCGATTGGTATTGCCTTTCGTCTCATTAAGATTTCGTGTATTATGAAGCGAACGGTGCGCGCTACAACAAGCAGGTCTAAACCATTATTCTTCCGTCTTCCCAGACGACACCGCGCCCCGCAGTGGTCTGTCACTGGCGAAAGACGGATCATTCGTCTGTGTCGTAAATTGCAGCTTCGACGCCAGCAAGTCGACGCTGTTACCCGGCACGTAGTCAGCAACTCTGTATCTTGACTTTCGGACAACCACGTGAAAACTTACTACATAATAACGGGAAAGAAGCAACCGAGCGCATAAGCAGCCCGATCCACGTATCTCGTCGCGGGACTACTTTGCCACACGTTCAACGAATGCGTAATCACCCGTATCGCCGCCGCCACGGCCAGCGAAGCGACGCGGATCTCTGTGCTGCGCATCAGGTACCGGATGAAGCTCGTTCGGAGACCGGCCTCCTTTGACGACTTTCTGACTTCGGCAAAGATGCGGAGGAGAAAGTAGGCGCTAACGCACTCGCTGACGGCGAAGAGGCCAAAGTAGGCAATGTGAATCCTGATGATGATGCCCTGGAGGCTGTCGTCTTCCCTCAGGATACGGAGGAGACGGTAGTAGATGATCACTACCTTGACGGCGGTGACGAGAACGAGGGTCGACCAGAATACGGTGTGGAAGACTCTTCGTTTGGTACCCCGCAGAAGTCTGTTGAGGATGATGAAGCTGTAGAAGGGCAACCCTGCTTCTTGTATCTATCGAGGTTTCATTAGTAACTTGAGGTATCAGAACTCCGGAACATGCACAAGACGACTCGGGTGAGCGGGTTGACTCACAAGCCAGCAGATATCGCCAATGGCTGCCGCCGCTGCCCTCTTCGCAAGAGGATACGGCTTGTCATAGTACGCGTGGAAGTAAAGTCCATTCGCGATGGCGCCAGCTGCGGACGAGACGATGGGCACAACTGTGAGCTTGGAAAATGACGTGATTCCAATGATGAGCAGCCCCAAGAACACGTTGAAGACGCCGATTGTGCTTAGCACCGACCAGGCGTGTTCAAAGTACGGAAGGCTGGGCGTTGCACCAAAGGTGGCGTTGATCGTATTGGGCATACCAACGGAGTTCGGTAATGGCACTGGCGACGAGCTCGACATGTTTGCTGCCATCATTGGTAGTGCCTTGCACTATATCCCACCCGGGAGACTGGGTTGGCGTAGAAGCGTGTGCTGTGCGCGTATTCGGGTTTGTCGTCGTCGCGTTCATGTAGTAGTCATCGGAAGCCAAGGGCCTGGGGGTCGTGGCATCTGGCATCTCGCACGGGCGAGAGATTAGGTGGTATCGAACATCGCCAGGTTGAAAGGTAAGAAAGAAGGGTATACCAAGTCAAATATTAAATGGGGCACTCCCGCTCTTCCAGGTTTGCTTTGGCTTTGGGTCTGTCAAAACCCAGGACTGAAAAGCACGCGAATGTTTGGAAGCTTCAGCCCCCTCCCCAGTCTATGGCGAAGTATCATGACTTAAGGTCTCCATGGGAAGCGAACTTATCAGCGAACGGTGCAGGATCACCCAAGTCAAACATTCTTCTCGGAAACTTCCCCTCTCGGGACAGAGGCACAAAGAGGAAGAAGATGGAGGAAGAGATGAACTCAAAAACAGCTTGACGGGCGCGGTTGATGCCACGTGCCTCTCGCAACACAACAGCCACCTACAGGTCGGTACGAGTCATGAAAGACTAAGCAAGTGCAATTGATGGTTTTCGGGAGTGTTGGTGATTGGCCCGATGAATCTCATGATTTCATGTCTTCATCGGCAATCGAAGTTTATGTCTGCCAATGCTTCGTCTCCCAATCAACGTAGTTCTCTACGCATAGCGGCTAGATCTTTAGTGTCGATTACATAAACATTGAAGTTGTTGATGTGAGCAGAGTATCGATAAAAGCCAACTGCTCATGTGGTTTGCCATGTCTTATCTGCCCAGCACTATCTTGACTTTGCTTCACTTGGCCTAGAACACGGCTTGGCCCGAAGTTGTGCGCGAGTAGATGAAACCAAAGCATCCTCACCATTTGATTTCGGTTTGGGACACTAGGTCTCCCCATAGAAGATAACAATGAAGACAATATCGCATGAGTCTACTGACAGAGAGAGCGGGCTATCAACGGACTCCCGGCTACGCGCAGCTGGACCCAAGGCTTCGCAGTTGTCTCAGCTACTCTCAGCGCAAACTTCCAATCAAGAATACTTACAAAGACAGTGTTTACTCTTGAAGTAATGCGATCATATTGCAAAACCCTGGCAGGCTGCCAAATGTCTCGGCAACTTGAGATGCCAGAAAACATCCTGACTTGCACGGCCGCTGGTGGAGGTGCGAACCCGAGTATCGGATCGGCTTGCCGACGGACCAAAGCGTCGGATTAGGTTTACACGGCAAGGTCTCCCGAAGCCCTCTTTGAGCCATCAGCAGCTTTCTTCGGCAGGTTTTAGAGGTTCAGTGCGCAATTTCTAGGATAAGACGATGTAAGGTTCTCGCCTCATTCCTCTCCCTTATCTTCGATATCGCTCCTGGATCAAGCGCAAGAACAGCCAGCGGCGATGGACCGAACGGAAGAATCTCATGACCGGCCCGACTGCCTCACTCAATTCGCAGCGGAAAGATGCCCGCAACCTCCCGAGCTGAGCAGTTTCTGGTTTCGTTGCTCATGCTGGCGAAGTGTATTCAATATGAGATAAAAAAAATCTTCGTCAAGATTCAGGACTTTGTGTAGTCATTCTACATCACACAATTATCTTCTGTTTGAATCCCTCCTTCTTCCATTTTTCTTTTTAGGATCCCCAACGCCATCGCAATGCATTAGATTGACCAAAGATGGTATAGTCGTCGTCCACATGGGCGTGCCCTGTCTCTCCAGACGGAGGAGCCCAGATAATGAATTCCTTTCCATCTTTTCAATGTCTTCTTCTTCCTCCTCTGCTCTTCTCCTCCCCCTAGCTGTCGGCAGTTCAAATGGCGACGTGAAGCCCAACATCGTGGTCCGATCGTTGTCGCCCCGTTATCTCCATGTCCTCGCCTGACCAAGCTCCTCAAAACCTGTACAGTAAAAGGTAGACTGTCCACCAGTAAGTCTCTCGCGACTTGGGACGCCATGTTTTCCAGGGAGTGCCGCGTTGGAACTCATAAGACAAAGGGGTATAAACCCACCCAACCACCCATCAAAGAATCAAAAAGAAACCACAAATGTCATGTACAAATAACACCTCTCTCTCTCCCCCCCTCTCAAGCAGAGCCCAGAATCAAACTCTCCACCATGCCACCCACAGAAGACGCCGTCTGCGCGCGATCAACCTCATTCGTGACCTTCCTCTTGAGAGCCTTGAACCCCTCAAACAGCTCGGCACTATCACCAGCATACTGCGCATACAGCTCCACAAGCACCATACCAACCTCAACGCACACGCTCACGTACCGCGGATCAATAATGTGATCGCACGTCCACTTGAGCACTGGCTGCACCGTCCTCTCATCACGTCCCTCGAGCGCATCCCGCACAGCAGACCGGTGCCGCAGCGCAAGCAACAGCGTCAGCACGCCGAGTGGCGAGTGATCTTTCCCGCGCGGATCAAGCGCCTGGTCCAGCGCGCTCGCGTACCGCCCGTGGCGCAGCGCCTTCTCCCACGCCTTCTCCTTGGGCGCGCTGGTGCGCGCGTCCTGCGCGACAATGACCTCGGCCTGGCCCTCGCCCAGGCTCTCGAGGCGGCGCATGGCCGAGGCTTTGCGCTTCTTGCTCTTGGCGGCCTTGTCGTGCTCGTCGAGGGTGCCGGCGAGGAGGGCGGCCATTTCGCGGTCGCGCTCCTTTTGGCGGGTGGCTTCGGGGCCCGTGAGGCGGGTGCGGATGGAGAGGACGCCGGATTGCATGCCCACGACGAGGTGGCGGTCCGCGCTGTCGAGCGCGTCGGAGACCGGGAGGACGCGGAGGGAGAGGATGGGGGAGGGGTACTTTGTCGAGGAGACGACGTTCCAGCCGGTGGTCTCGAATACCTTGACGTGGCCGTCGAGGCCGCCCGTTACGAGGCGGGTGCCGTTGGAGGCGAGGCTGAGGGAGGTGACGGTCTTTTGGTGGTTGGCGATCTGGTGGATGGGGCGGGCGGCGACGAGGTCGAGGACGGAGACCTGGGGGCCCGAGGCTGCGAGGAGGGTGGTGCCGGAGGACAGGGGAAGGACGGACTCGACGGGGGCGGCGTGCTTAAAGGTCATGACGGCGGCGTTTGAGCCTATTCTCGGGTCCCAGATCTTGACGGTGGAGTCGTAGGAGCCCGAGACGATGACGTTGCCGGCGCCCGAGGGGGAGGTGGCGGGGAAGAACTCTGCGCAGCGGACGTAGTCAGAGTGTCCCACGAACGTGTTGAGCGGGTCGTTGGCGGTGAGGTCCCAGAGGCGGACCGTCTTGTCGTCAGAGGCGGAGAGCAAGGTGGTGGGCTGGGAGCCTGAGAAGCGCGTGGCCCAGACGGGCTGGCGGTGCTTCGTCCATGTCTTGAGGATGGAGCGGGAGTGGGTGTCGAACACCTGCATGCGGCCCGTATCTTCGGCGGCGACGAGGACGCGGCCGTCGCGACGTAGGGAGCCGGAGCGGGCGACGTCGGCGAAGCGGGTGATTGTCTTTTCGAGCTTGCGGGTGCGGGAGGAGTAGAGCTGGACGCGGGTGCCGGTGGTGACAGCGAAGAGGCCGTCGGAGGAGGTCGACGAGATGTGAGTGATTGGGTACGAGGTCGGCGAGGGGATCTGGAGCTGGTTCTTGAAGGACTTCCAGTAGCGCTGCTCGGCCGTCACGGGGGACGGGCCCGAGGGCAGCTTCACCTGCGGGAGGGGTCCCACGGTAGCTGCCATTGTGATATGGTTGTGTGTATAGTTTGAGCCCTTAAGTGGTGTGTTTGGAGGAGGTGCAGAGAGTTGCTCGGTGGCGTGGGAGGGCTTGGTGTTGCCGTGAAGCGCAAAATGTGAGGGTATCGTCGTGATAGACGTTCGTAGTAATTTTTTGGAGTTTAAAATGCTGGTAGGCAAAAAAAAAAAGATTCTCAATTGAGAATTTCTTAGCAGCTAGTCCTGTTGTAGATTAGTGGGTACCCCACATGGACGATAAGATAAGGCGCGGGGCCGGGACCTTCAAGCTTTCAGACCTTCTGAGGTATGAGCACTTCGGGTCCGAAGACTCCCAAGAGCTCACCATAGATAATATTATGGAGAGCTCTTGAAACCAGAAGTTGACAGTGAGCTCTGCTTCACTGAGACATCTGGCCTGAATGAAGACTTCATGACGTGACAGCTCAGTACGCCGAGCTATATTGCAGACTCTCCGTCGCCATTTCAACCATTTGGCATGGCTGATCCAATGTAGCTGGGCTCAGTGAGGAACGGATAGCAATCATCAGTTCAACCATCGCCAAATCTCACACCATCAAATCTTGCTTCAGGGTCTCCATCCAGGACTTTGGACAATATATCGTGAAATACGCAAAGGCACATACCTGTACATATAGGTAGACCACTGCGGGCTTTCCACCACGGCATGATTCCCTCTTATCCCGGTTACCCGTAACGTAGCACATCTATACTCAGTAAACCCTCATCGCGTCTAGAAAAGCATACTCTCACCGCCGCGCAATCCCATCCATTAAACAGTCCCCCAATCTACTTTCTCAAGCCAACACGCGGGGAAAATAGAAATATCACACCGCATCGGCAATTGTACATCACCCGGATTTTCCGACCTCAACCTCTGAGGCTGCATCTGCATCTGCATCAGCTTCATAAAAAGCCAAGGCTGACCTGATGACAAGCACTGCCGACATCCCGCCCATCCAACCACCCACCCCATGTATCATGGGAAAACTCTCACCTCTCCGAGCCGGAGGAGGGAGGGGTGTCGGTGTCTTACTCCTCACCGCCTCAAATCAAAACTAAACTCCAACATTTATAAGCATTGCTGGACAAGGGGCTCCGGCGGTGATGTAAGACAGATTTCAGATCTGCGATAGCTAGCGGATCGACGGAAAGCTGCACTTCATTCACCTACTATAATCCTCATCGCCAGTGTATCAATTTCTAAGAACGAATGGCTCATTGTCCTTCCCAAGACAAAAGTACGCCTTTCGTCTGATGGGAATAAGAGACTGGGCATTTACTGGGAAGAAAACTCTAAAAAAGAAAAAAACAAGCCCTTTCCCCTCCATAGCCCTGAAAATCCTACCTGACCTATACGCAGGATCCTAGAATGCCTTCTCTACTTACTAGCATCATACTACCCTGCCATTCCTCATCAAACTCTAAGCATAGACAGACTCAAAATGTTTCCCCGAGGCTATGTTCACCCAAATCAGACAAAAGGCTTGGCCAAAACCAACAAGTGTCCAAACCAGGAAATGGAAAGCCGACTGCAGGAAAACGGTGTCAATGGCAGTGATGGGGGACCCTGAGACGGTGAGGGGTGTGCTGCGAGGACCGCAAAAACGGAGGGGAGCAGCATGTTTCAGCTGTTTTCCGTAATGCCTCCGTGCATGGCTCGAATGACGTCTTGCGGTAGTTGCCATTCATAAGAGTTGGATCTTCACATTTATTTTTTGCAGAATAGTATGGCAATGTGTGTTTTTTTTGTTTGTTTGAACCTTGATTGAATCCTCATTGACCCGTAATGACCTTGTCTGATCTATTTGACACGCTGATAAAAGCATATTCAATACGACTTGTCGTCGCTTGAACTAGGGTATACCATCCTCTCTTTTTCCATTCCCCCTTTACTCGGCAGTACCGTAAATAGTCTCCATCAGAATACCTATGAAAGGAATTAGCATGCTGCAGCGATGTGCGGTTGTTGTGAGAGTGTGAACGTACCAGTAATTCTGTAGGGGTCGGCATTTGAGGCGGGGCGGCGATCCTCGAAGTAGCCGTAGCCCTTCTGGGCGCACTCTCTGGGAATACGAATGGAAGCACCACGGTTGGCAACTCCGTAAGAGAACGAATCAATGGAACCAGTCTCGTGGCGGCCAGTGAGACGCTTCTCGTTGCCCTCGCCGTAGACCGCAATGTGCTCCTTGTGGCGGCCCTCAAGCTTCTTGATGGCAGCCTCGATGTGCTTCATGCCACCCTCAATACGCATCTCCTTGGAGGAGAAGTTGGAGTGGAGACCGGCACCGTTCCAGTCACCGGGAATGGGCTTGGGCTCAACGGAGACCTTGGCGCCGAACTCCTCGGCAATACGGGCCAGGAGGAAGCGAGCGAGCCAGAGGTGGTCACCCATCTCAATGCCGGTGCAGGGACCGACCTGGAACTCCCACTGGGCGGGCATGACCTCGGCGTTGGTACCAGAGATCTTGACGCCAGAGTACAGGCAGGCCTTGTAGTGGGCATCGACGATGTCGCGCTGGACGACCTTGCCGGCACCAACACCGCAGTAGTAGGGGCCCTGGGGAGCAGGGAAGCCGTTAGCGGGCCAGCCGAAGGGGCGGTTGCTGAGGTCGAGCAGAGTGTACTCCTGCTCGAGACCGAACCAGGGCTCGTGAGCGGCGTGAGCCTCCATCAACTTGGCGCACTCATGTCTGTAGTTGTACTTGTTGGGGGTGCCATCGGCGTTCCAGCACTCAGAGAGGACGAGGATGTTGGGAGATCCACGGAAAGGGTCGGGGAAGACGGCGACGGGCTTCAGGTAGACATCAGAGTTGTCGCCGGGAGCCTGGTTGGTGGAGGAACCGTCAAAGTTCCACATAGGAAGGTCCTCGGGGGTGTACTCCTTCTCCTTGAGAGTCTATGGAGGCAAATTTGTTAGCTACATGATGAATATGCGTTGCGCTATGATGCAAGTGTGAATAGAGGCGTGCGCGGGAGAGCTCGTGTGCCATCTTGACTGTCAAGGCTGACATCATGCGCCGCGCCTTGCCGTCAGGCTGACGATGCCGGGCGGAGCTACCCCCCAGTGGCCCCATTGTGGCATTGCGTGGAGAACAGCAACGACCCTCGGCCGGCGGCTGGCCAACCGGTTCACCGAAGACGCGCCGACGGCCAAAAGGGGGGGCTGACGATGCGGTAGCAACTTGCAAGACCTCCAATACCCGAGCTGCGGCGTTCAACCCTGCAGCTGGAGGCAAGGCAAAAAAGACTTGGAGCCAGGCGGACGTGGGGTGGGGTTCCTTGCAGGATCGAGTCGTGATCGAATCCTTTCAGCCAGTCCGGCCGTGGCCCTCGAAAGAAGAGACCAAGACCAAAGCAGCAGGAACAGGTACGTACCACCCACCACCAGAAACGCGCACTGGAGGGGCAGGTGGTGTGTGTTTTGACCCCCGCCAAGCCCCAGTGCATGTCGCCGCCGCATCTACTGCCGCTTGCTCACCCGCCCACAGCTTTTTGTCCGCTACTCCCAGCCGGAAGTCGGAGACATCCCGTAGGGGATGAATCTAGAGCAAGACGACCCGCTGCCCCAGCTTTTCCGTTGATGCAACCGTCGACACAGATGTAAGAGTGAAGGCATGAACCAGCTCAAACTGTGTCGCATCGCAACAGGAAAGGGCTGGGTGAGTGACATTTTCCGGTGGAGTAGCGGGCTAGAGCGTCTAGAGCACCACGAAGGGCCCGGGGAAAACATGAAAAAGCCAAAGGAGGGAATAAAAAAGACAAGATGGTTGTTGTGAACGTACCCTCGACTTGGAACGGGTCTCGCCATCAGCGTCGATCCAGATGTACTCGGCCATAATTGAGCCCTTCTGGTCAAGCTTGAGGTACTTGGCCAACTATTCTATGGGTCAGCATGATTGCTTATTCGATTTGCGCAAAGCTGACGGCTGGAAGCAAACTCCAGCTGCGCCAAGCTCAGCACGGGTATGTTGGTGTAATCTCACGGTCTCGGGCCTGGAGGTGAAGGCAGCTTCTGTCGCCTGGAGAGAAAAAGACATGTTAGTAATTGTGATCCTCTTCTTCTTGCTTCGATTTGGGGTATTCAGCATCGTGACTCGAGAGAGCAGCAAAAAGCCAGCACTCAGGTCGCGAATTGAATAATATGACGTGGTGGGGTAGAGTTTGGGACTTACCATTTTTGCGGTTGTGTGTGTGTGTAATGTGATAAAAACGGGAAAAAGAACAAGGTCCAATTTGAAGATCAGGGATAGGTTCGAGCAGTAGAGATCAAAAAGATCTATAGGATTGTAACGGGAGGAATAGAGGGATGGGATGTGGAAAAGTAAAGAGCAGGTACGATAAGAGCAGTCGAAGCGGGCGGTTGAGGGTTTTATGTTTTCCTCTGCTTGTCGTCTGGCAAGGAAGGCAGGCGCGGGCGCTGGTGGCAGAGCCAGATTTGAGTGAGAAAGAGGCGGCAGTCCAGTTCGCTCGATGCTCTATTTTTTGCTGGTGCTGCCAGCAATCTGCAAGGTACCGTCGAGATACCTCAGATGTTTCGCAGACGACCGGCCCTGTTGGCGAGGAAAGCTCATGTACAACCGGTACAGAATCGTAACTTTTGGCTCCCGTCTAGGTCTCTCGAGGTCTCTCGAGGGTCCCTCTTTGGTCCTTCAGCCCAAGATAAGGCCTGCCAGTGCCTGCCCATGACGGCGGCAGGGGTATGGCTGGTTCTGGCTTCTGGTATCGATTGCGGTGGGGTGAGAGGGGTGGGCTGGTGGGGTGTGGCCCCGGAAACATGTGTCCTCCCATTCGTCCGCCAGCCCAGAGTTTGGGGGACCACAGATACATGCCAATTCTGATTCGGTTCCCAGCGTCCCACGACGACGATGTCCAGGTACTTTGCCCGAACCCAGAACACCCTCTTCACCCACACATTTCCCGCCCTTTAACCTGCCTTTCTGTGCTGCACCACCACTCCCGTCTGCCACTATCAGACGTCTCCCAAGTATCCCTACTGCCTGGCTACGGCCCCGCGGTCTTCTACCACCGGCATCAAGTCTCCGTGGGAAACGGAAATGCGACGGGCGGACCTTTCACCTCTAGAGGTATCGTCAACTTCCTCTTCTCCGTAAATGGCCCCTGGGAAACTCCTCTTCCGCTTCCACTTGGGTGGTTTTGTTCTGTCAACCCTAGTCTCCAAGACTGATAAGTATGAAAATCACTGATCAAAATGTGTGACGATGACTTCGACGTGCGCCCAGTAGCCCGTTGACGAGCCACTCAGAGGCCGCCCGGCACCGCCCTTGCGGCAGTATCTGCGACTAACTGCTGCAGCTGCGACCGCCGACCCAACAATGACCACCTCGAGAAATCGTTACTTTGTATCCAGGTTTCGTACAGGCTACAGACAACAAGAAAATTGCAGATATATCGAGTAATAAACGGGTGCGGCAAACCGGACTGTAAAGACTCAGCCAGAGATAGAGCAAGGTATCGTGACTGGCGATTCAATGACCAAGCAGGTACCTCTCACCCACAGGAGCCACCGTGCCACAACGCGGGGCACGTACCGATACATGTCATTTACGAGGCCCACGTCCTTCGGTCCGCTGTCCGCTGTTTCTATCCTTGGATCTTTGGGGTGCTCGTGTGCACTGTCGCCCGCCGCCGTGCGCATCGCCTTCGCCCTCGCCGCCGCTGTCGGGTCTCTGGCGCCGCTCCTCTTATCCTTGAGGTACAGTCTTGCAGAGTACCTACACTATTATCGCTGCTCACTGTGGCTGTGGCTGTGGCATCCGCCTTTCGGAGACAGGCCGGAAGCCCAAGAAGAGATATTCCAGGTCCTAGAGTTGGTCCCGTTCCAGACCGCTTTCGATAAAAGGGCCCTGGAACTCTGATGCCCAAAAACGGCTGCTGATGAGTTGGTGTCCAGTCGATTTTTCGTAAGGCCGCGTTTCGTCTGAATCTCGCTTCCAGAACGGAAAGGAGACTGCGTTGAATTCCAATAAACTCTCGTCGTCGTAAATCCCGCGGGCCTACCTAACTAGAGCGCCTCCTAGAACCGGTGCTGGCTCCGCGAATAGCTTGCTGGGCGGTTCTGAATACCCCGAGATAAAGTAGCGTCGCTTGCAACTTGGTTGCTCGGGTTCCACGCCGACGATCGCATAGCCATATTGCGACAGCGTGCATATACCTGGCGCGGAATTTCCTTGGGATGGCACTGTACTCTTCCGGTCAGCTTTTGGGGGTGTCGTCAGGTACCTAAACTTTCCAAAATCTCGTCAGCTTGACGACCTTTCCCTCGAGTCGACTTTCCCAGTTTCCCCGCCAAAGGACCCTAGGTCCCAGGATGACGATACATCGCGCACCAGCCACTCAGAATCGGAGTCTCACACCCTCACCGGCCCCAGAATCGCAATGTCCATTTCATCGCACAAATCTCTTCTCGTTCCGCCGGCGCAACTCGTCGCGGCACGGCGACGCGCGCACTTGCGCTAATTCCCCTATCATCATCAATCTCCAATCCTTGCCATGGCTATGCTTGCCCGCGGCGCAGGAAAGGCACCCATCCTCGAGGAGTTGCTTCCTTCGTCCTGTCGTTGGCACAGCTTCCGCCTACGTCGTGCAGATGGTCGTCTTACGAAAATTTTGCCCGCCTCCCGGTAGCGATATCTCGACGACCCTCAACGTTGATTGTCTCGGTCTTTGTGCGTCTCCTTGTGCGAGTCTGTAACCCCTTGGTGGGGGTATATCCCGGCGACCCTTATTCATTCTCTAAGGTATCTGTACCTCTGTGTCATCGTGACTCCCAAGTTGGACTGGTCCCAGACAAAGCCGTCACATATCCCACCACAAGGCTATCGAGCCTGTCGACCCATAATGCGGCGGCGAGGGGCAAAAGGTGGGGTGTGGTGTTGCTCTGGACCAGATGCGCTCCAGAGGTCAGATCTGTGGTCAGTGCAATGGCTTCTTGTCGGTATCCTGTGAGCGACGGTGTGTTTACAACCAGGCCCGAGTCATTTGGGGGAGTTCGGGGGAAACCCCATATCGCAGCTTCTCTCCGACAGCGGGATGGTCATCTTCCTGAGCTCAAACCTTCGGAATCACTAGTCGACTTGTCCTTCCGGCCAATATTCGATGGTGTTTTCGTCAGCGAACCCCCAAGGAACCCCCAAGCTTTTGCTCCACGAATCGACCATGTCGAAGCTATCTTCGGAGGGATACCCAATCCACATGGCCTGCCGTGACCCGTCCCTGCAAGACCTGAGTGAATATCTGGCTGATATGCAGCCCAAACGTCTTGGACACTGCAGGATGCACAAAGTTGGAGTGGACCGCGTGAAGAAGGCTGGATTCTCTACTTCTTCCTTGTCCATTGCCCCTCCCGTAAGACGTAGCTGAAGGAACGGCATGCTGTCCATTCGTCGCATGTTCAGTCGGTCTCCAGTCGGCCATATCACACACATTCTTCTGATGATGATGATACGGCGTATCAAGGTCGGGCTCCCCCGCAATTTTTGCTCTCGGCAGGGTATTCGTAGGACTGTGGTACCTCCGTCCCATCGCCGGATACACGATTACCCCTCAACATATCCATATGGATAGTCCGTCTCAACACCTCACTCGTCCACCACGGTTGATTCAGGCTGTATGCTGAATGTATCCTGGGAAACCATTGCCGCTCTTAGACAAACTTCAGGTAAAACTTTGATGATTCCATTATGGAACTTGATCTCCAGATGTGACCTGCAGGAGACCTCCATCTCGGGTGTCTCCAAAGCATCAGGTGTGGGACGCTAGTGGGGGATGGTGCATTTTGCATTGCTGGCTTATCGCTGGGCGCTGATTGGTAGAAGCGTAAGTGCAGAATAATTGAATTCTCTCAGGCGCCGTGTCGGTTCGAAGGTCTCCTTAAAGACTGGCGTTAATCTCTCGAGGAACTCCTCAGCTATCGCGGTGCCCTTGACTGCTAAGCACCTTTCCCTCTCTTGCCATTCGCGACTCCAGTTGACGGGCAACGATGTGTAACTTCACGGGGTGTCGTTGACCTCGGTGAAGTGTGTGACAGCTGACAAGCTTACTCGGTGGAGAGCCGCGGCAGTGACATGGGGACGCTGCGAACATGAGGTGCAGTCAGAGGTACCCCGTCCACGGCGGACAATTGCTGTTTGGGTCCCAACCCGAGGGCTAGTGCCGCAATGTTGGATTCTGGAAAATGTGGATGGAGCAGCCATGTTGGGTTTGGGCGCCGGCCCGGCGGGGATGGGGGAGGAGTGTGGATGAATCGGTCGTGTGGTGTTCCTCTCGTTGATTGACCAGGACTCTGCAAGAATCGGTTCGTCTATCAGGTCGCCGAGACCGGGCAAGGAGGAGCAGCGGCAACGGCCGGCAAAGGAGGCACGGCAGCACCACCACGGCCCAAGACTTTTGCGGTCGGCTGCTCCGACGACATTCGATGTCCGCATCCCACACCGGCAGTCCATGGACCAGACCCATCTCGACCGACCGCCTGCGAAGTCCAACCCTCTCTTGTTTTCAACCACGATCTCGCTGGTTTTCGTCGTCGACTTTTTTCCTTCAATCGCATGCGAAAAGTCGTCATTTCCCATCGTCCGAACTCTACGAACAACGGGAATTCGCCGGTCTCGTCGCTGAGTGGTCGGCGTTGACACACAGTAATTCTCTCATTGGTCGGCTGCCACCCGCCACGATCGGGACTTGGCTGAACACTGCCGGGGCACCTGGGCGAGGCATGTCAGGGCCCCCGATCGAGAGTCTCACGAGATCAAAAATGACGTCTTTGGCATGGCCGATTCAGGGAAGCCGAGCCAGAATAGCGGCGATACCATCATGTGCGGTGTCTTTCAGGAGATCTTGGATAGTGCAAGAGGCAGCCGGGAAAGCAGGGCCGGCAGACAAAGACCGCTTCCGTGACGTCGGCCGCGACAAGTGTCGGGCTGGGCCTGAACCTCGAATTCGACCACGACGTGGAGCACCGGAATCGGGAACCGGGAGTGTCTTTCTCACAAGCCACTCGGTTCTTCTGGAACCAATTGTGTATTCCTCAGGGGGGGTTACGGGGTGCATCTCGGTACTGGCAAGCGCCACATGGAGAGGCCGAGGACGTGTGTGCATGGCGACGGGACACGAGCCCACAGCAGGGCGCAGTCGACATTGTTGCCAGAGCCGGGTTGAGTCAGACTCGTGTTCGGCCGACGGCGGTCAGTGGTTATTTTCGGAGTATCGTTCCGGGCCAAGCGGTGGGAGATAAGACGGGAGGACGTTCTGGAACTTGCATGGAGGATATCCACGATCCAAGGGACCAAGTGGAGGGTGGAGGATGACTTTGATGTGTCACAGCGCGCCCGCAATGTGCGGCGTGCCTGAAAGCGCAGGGCAAGGCGAGGCGCCGCATCCAACGAGACTGCTTGAGCCTTGACTGCCCAGACCCAACGATGGAAAGCACCGGGTGGGTGTGCCCTTCCTTCCCGTCTACTTTCTTACATTCTTCCGCCTGCAGGATGGGGTGGGAAAGAGTGGATTTGCGCCAGTGCGCAGATGGCAGGAACCACTGCACTCGTACTGTACCAGAAAATAGGGGTCGTTTTTCCATCGTTGAGGCGGCAACTGCAACAGCAATCGCGACTTCCTGGCTTGGTCTGCTTGCTGTTGCCCCTTCTTCTGTTTGCAAGCAGGAGCAACAAACGAGAATATCACATGATGCGGGTATACCTAAGTACAATTAGCTCAGGAAAGAGCAATACAGAATTTTTTCAGATTGGGAGGTCGTGCTTGCCTGCTCGAGCTCGGTTTGTCTAAGGATGTCCGATTTTGAACAACCTCGGATACCTTGACTGGAGGCATGTAGGGCTGTACCAAACATCTTTGCTCCATGCTGTGATTTCTGGCTTCATTCTCCTGCTATATGATCTAACTCTTCATCCTTCACTGACGCCAGCAACCCATCTTCTCCCGCCGTGCTCATACCATGAACTGGACCGAGGGAGCTTTGGCACGACGTTCTCGAGGAAAGGGCTGGAAACCGGAAATCGCTAAACAAAAACAGTACTTCGCAAAGGCTCGCTCGGGACTTCACGGTCCTCCCAAGCCCGGCCTCGACTCTATTTCCTTTTTCTCTCAGCAGGCCAATTCTTCGACATATCCTACGAAGCGCCTCTCGACAGTTCCATCACAAAATTCGCCGCACTTCCAGCAGCACCAGCAACACCGGCACAACCAGAACAACCAACACAATGTTCTTCAGGATCACCGTCTGTGGATGTCGCCACGGCAGCATGCGCGGAAGGAACCTCTAGTTGCAGTAGACCAGGGCATCCTACAAGAGCCTCGCTCACAGCATGCTGCTAAGAAACGAAAGCTTCCTGACCATGACCCTGAGCTCTTGGATGCGAAGAGGCACCGCTTGCTACAAAAAGACGACTGGGCTGGGATCAATGTCCAAAAGTCGCTACCTCTGCATTTCTCCGGAGCTGGCAGCTCAAAAGAACGCCAGATCTGGGGCTTTCGCAACAGGCATCCTGCGGGTCAATCTGGCTTCTTCTGGGAGCAGAACGGAAATGGAAGGAGACCACTACAAGGCAAACCTACAAGCTCCATTAGCACGCAAGGCGGAGACAAAGACGTCAGGATCAGAATCGGCAGTGAGGATATTCGATACGGCGGAGGAAGTCAGATCACGGCAAGAAGCTCTCAGAATCGTCTTCCCAGAACTGCGACCCAGTCGAAAAACTTACGACAGTCACAATACTTTGGCCAAACCTCGTCTCAACCCTCTGCGCAGGACTATGGTCCTTCAGGATTGCACGGCTATAGAGCTTTGCCATCGTCCGAAATGGTATGTTCGACGCAGCGAAAGCATGGACAGAGTGCTGCGTGCCGTGGAAACCCTCCGAGCTCCTCGATATCGTCCAAGGCGTATAGGTACCCGACCAGACTTGAGCGTCTACAAAAGGAAGGTCGGTCATTACTTGTTGAATCATCTCCATCCAGGGTACATCAACCTGTGCCTCGACGACTGAGCCAGCTTGTAATGCTTGAGAGATCAGGGAAACCAGCGTCCGAAATGTTTGGGAGCACCATTGGTCAAGTCGGTCACAACCCAGTGCAAGAAGTTGCGTCATCGGAATGCAATGAGAATGAGCGATGGCAAAAGATGATCGAGTCTCATGAAGATCAAACAAAAAGTCCATTCGAGAAAGATTCTGGTGCAAGTCGCAAGATCGTCAAGATCAGTCCCGGAGTCAGCAACATCCCTTTTCTAAGCAGCTCGGTGGCCCATGGTTCAAGATTCGACCAACCCCCGATGAGCACATTTACGAACTCCTCTTTGGATGACAGGGCGCCGGACAATATGGAAACTGGCCAGTACAAGCGCTTTGGCACCTCAATAAAGAATGATGGCCAACCAAGAGACACTGCAGAGAAGATGCGATCCTCATCACCTCCGCTACCGACCAGATCATCCACTCTATTAGCTGGTCGACCGAAAGGTGACCTTTACAACGATAAAGAGGGACTTTCCGAGGACACGTCCCTCGCGCATGCAGAATCCTGCTCAGACAATGGCCACTATGCGGAGCCTCGACAGCTATCGCCCATGTTTGAGTCGGATAGCGAGGAGAAATCAACTCTCAACAAGCGAGAACCAAGTGTGCAAAACTTGAGGCCTGCCGATGAAGAAAACGAGTGTGTCGAAACCTCAATCTTTCTCCCTCAGACACTAGATACAGATGCCGGAAATGCTATACCGGTGCCAGGCTCAGAGAAAGTAGACATGGATACAGAGTGGATGAGCTTCATATTCGGCGAAGACGTCGAAGAAGATGAAGATGTTGCTTTCAAAGAGTCGCTCAAGGAAGCTGTGCGAGACTTACGGCCATCAAGCAGCTCCGCTAGCGACTACTACCAACCTTTTGTGGCTCCCATCTCGGCCTTTGCCTCCAAAAACCTTGCACCACACAAGATGCTCCAACACCGAAATAAGGGCGCTCTGATTCCGACATCGCTGGGATCTTCTCCAAAGGCCGGCCACACAGATATGGCTATTCGTGGAGATCTCGTAGACTGTGAATTAGAGTACAGCCAATATCAAACCACTGACACAGACATCGCAGACTCCGTCATAGCAGAATATTCGGACTCAATCATACCCCAAGCCGGAACAGAGTCTCTGACATCTAAAGTTGCTCCGACGCAGATTACGGACTCTATGTCAATGATTGCACAACCATCCAACTCTGACTGGAGCTATAACGTGGGGCAAAGGTTTGCCAAGCCAAAAACCTTTGTCGGGAGACTAGCCAGCTCATCAAGCCGAGACCCTGGACCAGTTTTGCCCCTGAGCGTAAACTTAGTTTCCAAGAAAAGGGGTAGGCCCAAGGGCAGATCGAGAAAGAAGAAGGCCAAGGATGGGCGTGCCAATATCCGAGGGCTACCTAATTATGACGGCGATCCAATTGAAGGCGGATCAGATGAGTAGTGCAGCACGATTACTCGCATTTTGGGGAAAGATGGCTATCTACATTCGCATCACACAGCATGGAAGAACTTTGGAACGGGAGTGTTGTGGCATCCTTTTTGACATTCGTGGGATATCGACCGTTATTGGGACCTGGCCCTATCTACTCTAGAAACGGACAGAAACAATGTACAATGCAAGAAGAAGAAAAAAAGACACAAACCCCCAAAGATGATGCTCCAATCCATGAACCCTTTTCACCCAAATCGTCCAAACAATCTTTGCGTTTCCGTTTGCTCCGGCCAGAACCCAGCACAGCTGTCTGCCAAGAGGCAATCGATCTCATCTGTATCATGTGCGGAACGAACCCCTTTTGCCTTTCCCATTTTTTTGTTGATTTTTTCTCAATGTCAATTTTTTTTTGTTGGTTTGACTTGATATCCCATGATGTCGTTTCGAGAGTTTGAGAGGAAAGCAGAGAAGAGGAAGAAAATGTGTAGCAGGGTTGATCTACTCAACAAGCGGCTAGCATTCCTGCCAGGCTCATCTTTCTGTTCAATCGCCACAGCTATCTCTTCTTCGTCTTCTTCTTCTTCTTGCTCAAACTACCACCACCCGCTTACTGTTTACCAGAAGCCAAAGGCATGGCCGTGACGGCGGGGGTGGTAGACGGCGTCGCGCTTGCCCTCCTCGGCACGCTTGACAGCGGCGGGGGTGGACGTGGGCACGACGGAGACGGTCTGGGTCAGGACGGAGGTGACGGGGGCGGTGGGGCACGCGCTGACGGTCACGGTGACGGGCGAGGCCGAGGGGCAGCTTCCGCCGCTCTCGTCGCCGACGCTGCCTCCGTTGCCGCCGCTTCCGCCGTTACCGCTGCCGCCGTTGTTGCTTCCTCCGTTGCCGCCGCTGCCTCCGTTGCCGCCCGTGTTACCGCCCGCACCGGCGCTGGGGAGGGCTGAGGCGATGGTGGTGCCGGAGGCGGAACTCTGGGCTGCGTCGCTGATTGTGACGACGCCGGTGAGGGAGCCGACCGTGACTGTGACGACGCGGGGAGGGGCGGGGGCGGAAGTTGGGGCGGGAGGTTGGGCGGTCACGTAGACTGTCGTTACGCGGGGCGGGGTGGTGCCCTCGGCGGGGATGGTGGATGTCAGGGCGGAGGTGACGACCTCGGTCTGGGCGGGGGGTGAGCCGGAGCCCGAGGGGCCTGCGGTGGGCTGGATTGTGACTGTGACGAGGGAGATGACGGGGGAGCCGGAGGGAGGGGCGAGGGTCATTGTGATGACGGAGGTCTTGGGCTCGTTGGGGCGGGGGGGCTCAGCTGGGCGGGAGATGGATGCTGAAGCAGAGGCCGAGGCCGCGGGGACGGTGGCGGTCACGTAGACTGTGCTGATGATGGCGGAGCCGCCGGCGCTCTGGGGAGGGAGGGTGGTTTCGACGGCCGAGGTGACGACTTCGCCGCCCTGCTCCGAGGCCGCGCCGCCTTCGTTGCCACTGCCGTTGCCGCCAGTAGGCTTAGGAGGTTGGGCGGTGACGTAGATGGTTGAGACGATGGGCTGGCCTCCCTCGGACTGGGCGGGCAGGGTGGTCACGACGGCGGAGGAGCTGGCGACTGCGTCGACGGAGCTGACGGCCGTACCGGAGGCGACGGGGACACCTCCAGACACAGTGGCAGTCACATAGACGGTGCTGATGATGGCGGAGCCTCCGGCGCTCTGGGGAGGAAGGGTGGTCTCAATAGCGGAAGTGACAACTTCGCCGCCCTGTCCGGAGGCACCGGGCTCGTTGGAGGGAGCGGGAGGCTGGGCAGTGACGTAGATTGTCGAAACAATGGGCTGGCCTCCCTCAGACTGGGCGGGGAGCGTGGTGATGACCGCGGAGGAAGCGACGGCATCGACGGAGCTGACAGCGGTACCGGAAGCCGCGGGGACGTCGCCGCCGCCGGTTCTGGTGATGTAGATCGTCGAGATGATGGGTGCGCCGCCCTCAGACTTGGGAGGGAGGGTCGACACGACGGCGGAGGTCTCGACGGAGCCGCTGGCAATTGCGTCGACGGAGCTGACAGCCGTGCCGGAAGCAACAGGAACACCGCCAGTCTTGGTGATGTAGATGGTGGAAACGACAGGGGCGCCGCCCTCGGACTGGGGAGGAAGGGTGGAAACGACTGCGGAGGTCTCAACGGAGCCGGCTTGCTCGGAGGCACCGCCGGTCGCAGAGGGCTCAGATCCGGGCTGGCGGGTGATGGTGATCACGGAGACGATGGGGGAGCCGGAAGGCGAATCGGGGTTGGCCGGGAGAGTGGTGGTCAAGACCTGGGTCTCAGGGGCAGCGGGCGTCTGGGAGGGAGGCGCGGCAGGGGTAGCAGGGACGGTGACGAAGCTGACACCTCCGGATCCGATGGTGGCGCCAGAGTCGGGGGGCAGAGTGGTGGTGGCAATGACAGAGCCGCCGTTCTCGAGCGTGGCAGAGGGCAGGCTGCTTCCTCCAGAGACTGGGCCACTGGGTAGGATGACGGTCTGGGTGACGGTCACGGGCACGGAGACGGTGACAGTGGCGGTCTTGGCTGCGTTCTGGCAGTTGACAAGCTGGGTCTGGCACTGGGAGATGGCAAAGTTCTGTCCGGCGATGCTCTGGCACTGGGTGAACTGCATACCGCAGGCGGCGCTGCAGGCGGACTGGAACTGGCCAAACTGCTGGCCGCCGACGACGAAGCCGCCCTGCTCACCTTGTTGAACGGCGGGAGGGGCACCACCGAGGGCGGAGATGAACTGGAAGAAGGTGACCTGGGAGATGATGATGATTTGAGGCTGCTGGATGACGGCGGGGGCGGAGGCGGTAACGGTGCGCTCGGTGGTGATGACCTCGGTGACGGTGGCGTTGTTCTCGAGGGTGGAGGTGACGGTTGCTATCTCGGTGAGGGTCGTGACCTGCGGGGTGGCGACGGGGATCGAGGTGTTGAGGAAGATGCCCGTCGGGCCACCCGTGCCCGGGGCGGCGCCGGCAGCACCAGTTCCCGTCGAGGGAGGGGGTGGGATGCTGATACTCGACAAGATCGGGGAGGGTGCGACCTGGCGCTTGGGGTGCTGGTGGTGGCGCGCGAGACCGAGCTCGGCCAGGAGGCAGACGAGGGCGGCTGACTTGAGCAACATGTTGTCTGCTGAAAGGATCGTGAAGCTAGCGGATTGCTAAAGTGTTTGCAAGTTGGATGGAGTTCGTGTCTGGTTTCGTTTGGATCGTTGGTGATGAAGGAATGGACTGAAGCAAGGCCCTTCAAGGGAGATGGGCGACTAGCACCGAGAAGAGAATGACAGGATGCTGTTGGAAAAGAAGGAAGCGAAAAGAAAGAAACTGGCAAATGAATCACCAAAGAATGCAGAGCGATGAGGCTGGAGAGAAACAAGAATTCCGTTCCAGAGACGGGAACGAGCCCTTCTTTAAACGTTCTTTCTTGCCTCTTGCCTCCCGCCTTCGACCTCCCCAAAGCCCATGTTAGTCCAGATGGATGCTTGCTCCTCCATCCTGGGGACCAGGGTTGCTCTCGAACTGCCAAAGATCGGGTTATCCAGTACGGATACCTCACCTCACCTACGCCTCCTGAACCAGACTGGAGCTAGCCTGACGGTAGTCCGGCTTCGCCATCGCTTTGGGTTAGACATAGTGAGACGTTCGGTCGAAGAGCGGGTTGTCTGCGGGGCTAGGGTAGGGGGATGAGCTTAACCGTCGTCTGGTGTTTACGATTTCAAGAGAGGAGCAGGCCCGCGGGGTGGAGGGGAGTGGAGGATGGCTCTTGGCCGGGGGGTGCGAATGGAGTATTTGCCCGCGGAGTATTTGCCCTGTGGAGGATCACCAATATGCTTGGACAGCCTGGGAGGAGTATCTTGCAGGTGGACGGGGCTGGGCGTCGGTGGACGTTTGCTAAGAAGCGACGTAAAAGGCCGTGATGCCATACCGGGATGACGGGGGATAGCGAGTGAGATAGCCTGGGGTTAGGCGTCGACGTCTGTGGGCTCTGAACGGAGGTGATGTGCATAATAGGATGATTCGGCCGGAGGTAACAGCCTATATCACACCTTAACACTGTTAAGGCATGCGCGTCTTCTTTGTGGAAGCGGTGGTGAAAGAGCGGAGCCCAATAACTAAGTTTATGGGAACATGAGAAGATGAGGAGATGTTGTTTAAGAATGCAACGGTATGTGTAGATCCAAATCTTCATCACTTGATGATGTTGTATCGTTCTTGTGGTGTGCGTAATGTCCAAGAGCAAAAAATGATCTCCCGTTAGTTCTCCCATGATCTACAAGTGCCCGTTTGTGTCCTGCCGTCTTGTGTTTTTCTCCGAGCCGTGTCTGTTCGGCCCACTCAAAACGACAACATTTTGAATTTCTAAACATCCAAACATGGAAGGAAACCCCCAGCTTGAAGTGATGGAAACAGTGGGCAGAGTAAAGGAGATGGGAAGACAGGTTCAGGGAGTGATTCTCGAGCGAAAAAAAACTTCTTCGCTCAGGGGTGTTATCCGCAAGGGGAAAGGAGGAGGAGGATGAGGAATAGAACCAGGCGATATCGAATTCTGCTCTCCGTCCGATGTTCTGGTCCAATAGCATCAAGCTTGAAAAGAAGAATCGCTCGCTTGGTCGGTCCAGGGAACCAGCTTGGTGAAAGGAGATGTTGAATGGAGGCTCAGGGGCAAGTCGGTGGAGGAAGTTGAGGTTCACTTTGAGTGCCCAGAGGAAGGGGGACGTTGGATGGAATGGAGTTGGGAGCGGCGCTAAGAAGGGCCGGGGGTAGAATCGGGGCAATCGGGGGGAACGGGGGGGAGGAATGGCAGCGATAGCGCATGATTTTCGCGGGGGGTCGAGGATCAATCGGACCTGGCCGCCGTGGTCATCGGAGAATTACAGCCAATCGGGAGGCGCATCAGTACGCATCAGTACGGTTCTGCTTATATAATGTTGCGGCTGCGTCCCACTTGGCCGTTTGAAGATGCCAGCGCCTTTCTCCAGTGGCATCCACGCCAACTTCATCCCAAACACGGTGAAAGCCCCTGACCTGGTTGTTCCTGTTTCAGCTGATTTTCCAAAGAGGAAAGACTCAGCCTCGTCCCAACTCACCATTTCTCTATGTGCTTTATCCAACGGGTACCTGATTTTGATCCGTAGAATGTGGCTTGTCAGATCGTCCCTGACCAGATGTTCCCAGTGATTCCAGGGCTTCTGGACTCTGCGGATTCTCCACTCATCCAATCAACTTTCATAGTGTTTCTACCCTCCATCAACTTCACCCCTACTACATCTTCCAGCTTCAACCCTCTTACACTTAGTACCTGACGAATATTGATTCTCATTGTTTTCACGAAAAAAGACGCTAGATCATGTGTAGCCAGTCTCCTGATTGTTTGACCGCACGCCTCTTTCCCTTCCTTTTCCCTCGTGAACTACACCCAGTCACACCCGATTCTTCCATCTGATGTCATGTCGCCCAACGCCCCGGACCTGGCACCCCTGCTCTGGTTTCACGAAGGCTAATTACAGGAGGCTTCTTTCGTGCAGACTTGGGACGACTGTGGATCTTTCTCTTTCTCTCGACTTACAACCTTCCACTGCCCCCTTCCCGACCCATCGCCTGTCAACCTTTGGCCCGATGACATAACGACAACCACACAATGGGGAGCGTTGGGAGCCTCCCTCGCATGTGCCGACAGATGAATAGCAGAGCAGAGTCGCATCTATTATAGCTCTCAGGCCCATCCTCACCCCGGGCAGTCAACTCACGACAGCTTTCGGAGATTCTTCACTGCAACCTTTAATGCACCACCACTACCGTGGTTCGTCCGCCCGCCGGCCCTCGCTCACTAGCATATTTTATGCTGATCACCATGGTCCGCTCGTCGATCCCGCGCACACGTCAAACCATGAACAAGGCCTGGCTTGTGCGACCCATGCGGGGGATCTCTGTCTGGTCCCTCTTCGCCGCCGCATCCTTCTCTCGGTCTTGGTGGTCTTTCCTCCCCCATCTAGTCCTCTGACTACCCTACCAACACTCTTGATTGTTTAAAATTGCAGAGGGGCCACACACGTCTTTGGATGAGACCGTTCTTGTAGCATCATCCCAGAATGAGCAACCACTTCACTTTGCGGTTTAGACTCTTCTCGGCCTCCGCGATATGTCGACTACAAATCTGACTTCTTGGCCTTTGCTTCTAGTAGTCTAGCTCGGCGGATCGATGATGAATCGCCATGTTTGCTCTAATGCAACTCTGACGGTGGACGGCTATCCTTGGCGAGCGGGCCATTGTGGATGTCTTCTCCCTCCTTCTTGGCTAGTCAAGGTCTTCACAAACAAGGTACTCGTCTGTCAGGCTGTCACTAAAGTCATTGACTCTGCTAGATGCCCCGAGGACATCCCGCCAAACCTGACCAAAACGGATCCTGCCTCGCGAGGCGCGCAGCGAGAATGGCACTAGATCGAGGACCATCAAGGAAAGAGGCTGTCACTCGTGCTCAGGATGCACCCACGGCGAGCCCTCTGACAAGCTATGCTTCATCCAGACCTGGCAGTCCCAGCGAGAGACAGTAAGAGATCTAGGATACTAGAGACACTAGCTCGGCCATCATGAGGATTGAAAACGCCGCCTCCAGAATGTCTGTGGCCGCCCGCTCCCTCCGGAGCGGCGGATACGAGTGGTAACGCCCTAACTCGAACCCCCCATCCTGCAACCGCCACCGTCAGATATAGCAACACAAGAAATAGTCTAGACCTTGAAACCGGCCTTCTGGTCTGAGTCATCAGCCCTGTGTACGACACCGCACCCTGAATCAGGGATGCTGCCTCCCGTTCGCAGATCATCTGCGAGACTAAGGAGCCTGAGCCTGCCGTCAAAAGTCCGGCATGAATATGAGAGCCGGGGTGGTGCTGCTGCGCCCTCTGATGATTGAGTCTGGAACTTCCGCACCTGTTATCTTGGTGAGTTGTTTTTTCTTTTGGAAGAAGCACAGCCAACCGGCATTGCATCATCGATCTGGGGTTGTTTGCACACCCCCTCGAGACATTTGATGCGCCGTCTTGGGTCTTAGATTGTGGCTTTGCTAATGTTTAGCACTTCGTCAAGATACTGAGCAGGTTTGACTTGACTTGGCGACAGCACGACAAGGGAACCATTGACACTTGCCGAATGCTTAAAGTACAGTAGCCGGCCGGATTAGCCGCTGACTACTACAGATATACTCGCTACCAACAGGTCTACTGCCGAAGCCTGTTGTCAAAGAGGACTTCTCACCATACAGCTATGCTCTAAGCAAATTTTTCTAACCAGGGACGTATCGAGACTTGACATCTCCACACCTTTTGATCCATGTGTTGTTGGATCCATTACCACAACCGGCAGCCAGTCAGTCAATGATACTCGTCAAGATGCCAGCCTTAACTTGGTTACAAAGTAAAGATGGGGTTACTAGTTGAACCGACATCGAAATCTGCCTTGTACATCTTAGAGCAATATTCACGCACTTCAAGGACTTGCAGTATTTCGAGCGACTGTGCGACACACTGATTAATCCTCACGTGCTCTTCAACGAAGGTCCAAAACAAGTAAGGATGAGACATTGGAGACTTTCGAGTAGTAGCATAAGGATTGGACCACGGGGCCAAAAGTCTGAATACACCATCAACGAATCACCAGCCAAACTCACCAAAACGCAGCATAGAAATGCTATCGGCATCGACCTGATGAACAATTCTGGAAACAAGAATAAATGCCCAATTTTCCGGTTGATATTTAAGATGCCAATTCCCGGCGTGGACTCGTTCTACACTTTCAACGCACAAAACTTGGGTGCGGTGCTTATAATACCTGACTTGTGAGATGGTGCAGCCAAGTTGTCTGCGCCATCTCTACCATTTATAGGATATTAGGGAGAAGTGGGAAAAGCTTTGCACCGAATATTTTCGGGGCGTGTAAAGCTGCCAGGCGGTCACGATCGGGGGCGTCCTCCGGCTCGACTCTCCCTGAATTGCGGTCGCGAGTGGAGACATATCACCGGCCCGGTGCATACGCTCGGGCCGGAGCTGCGCGAAAGCTCTGAGCCAGAAACCGGGCCGGGTAATTGTGGTAAAAGGAGTCGAAACAAAGTTGACCCCATAAAGAGGACGCAGGTGACAGGACGGGAAATTCATTGAGATTAATGAATGCCTTAGCCCATCTCACAGGCCGTTCCTCTCGGAATATCGGGAATATTAGCTAAAAGAATTTGATGGGGTGATCATCGCCGAAGACGGGCTCGGTAGTCGAGCGCTCGGTGTGGGGTACCGGCCTCCGGATTTCGGGGGATGCCCCGCCGCCAAGTGGGTGGGAAGCACGCAAACCTGCGCGTTAGACGTTTCCAAAGGGCACAGTGTGCGCTTCGACCAGTGCCTTGAGCACAGGCATACGACAGCCCATTGCTGAAGCTTCCTTGTGACCAGAGCTACAGCGCGCTCCAGCTAACGCGACCGTCGACGGCGTCACGGATAGTGCGAACTGTGAAGTCCGCATGTGCTTCGTTCCTGCTTGATCGACACTTGTACTTTCGGCTGAGGATTGTACGGCGATGGTACCCAATCTACTTATGGTACGCGGCTTTTATTTCGAGCAATTGTGATGTGAATCCAAATAGGCTTGGTTTCGTTTTTGTCGTGCGCTTTGATCATGGAAGTCGAAGTGTGGCTCAGGTGTCCTTCCATCCGAGGTCGTGTGCCTTACTGTGCTGATCTCATCTGGCCCAGACCTTCCCAGCTGGGCCACTGTCTGTGACCCTCTCATTCCCCATCCCCATCCTCAACCCCCCACCCCTGGCAGTGTCCAACATCATCCTTCCATCACCTGCCGTTTCGGTGCCATCTCTTTGACATCGTCAACTTGCGATGGAACCGAGAATCGACGTTCTTATTGTTTAGTTTCCTTCCATTCACTAATCTTGATCTATTCCTGCTTGCCTATACCGTCTTCTCCGTTTTGTATCCACAAGATCTACCAAGATCTACCTTGCGTCATCATCTGGCCCCCCGGTCAGGAACGAAGCCAAAGCTGCGGCATCGGGGGATTCTCCAACCCCACCCCGCCCATCCATCACAACAGCTCAGCTCGGCTCGGGTCTCAGGAACCGAGTCAAGATCGGCGGCGACGCAAGCTGGAACTTTTTTGCTCGACGGTCGAATTCAATCATATAGGTCCCTTGCCCGCCTACGCGACGGCCTGCCCACCATGGTCGTCTTTGTTGATCTAGACGACGAGGACATGGAGCCCCTTCACGTTCTCGAGGCACGCCGCCTGGCAACTGCCGCTGCTGTCGCGACTGATGCATTGGAATCAAGCAGTCGCGAGCTCGAGCACATGCTTGAGAAGCCGGCAATTGCCCCGGCCCCGTTGGTGACACCGGCTCCCGTAGCAGAGCCAACACCGACATTTCAGAGTGCTGCTACTGAGGCTTTTGGCTGCTATCCGTAAGCTCCGTTTTTTCTCCCCCCGTATCACGCGCATGTGGCAGGTAGAAGATCACGACTGACACCGAACCCCCCTTTCCCGCAGCATCGTCATGTCAATAGCTGAACACATCGATCTCAACACCCTCGACAGTCTCGCCCGCACCTCGCGCCAGGTCCGCCAGGGCCTGCTGCAATACCGCTCCATCCTCCTCTCTTCGACGCTGCACTGCTCCAACGAGGCCGTCCCCGTCGACCCAGAGTCCACGTTCCGCTTTCGTGCGAGGGCCGGCAACTGGTATTACATGGAAGATGGCCGGAACTACAACGGCAAGAGCGGCAGCTGTGCCCGAGACCTGGTGACGGAGTGTCGGAGGTGCAAGACCGTCGTGTGCAGGGTATGCCGTCCTATGCCTTGCCACATGCTCTTGGCTCCATCCCACCGAGAAGCGATTCCCTTGCAGACTTGAAAGGGTGGGAAGGGGTGCCAAGAGCATTGTGGCAATGGCCCGGGGAGGATAGAGAGCTTGCCAAGTAAAGTTGATTGCTGACGCTTACAAACAGAACTGCGCTATCAAGCCGCCAGCCTCCAACGCTCTCCGCGAGCGTCATCGTAGGTTGTGCCAGTGTTGTACCAAGGCCCCCATCGCAAGTCTCATCAATCACGCGCTGGAGCCAGAAACACCTCTGCTCGACGATGCCGTGAGACGAGAGATTTGTCGATGTGACGTCGATGGCGTCTGGCTGTGTCAGCCCTGTGGGCGGAGCATGCGCGGGGCCGACCACGACTACCAGCGGTATAGACCCCCTTCCTTTCTCACTATGCTGAAGATTTACAAGACCTGTTCTTGCTAACGTCGACTCCTCCGGCTATAGTATCTGGAAATGGCGGGCTCATTACGGAGAAGTCCTCGGCGGCCTGGGAACGGGTATCGGCGAGGGCGACCGCGGCGTCATCTGCGGTCGCGAGACCGCTTGCGCCGGCGCCAAGGAGCGTGAGAATGAGACGGACTGTGATGCCGAGGACGCGGCCGTCACCGGCGCGAACCTGTGGACGGCCACAGACCAGGTACACCTCGACACTGTGCGATATGAGCGCACGCCGAGTCCTCAGCTCGGCCCCGGGTACGAGAGGCACGAGATTGAGGGAATCGGAGGCGTCGTGAAGACCAAATTAGTCCGCATGGTGAGAGTCGGCGCGTGCGTGCCCGAGTGGGACGACGAGAAGAGCCATCACAATATCCTCGGAAGAGAGGTAAAGGGCATCAGGCGGAGTTGGTGCGGCTGGTGCTACAGAGTCATTCCTGGTGAGGCTGACTTGGCCAAGGCGGGCGTTACGATGCGTCAGCTTTGAGGGCTGACTCTTCTTTTTGGGATATTTGCTTTTTAATGATTTGATGACAACTCTTAATTCGTGACAAGGTAGTTAGGGGTCATCATCGGGGAATCTGCCTCGATGCAGGAATGAATTTGACCTTGTACTGAGACGGCAAGCTAAAGAGCTGCCGGGTAGAAGATGGATAGAAAAAGTTTGATAGTGCCAACCTGCCGTTATCTTCCACCTGAATACACAGGGAAATACACAAGAACCAAGCCGATCTAGGTCCCGTCAGGTCCATTCCCGTCACCAGCAACAGCAGGCGCACCTATAGGTCGCAGACCAGGACAAACTCGCTGGGTGGTAGAGTGGTTAAAGGTCAACGACAATCAATTTATACGCCAACCAGCCTTACTCGACGACAGGCTGGGCGAGTACCCGATTTCGAATCCCAGCATGAGCACCAAGTGATGTAGCCTACCGAGGTGGACTCCTTTTGTTTCGGTCTCATGCCAGTTGGTCCTGAAGATGGGTCTCGATGTCTAGTTGCCTACGGCGGCGATGACGGAACGTGAGCCTGGCATAAATGCCAGCCAGGTGGGAAGGGATATATAGGGTTAAAAGCTGAGGTCCAAACTCGTGTAGCAGTCAGTGAATCATGTCGTGCGATGGCGAGAGTTGGTAGAACAATTATACACGAGTTTCTACGGCCCCTATCTTTTTATCTCTCTTTCATTGTACAGATTGGTTGGGAGTTTTTTCGGTCTCCGCGTATCGTGACCCGCCTCTATCCTACATATCTCCCAGCCGATTTTGTGACACTCCCCCAATGTTTTTGATGGTACAGATGATAAATGTGCCATACGTCGCCCCTCCTTGGCCGCCTTCCCCCCTTTTCATCCCTTGGTGATACAGAGAGCCCTGGCTTTCCCGCATAGAGGCCTCGGAAACAGCAGGTCTTTCCCCCCCCCCCCCTCCAATGCCTATCTCATCGCCAAAAGTACAGTAACAGACTCAGGCATCCCGAGTCGTCAAGCGGCCCCATTTTTGATCTTTTCCTGAGTAGGTCTTTTTCTTCTTCTTCGGTTTGAATCTTTCTTTACAGCTCACCCCGGAAGAGCATCTCCTTTCTGCGCGAGCGGTCCTCGCGGGCCTTTGTGCGAATACCACCCCAGCGGCTCTTGACGGCCTCGAGCTTCTGCGCGAGCTTCTGCGTGTGCTCTCGCGGGGCAGGCGTGCAGATGGTGATGAAGGTCTCGGAGCAGTCAAACTTGCGCGCGAGGGCCGAGACGGACCAGAAATCCGGGTCGTGGGCGCGGAGCTTGCGGATCTCGGCGACGTCGTCCTTGGAGAGGTGGTAGCGCGGGTTGGCGCCGCGGGAGGGGACGTTGAGGGCCGGGGGGAGGGGTGTCGTTGATTTTGATGAGGATGTTGCTTGTGAGGAGGAGGCGAAGAGGGCGGAGAGGTTTGCGCGGCGGCGGGGGTCGGAGGCCGGGAGGAACTTGAAGGGGGTGTGGTAGACGGAGGGGGCGGCGGAGGGCGGGTTGTAGATGATTGTGTCGCCGGCGGCTGGGGTCGAGGGGAGGAAGTCGGGGTGGGGAGGGATGTTGAGGGCGCGCTTTGTGCGGGAGAAGGTCTTGTGGCCTCTTCGGGGGACGGTAGTGGTTGCTTGTTGGCGGAGGAGAGATGCCAGCGTGGCGGCCGGTCTTGTCAATGTCCTGGCCTCCATTGTCGGTTGGAAGTTGTGATGGAGCTTGGGAAGAGTACCGTGTTTCGTAGTCGTGGTCTCTCTCGTTCACTTTTTTTCGAGGACGTCGGTTAGGAGCTTGAGATGGCCAATTGAATGGTTTCCTTGAGAGAGTGTGACAGCACGGCCAGCGTCGCTTCGGCGCGAGTCTCGAACGGGTCGACTGCGGCGCTGGGGGGGAGGCTTTGATGGGTTGGTCGCGTGCTACGGGGGAAGCTCTTTCGCGATGCTGTACGGGAGACCCTGAGGCGATGATCTGAAGTTTTTCGAACAGCCGATTGGAAATTTGGCTTAGGTAATGCAGCATGTGGAGCGAGCTGTCCCAAAAGGGATGCTCTACTGATTAGGTAAGGAAAGGGTTGTTGCCTTGCGTTCCCCAATTACGCCTCAGGCACGTAGTCCATGTCGACGCTGTTCTTATCGATAGTATCACATGACATATCACGCGGGAGGCATTCAAAGAAGCGTGGAACTTCAAGACACCAAGGAAAACGGGCTGGTCCGAGGAAGTGGAACTGATTGGATCAGGGTTTCCTTGGCTTTCTCTGCCAGCGCAGCGTCGCCGGTGACGTCTGCGAAGCTTCCCGGGGGGCGCCCCTTTACCTTCCGCGTTACCTCCCCCGATCCTCGCTGTCGGTTGCTCCAGTGAAAGGTAGAAAGGCGAAAGAGCAAGATGGAAGGTTAAACGCAAACAAAACAGGCATGACAACTCTGTGGTTTCGGGGAAAGCATCTCTCAACCGCGGCGCGGCAACGGTGTTGCTCCCGTCGGCTTTTTGCTATAGTTTCCTTGTGCCCTGTTGAGAGCATCTGATGCGCCAAGGGAGTTGGTTACGTGGAGTAGTGTTTTTCCCAAGAAATACCAAGGAAAGAGAAGGCATCATTGCAATGCGTTATTTTCGCAACTGTGCGTGTGCAGGCGCTTTCCAACGGCAGGTATTGGGAAGATTCTATTGTCATCCTACGCATTGGTGTTGTTTATGCAGAATCGACAGTGACGTGCTTTCCAACGGGGCCCGGTTTCCCAGGGACCAAGTGTAAAGCGAGGCGGGAAGCCCGATTTACGCAGGGATTCGTGCCTTGCCGGCGCAAGAGGGTCTACGACTTTACAGAAGGCAAAGGAGGGGGTCTTTATTGCTAAGTAGTGAGCGGTAAGTAGAACGAGGCGGCAGAAGAGGAGCCTTTTTACTGTGCGGTTTTGGCACCTTTTCTACTTTGTCATGACCGCTTTTGGGAAGATCTCTTCTTTCTGAGGGAATAAGTCGCGAGCGCCTACGGGCTGGCCCAGTAGCGGGATAGGTGACTGGGTACTCCTGCGAGTTTAATGCTTCTTTCTAAACCCCTCAGATGTGATGGAGATCACTGATGCAGAGCCCGTGGGGAAAAACATGTCAAAGAAGAAAGAAGGCCGGGACCGAGGCTGACGAGGTGGGAGGGTGGAGAGAGAATGTTGAATGGGGGATCAATTCGAAGCCAAAAACAGGGAACGAAAAGAACTTTTTGGGGGCGCGAACAGCTCAATGTTGGCAGAACCCAGAACCAAGAACGCCAGAACCTAGGTGTCTTCTGACTCCTCTCTGTTGCAAGCTTCCCGAGTCCCGACTTTTTTCGTCTGAACAGGGAAGAGGGGCGATCCTCGTCGTTTCTTCGGCCATGTTCCACCAGCTATCAAACAAACCCTCTTCAAGGATCTAGAGTGGTCAGCGTTTTCGGATACAATAGCAGAGAGCCAGAGACACAAGAGAGAGAGCGAAGGACAAGGGTACTGGGGTTCGGTGGTCGGTGAGTAGCTTTACTTCAGACGGGGGAATCTCCGAGAGGTTCATGGGCTGTGACGCTGGGTATGCTCAAGAGAAATGCGCGAGTCAACTGACTCTGCTACAACAAACTCAGGGATGGAGCTACTATTCCGCAGTCGCCGACTTGTCGTACAAGATAATGCGGGATGGGGATTGACTGATGATGGGGATCATAACGGGGGTTCAACTCAGTGAACAACTCCCTGAGAGAAACCGAGACCAAAAAAAAGTTGCCATTGAGGGGTCTAAGACATCGAATCTCTAGTGACTACTGCGTACTGCATTGTGAAAGAGAAGGGGTCCAGGGTCGAGACTAGGCTGAGCTGTCCCTACGGCTAGCGAAAGTTGACTAAAGGGAGAAGGGAAGACTTGGCGATGCGTCCGAATCGGGTAACTTGGAAGACGACAAGAAAGCCAACGAGTCGCATTCGACATTCAGCCCCTTCAGGTCAGGAGGGCATAGGGAAATGAGCTCCTGTAGGACGCGTGTGAGATTAATGGTGATATCCAGTTAGAACTTAGAAGAGCAAAAGAAAAGAAAGCTACGAGAACTTTAGTCGGGCGTCCCAAACAAATTACATATTGGATACGGACGGACGAAACACACGGACAGTCAGCCGATGTAATCCCAACTGGATTTCGAGACACGCCAAAGGAACGCCAGGCGGTCGGTCTACGGTCGCCTTTCGTTTTCCCCGCGTATCCATTCATCGCTATCGTCGCTTGTGCGACTTACTGCGTGTAAGATACGAATTACGGCCGCCGATCGGTTCGCGGTCGCGTAGTCCGCCGAGGAACTGAGAAAGGACATTCAACGTTTCCCCCCCAAGGCCAACGGGGATGTGTCCGGACAGAGTTTCAACAAGTCCAACGTTATAAACCTCACAATACGTATGCCTAGTCAGATTTCCCCCTGACGCCGGTTGAGGAGCCATCGGAGGCTGCGGAAGTCAACGGGGGGACTAGCGGAGGATTTCTTTTCTTAACCTGGGCCTAAACCAAGAAAGCTTAGGAGGGGGGCTACTTGGGAGAAGACGTGACGCGGTGCCTGAGCTACACTACTGCCGGTGACAAAGATGAGAGGCGAGATGAGATCGCGTCCGGTTCGCCTTTGGAGATATCGGGCTCTCTGCTAAGACTTCCCCCGGGCGTCTTTGGGCGGTGATGGTATGTCATGATCATTCTGGATAAGCGGCACGAGAGTAACAGAGTGAGGTAAGGCACAATGCAAAGGCATAGTGAGGCTCGCGGTATCTTGCCTTACAAGCTATAGTGGGTAGATACTTGGGTGAATACTCGGTACTTGGGTAGAAATCCGTGCAGCGTACTAGGTAAGGTACTTGCTGAAAGGCAAGGTATGAACATGGTACGTAGTAATTATAGTGGTGAGTGGTGACGGGTGGGAGAAGGAAGGGGGCCAGACATGTCACCCGCAGCAACTTCCTTCGGCGCGGCATCACGTCAATGCAAAAACTCTAAACAACGTTGGGAGATACGGGGCTGGAGACGGGCGGCGTAGACGTCGGGTACGTCGCGACGTGGGAACGTGACGGGGACATCCCCCCCCCCCCCTTTTTTTCACAAGCTGCTAAGGTATTCTTCCCTAGGTACGCAGAACCTTAGTGAGCGTTGTTGACGGGTGACTGACGGGTGACCGTTCCCCTTTGATCGTCTGGTGGGAACGTTTTAGTTTCTCTTAGCTGACGGAGCAGCGTTGGGCCAGGAAGCAATCAGGAACCTGCGCGAGAGCGAAGGAAGGAAGGGAAACCAAAGTATCCCGTAACTTATCCATACCTTCCTTACCTTAGGTACTTGGTAGAGTGTAGTGTAAATGGACCGAAAAAACATGATCCGCTGACTGCCGAGCAGCGACGCGAAAACTGCTCCTGACAGGCGATAATAGCTGCCCCTTCCCCAGCCTGTTCTTTCCCTTCGCTCCTAGGTTTGCATTTTCCAACGCTTCTATTCCCGAATAAATCTGTGTACCCGTACCTTGCTGTTGCATCTACTGCATCCAGCACTCTTGATACCACATCATCAGACAGAACGTCCACCGCCTCGCCCGCATCCATCAGTACCGCACCCGCAATCCGCCTCACCGGAGACCAGAAAAGCAATCCATATTATCCACCAAATAACGGGACCAACCCATCTACCTTATCCAACCGAACTCATCTCTTACGGAGCATCTCCAGGTCTCCAACCACCACAAGCAAGGCACAGCAGACCCAGGCCTGGGCCTCTCTTACAGATCAGCACCACAAGGCTCCTGCGGCAAGGGTCAAATCATCAGGAAACCGCCAATCCGCTTGCGCATCCTCTGGACCTGTTGCGTCACACGCTCCCGCCTTTCTCCCAGCTTTCCAAATCCTCGCTCGTCAACCAGGGACCGCTTCTAGAGGCCGTCTTTATCGAGCGCCAATTTTCGCACGAGACTACTGGCTACATTTTCTTGTCTGCGTGCCTGCGGCAGAGAAGCGATTCGGCCACCCCTCTTCCTCCTTGTCTCTTCATCGTCTTCGACTAAGAGACATAAGAAAAAAAAAGTAATACAGCAAGCGGCAGACGATCCTAAAAGGGACCAAGACCAAGACCAAGACGGACGACGAAGACAGACACCTGACTCTGTGTCCTCTAACAACGCCATCAACCCCCAAAAGACCAACGCCGTTCCGTGTAAATCATCCCATTTCTTCATCGCTCACGAGTCTCAACGGCTAGTCCGCTTCCACTCCCCAAATTCTGCACGCAGGGGAACTGAGCACATTCTCGGTTCTTCCCCCTTGGTGTTGCACTGCTCTGCTATTGAACCGTTCTGGTATGTACATCTCGATACTATTATCCCACCCTTCGGATATCCCATGCCCACCACACCCCCAACCCCATCCCCATCCATGTACTTTCTGTACCGTTCAGGTAAAAAAAGAACATCTTGGTTGTTTTGGCCGGGGTGTCTCCGTCGGCGGCGCTGTTACCTGCTGCGGACGGCGTGCGCATGTATTGCTTGCTTGCTGCTGCCGATGCGCTGCTCTTTTTTCTGCCTCGCCGACTGGACGCTCCTGTGACAATCAATCACCGCACTCGCACACTTGCACCCCCTTCCACTTTCCCCTTCCCTTGCAGTGACCCAAAAAGGGCGAATCGCGGGAATATACGTCAGGGTCACAGGGTCACCAAAAGCCAATCTATTTGTCCCCCCACCACCTGTTTTCCCAGACTTCGTTTATCCACGTCCCTTTCCCCCTCTCTTTCTTCAAGGCCTACATAACATCAAGTCAACCTCAGGGTCCCTGTTTGTTGAAGAGAGACATTCCATTAACTCTTGGTCCCTTTTCTTACAGAAACCACTCTATACCATTGTGTCAGCAGATCCATCTGCATACCAACTCGCAAACACCAAAACTATCACCATTACCAACTCGAACAACCTTGCATCAAGATGAGCCTAGTCGAGGCAAACCCCAACAACATCGCCGAGACGATCGTACAGCACCCCGCCGTCGTCGCTCACAACATGGCCGGCACCACAAGCGGCGATGCGACACCCCGCGCCTCGAGTCACAATGAACCCCAGACGGACAACACGAAAAAGGACGTGAAGAATAAGGTGCGCGGATTGTTCGGACTCGGCAAGAAGAAGGAAGAGTCAAATGTCTCCAACAAGTCTTCATCATCTGCCAAGCCCGCGGCGACCGTCACCAGCAACCCTTCCTTGACACGGGACACCTCTAGAGCTTCAGCTCGGTCTACGACATCGCCTTACGTGCACCCTACCTCGCCAAGCCGCGGAATGTCTACATCCCCGCGAGTGCCATCCCCAGCAGGCTCCCAGATCTTCGAGCGAGATGTCGACAACATGTCAATCAAGCCTCAATCGCCCGCCATCCCGTCGCACATTCAAACCGAGAACCATATCCCTCCCGTTTTGGATGCATCATCCGAAGCAATCACAGATGACCACCTTGATCCGGACAGCGTCGAGATCGTCACCCACTCCCAGCATCAGCCAGCCGCAGCAGCTGTCACCGGCGTCAACGGAAACGGAACCCCCCACCCGCCCGATTCCATGGCCGCATCATGGACCGATGAGCTCCGTGCATTTGCGGATCGCGAAGACGCTTCCAACTACAATGCGCTCGATAATGCCGACGTGCGCAGGCTGAGCTTCATCTCTTTTGCCGACGTCGTGCAGGCCGAGCAGGGCGGCCACGGCGGCGCAGCAGGTTCTCGTGACTCCATTCATGTCGCTGGGCTGACATCCCTCTCGTCCATCAACGCCCGCTCGCCCTCACCCATCCGATCACCAGTCTCTTCTCAGGGACCGGGCACATCGCCGCCAACAAGCAACCCCGCGTCTGTGAAGGGACTGGAAATGTCCCCCGGACGCAAATCTATTGGCAGCCCAATTTCGTCCCATCACAACCTCAACATGAGCGGCGAGCTCAACATTGAGACGATGTCGCAAGCGCTCAGGCGCACGGGAAGCACGGATCTCAGCGGGGTCCGTAGCTTGCCCACGAGCCCGATCGAGGGACCATCACGTTAAGGAGACTATGACGGGAATTTTGATGAAAACTGAAGCGAAAACAAAACAATTTTACGTTACGGAGTCGGAGGCAAACCGGAGAAACCATTGATACCAAAGTGGACGTTTTATGACACTTTTTTTTTTTCCCCTGATTTCTTGCCGTTTTTATTTTTCTTCTTTTTTTCAAATGCTGAAGATCGGGCCAGCAGCACTCGTTGATGGGGGCTAGCTCATCGAATTAGGGAGGGGGGAAACGTGTTTTCTTCTCTTCACATGCGTTTTTCTTCCACCTCGATAGGGCTCGATTTTGGAGTTGGACAAAGAAAGATAAATATTGTTATCATGTGCTTATCTCTCAATATGGCGAGCGGTATGCTTGTGGTATGTGCGTGTGCTTCTCTTCGAATTTGGGAACACATTGTTTCCCACAGGTCTGTTCCCTCACCCAGCAAATTCTGGCTTTGGATCAGCTGTCTTCCCCCACTCCTGCTCTTTTTCCTTTACACTCTAGGCAGTGGGAATACAGGCTGTGATTTGAGACGACTATTTTTTGAGGGGTACATGTCATTCGCGTGATTGAAGGCGTACGTATGCGAGTGTCCGGGTCCAAGTCCGCTGAATTTCTGACAGCGTGCTAAATCGTCCGAATGAACAAGTTAGCGCCAACGGCTAAGGTAGTCCACGTGTCGCCGAAGGAATTTTTCTTTCAATTCCTCCTCTACGAAAATCTACATGAGGTCTGGGGTCATGAGTGCTCGGTAGTAGCCGGGCTGCATTTGGGGGTGAGGAAAATTGTCTACGGGGCTTCCAGGCGGGTTTGGGCTAAAGCGCAGGTCGGCCTGAATTCTCATATGCAGAAGGCATATACAGCAGGCTGGGTATGTCCTTCCTTGATGCCCATTTCAATCACGAGTCTCTATTGTTTCTGTCATATTCCGCAGCCGTCAAAGGGTAGGAGCGAACGAAAGCTGAAGCTGGAACATGTGCGCTCTATCTTGTTTCACGGATAGGAGAGGGTTGACATATCATGGTAGACAACCAATGATGCTATACGGTCTGGTATCTTTACAAGTTTGGTAGTTGTATTCAATACATCCTCGCCCATGTCCCCATCTTCTACACGGTCGCTATGGACACAGTCTTGGCCCTTTTCCTTCCTCATCAAACGACAGACAAGCTCCGTTTTCACCGATCATAATTCCTGGCCTTGGGCATCTTCTTCTCCTCCATAGCCTCCACGTCCTTCTGCTTGTAAAAGTGCGGCGCCAGCTCCGCAAGCCACTTGCTCTCGATGGGCATGCAGCTACGCATGTACTCCTTCGTCGTCTGCACGAGCTCAAAATACACGAGCATCTTGGTCGGCGGGTCGACGCCCATGAGCACCGACGACGGGTGCACGTAGACGGTGGCGTTCTTCTTGACGGTGCGGTAGCTGTCGCCACTGCGCTGCAGCCGCGCCGCGTTGGGGAAGAAGCCGGCCGTCAGCGCGCGCTTGATGGGCGGCAGGTTGGACGCGCCGCAGCTCGAGGGCGAGACCTCGACGCGCTCGCAGAGCTTAGCCAGCTGGTCGCGCACGTCGCGCGCCCGGGTCAGGGAGCGCTGCTGCAGGAAATTCTCGCGCGACCAGATGGGCGAGAAGTCGCTGTCGACCCACTGGTTCCAGATGTTGAGGAGCGTCAGGTGGTCGCCGCCCTCCTTGACGGTGAAGCGAGCGCGCGCCGAGTCGGCGTGGATCTTCTTATCCTTGGGGCGGAAGAAGAGCGCAGAGGCCTCACTGAGCATGGAGACAACGGAGAGCACCTCCTCGACGCAGCCTTCCTTGTCGGCCGCGAGGACGGCCTTGGCGAGCATCGGGTCAGTGGGGAACTCGGCCATCTGGCGGCCCATCTTGGTAAGCTCGCCCTTGTGGTTGAGAGCCTGGAGGGCAAAGAGCTGGTTGAGGGCGCCGATGAGGGCCTCGGTCGGCGGCGGGTCCATGAACTCAAAGTCGAGGAGCTCGTTGATGCCTAGCGACTTGAGCTGGAGGACGACGCCGTTGAGGTTCGTGCGCTGAATTTCGGGCATGGGCGACTCGTCCATCTCGTTCATGTAGGCGAACTTTGTGTAGAGGCGGAAGCACTTTCCTGGTCCGACACGACCGGCACGACCACTCCTCTGGTTCGCGGACGCCCTTGAGCAGGGTGTCACGACGAGGTTTGACATGCCGGTAGCGGGGTTGTAAACGTTCTCCTTGACGAAGCCGGGGTCAATGACATAGACGATGCCGTCAATTGTCAAACTGGTTTCGGCGATGTTGGTAGCCAGAACGACCTTGCGAGCACCTTCTGGAGTCGGTTCGAAGATCTTTGCCTGCAGCTCCGATGGCAAGTTGGCGTAAATTGGGCAGACAACAAGTTCCTTGACACGGCTTCCAAGCTTTTTTGCCGTATCGACTATTTGTTGTTCGGCTGCGTCAATCTCGTCTTGACCCGTGAGGAAGACAAGGATGTCGCCCTTGCCTTGCGTTGTGTGGATTTGGAAGACCGTGGTGATGGCGGCTGCCAAGTAGTTGGCTTCTGGAGCTGGTGTGTAGTAAATGTCAACTGGGTATCTTCGTCCGGGAATATTGTAAATAGGGGCATCGTCAAAATAAGCGGCGAACTTTTCGGCGTTCATCGTCGCTGATGAAATCAGTAATTTTAAATCCGGCCGCTCTCTTGCCAAATCCTTGACCAGAGCAAGCAAAATATCCGTGTGGACAGTTCTCTCGTGAGCTTCGTCAATCATGATGGCCGAGTACCCGGAAAGATCAGGTTCAGTCATGAACTCTCTCAGCAACATGCCGTCCGTCATGTATTTCAGAATCGTCTTGTCGCTCGTATTGTCCTCGAAACGGATCGAGTACCCGACCTCCTGTCCAACCTTGACGCCGACTTCGTCTGCCACGCGCGCAGCGACACTCATCGCAGCGACACGACGCGGTTGCGTACATCCGACCTTCATTCCATTCTTGGTGAACCCAGCTTCGTGTAGATACTGCGGTAACTGTGTCGTCTTTCCAGAACCTGTTTCTCCAACAATGACCAGAATCTGGTACTTTTCCATCGCCGCGAGAAAGTCATCTCGATATGCGTAGATGGGCAGGCTCTTCCTCGTCTCCTGAATGGTGAGCTGCTTCTTCTCTGCTGCCTCGATCTGCGCCGCCAGGAATTGTTGCTCCTTGGTCAACTTGCCCTCCCCAGGCATACTCGATCCCAAGTTCCATTTGATGTACTGCTCCTCGTCCATGACGTAGGAATAATCGTCGTTCTCTCTCTCCGACCTCTGGATCTGCGCCTTGGCCTTGGTGGCCTGTTCCCTCTCCCACTCTTCATGCTCCGTAACGAACTTTTCTTGTCCGTACTCATCCTTCTCCACGTATCTCTTGTACATGGCATCTTCCTTCCTCTTCTTGTCGATTTTGCCCTTCTCCGTGATGTAGTCCTCCGGTATGTAGTACCCATCTTTGTGGTCGTCAATCTTGAGGCGCTCCTCAGCCAACCGCAGAATCTCGCGATTCTTAGTGAACTCGGCCTTCTCCCGCTCCGATAACCTCACGCCGCTCCTCAATTCTTCCGTCTCCTCAGCGACCTGTTTGCGCAGCAGGGCGAGCTTCTCAGCCTCTCGTTTTCCGAGGTACATCTGTCGACTCTTCATGCGGAGGTCCTCCATGTTCGCCTTGCGATCCACCTCTGGCCGTCGGCTCTCAGCCGTCTTTGACTTCTTGTCGTCCTTTTCCCGTAACCGCTTCGCAAAGGCCTCTCGCTCCTCGATGTCGCGCTGGCGCTCCAGCTCCTCCTTCGCTCCGTCCGATAGGTCCGCGTCTCGTTCGCGATCATCGTGACTGAGCTTTACCCGCTTCGACGCAGACTCTTTGAATTCGGGCTCGTCATTGCCGTCAACTTCTTCGGGTTCCGAAGGTGGCTCCTCGTCCGCCCACCTGTCGTCGTCGTCGTCTGCGTCTCGTTTTCGGTACTGTTTCGAGGGCCGGGCCGGTGATCTGGAGCGCGACCGTCTTCTGGAGGGTCTATCGCTCCAGTCGCGATCCCGATGTCTTTCGCTCGAACGGTCGCGATGACGCGATTTGTGCTTCTTCTTGTCCTTGACTACCTTGGCGGGGCCGACCTCGTCGTCCTCCATCGGGAGGAAGGCGTACTTTTTTGATGCCATGATCGTATGTATCAATCCCCACGTCCGAGATTCGAGGTTACCGGCGCTTTCAAGAGGTTTCGGCCTGAGAGCTCAGAAACAAATTTTACCAAAGGAAGCCTGGAGTCGGTCTGACGATGTGAAGTTATGAAGGTGTAGGCCTCATGCAGTTGACATGCCTGGCGTGTCTCTGCGCATTCGTCTGAACTTCCAAAGGCCCCACACAATTTAGCCACGAGAGTGGGGCATAAGCTGTAAAGAAGGCAGTGCCCAATGACCATCTTCGGATAACATGTCTTATCGGACCTGCGTAGCTCCCTTCTTAACACGTTGGAACTTTACATTTTGGGACAGCTGGTTTGCGCGCCTCCTTTGGATCGATTACCTATTATCTCCATACTCTACCTCACTTCTCTTTTTTTCTCTCCTTTCTTTCGCAACCCGACTTCTCTTTTGATAAGTCCTTGACTTTTTCCATTCATTTGGGACGTGGAAAATCCAATAGGTCCACAAGTCAACAAGCATTTTCTTTTGCGCTAGGTTCATCGAAAGAAAAGTACCCTATCTCGAAGTATACCACAGGGGGCCCACGATGTACCTCCGAGGGGCAGCACTCGTGCTGCTGCTCATATGCCTCGTCCAGCTGGCCGTCTGCGCCGAGGACTACTATAATCTCCTAGGCATCAGCAAGAAGGCCTCAGATCGTGAGATCAAATCCGCCTATCGCAAGCTGAGCAAGAAATACCACCCCGATAAGAACCCGTATGCATCTTCCTATTCTCCTTGCCCCTACTCATTGCATGAAGCTGATCAGTGACTCCCATAACAACAGAGGCGACGACAGCGCAAAGGACAAGTTCGTCGAAGTCTCCGAGGCCTACGAAGCCCTCATCGACCCCGAAACCCGCAAAATCTACGATCAATACGGCCACGAGGGCCTCAAGCAACAGCAGCAAAACGGCGGCGGCCACCGCCACGACCCCTTTGACGTCTTCTCCCGCTTCTTCGGCGGCGGCGGCCACTTTGGCGGCCACGGCCAGCGCCGCGGTCAAGACGTTAACGTCCGCATCGGCATCTCCCTCCGCGACTTCTACAATGGCATCAACACGGAATTCCAGTGGGACAAGCAGCACATTTGCGAAGACTGCGACGGCACCGGATCTTCAGACGGCAAGGTAGACACCTGCGGCGTCTGCGGCGGCCGCGGCGTGCGCATCGTCAAGCACCAGCTCGCCCCCGGGATGTTCCAGCAGGTCCAGATGCAGTGCGACGCCTGCGGCGGACGGGGCCAGGAGATCAAGCACAAGTGCCACACGTGCGGCGGCGCGCGCGTCGTGCGCAAGCCCACGACCGTCCAGCTCACCGTCGCCCGCGGCGCGGGCCGCGACAGCCAGATCGTCTACGAGAACGAGGCGGACGCGAGCCCGGACTACGTCGCCGGCAACCTCGTCGTCACGCTCTCCGAGAAGGAGCCCGAGATCGGGCAAGACAACCCGGACCGCGTCGATGGCACCTTTTTCCGCCGCAAGGACAACGACCTCTACTGGACCGAGGTGCTCTCGCTGCGCGAGGCGTGGATGGGCGACTGGACGCGCAACGTGACGCATCTCGACGGCCACGTCGTGCGGCTCTCGCGCGACCGGGGCGGCGTCGTGCAGCCGGGCCACGTCGAGACGGTCAAGGGCGAGGGCATGCCGATTTTCCACGAGGATGGCGACAGTGTGTACCACAAGACGGAGTTTGGCAACCTGTACGTCGACTACGTCGTCGTGCTGCCCGATCAGATGGAGAGCGGCATGGAAAAGGAGTTTTGGAGCGTCTTCCAAAAGTGGCGGGGCAAGGTCGGCGTCGACTTGCATAAGGATAGCGGACGGCCAGAGAAGCCTCCGGTGCACGACGAATTATGATGAAAGAAAAAAAAAGAGAGAGAAGATGATGCCCCGTAGATGAATTGTGTGATACTAGAAATAGAAAGTGCCCAATTATAGTACATAATACGTGCTCTTTTGTCTTAATCTTCGTGTCATTGAATGCATGCATTGTCGATCAACCAAGCGCAATCATTAAACTCTGCTCATGTATTGATATCTACCAAAAGTGTCTCGAACCAGAGTCATAAATTCGTTATCTGTAACATCATGTCGTGTCTAGGTCCTAAGAATGTAAAAGCGCCAGTTCATGGCGTCGCAAAATTCATATAAGAGATCCAAAGAAATGGTCATAAATCGTCATCCGCTCTTCCTCCGCCTCCTTCGTCGGTCGTCATGATCGTCGTCGTCACTGTTGTCTATCCTACGCGAGTCGCCGCTTTGTTGCACTTCCTGAACCGCTCCTACCACATCCTTCAGCAGACTCTTCCAACTACTTTGCCCGCTAATCATGCCTTCGATGTCGCTCGCAATTTTTTGCACCACATCGCCATCTGTGCCAGCCACAGCCCATGCCCCGCTTGAACGCAATCCTTTGCCATTTCGTGGCCGGCTTTCGAACGCCCCTTGTCTCCATCGTGTGGCCCCCGAACTGCCACCGCCAACGGGTCGTCCCTGGTGATCAAAACGGTCGGGCAGGACTTCAACCTCGTCTTCCGATTCTGAAGGGGTTTCGATCTCCCTCTTGCGGCGACGGGAGACCGATTTGCTACTAGGTGGATCCGAGGAGGAACGCCTACGGTTGAGAACGGGCCGCAGCGTCGCTAGTTGCTCTTCGCTGAGAGCCGGTACTTCTTCCTCCTTCCTCGCCTCTTCCTCGGCCTGCTGCTCGTGAGCTGAGCGATGCAGCCGCAAGGTTTGGGATGATTGAGGTGACAGGGTGAAGGCGACAGACTTGGAGGAAGAATGTTGTGCCGTATGAGGGCGCTTTGCGGATAAAGCGCTCGACACCGACGAAGACGTAGGAGACAAGGACCGAGACCGAGATCGCGGCTGAGACTGGGAACGAGACCTAGATAGTGACTCGGGGAGAAACTTTTTGACACGCTCTCGCCACTTTAGACCATCTACGCTGAAAGTCAGCTTCTGTGCAGGCATGAACGAAGAAATGTCACAAAAGAAACAACGATTAGAACAACCCACCCTCACGACCCAGACCGGCTGGCTGGACAGCTTGTGGTGAGGAGCTACGAGATATGTCTTCACTCACATGGTCAGGACCAAATCTCGTTCCCGGCGGGCCACCGCCTGGAGGTGGGGGACCCCCAGCAGGCGGAGGGGGAGGATAGCCGCCGGCCCCACCTGTGGCCATCGGTGGAGATGGCCCCATTGGCGGTGGTCCCGGAGGGTACACCGAGTCTGAGGACGGGTACGGCGGATACTGATCTCTAAGGTTGGCCGTCGATATATTGGGATGCTGGGTGAAGCCCGCGGCGGCCGCTGGCGGTGGCGGGTAGAATGAGCCGCCAGAGGCGTGTGGCGGTGAGGGAGGACGGCTGTAGTTGTCGTAGTACCCGTCATCCCGAGCATCCTCTTCATATCCTGTGAAGGCTGTTAGTTCTACTGGTTTGTCAAGGTGTGCTCAGTTCGGGACTCCTTACTCCTGCGGTCCCTCTCTCTCTCCCTGTTCCTCATCCTGTCGTCTGTGCTGCGTTCTCTGCTGTAGGCGCGTTCTCGTGAGTAAGTCCTTTCGCGTGTGACGGATCTGTCTCTGGAGCGGGATCGGGCGCTTCTCTCCCTCGACCGTCTTTCTTCTCGCCTCTCTTCTCGTCTTTCCTCCTCCTCCTTCTCTTTCTTCTTCTGATACTGCTTAAGTCCAATCGCAGCGGCACCCGTCCCGACTGCTGCTGCCGCCATGTCTCTCAATCGGCTCTTGCTCCTCTTCTTCGCCGGCTCGTGGCCGTCGTAATCATCGCCAGACATACGCCGGTGTCGACGGCGTCGCCTCTCGTTCGCTGCAGACTCATACCCGTCGTCCGGCGGGTAAGGCGGATCGGTCGGCAGCGGTTCTGTTCCGTACTCAACTAAGCCTAGCTCAGGATCAGCGCTGCGCGGCTCGGAATATAGAGAGCGGGCCTGGGACCTGCTGCGCGACCGACGACGTTCACGCCGTTCCCGCCGGACTTCCTCCTCATAGTCCTGCTCTTCCAGTTCTCGATCTACCTCGCGGTCCTTCTTCTCCTTCCGGTTCTTGTAAATCTTGCTAGCAACTCCACCTGCCAGACCAGCGGCGGCAATCTCTGCTCCAGTCCTGATGCGAGACTTAGACCGCGACCTGCTCCTAGACTTGGACTTGGACTTGTTGCGGAAGTGCTGGACCAAACCCGCGGCGGCAGCAGTTGCCGCGGCAGCCTTAGCCACGGAGCGACTGCGGCTCTTCCGGCTCTTGCGGCTGCGGCTACGAGATCTAGATACAGAGTAGCTTGAAACAGAGTAGCCTCTGCCACGGCTTCGACCACGATGCATTTCTTCCTTCTCAATCTTCCCACTCTGGTAATACTTTGCGGCGCCTGCAACAGCGAGCGCGGCGGCAGCAATTCCTAGACCGGTCTTGATGCGGGAGCTGCGACTGCGAGATCTCGAGCGAGACCCGTAGTGATGGTCGTCGTGATAATTGTCTTCATACGCGCTACGAGCCCGGCGAATGATTTCAGTGCCTAGGCCACCGATAGCAGCACCAGCGAGGACTTTGCTTCCTCGGTTGGCACCAAGCTCACCGCGGCTGTCTCTTCGACTCGCAGCGAGAGCAGCGATACCGGCGCCAGCAAGAGCTCCCTCTGCAAGGTGGCGTTTGTGGTGATGGTCTGAGCTGGAGCTTCGGTTTCGGCGAATGACAGTCCGCTTCATGTAGTAATCCTCATCGTCGCTGATGTATTCGCCGCGGCCGCGGCCTCGTCGGTCGTAATGATACTCACGCTCATCTCGGCGATACGGACCAAGCTCCTTTGTCTCTCGGCGGTAGTAATACTCGTCCTCGCGGGGATCGCGGCGGACAACCTCACGAGGGGACTCGCGCTCTCTCAGGACGACAATGCCAGGTTCCTGACGGGGCACAATGATGGGCGCGGGTGGTGCAGCTTCCTGGACAATAATCTTCTGGGGCTCCGGAGCTTGCTGACGAATGATGACGGGTTGTGGAATAGGCGGGGGGCTGACGGGAGAGTAGAACTCGGTCTCCTTGCGGTATCTCTCGACCTCTGCTCCACCATGATCGTCTCGGAATTCTTCAACGCGCTTCTCAACTGTGACGTCTCCATCATCACGGCGTTCGACACGCTTGTCGACTCTGACTTCTGTCTCGGGTGAATGGTGATGGTGGTGGTGACGATGAGACTTGTTGGAGCGGCGGTCCCAGTCAACGCGCTCGCGCTCGACTTCGATAACGCTTCGATTGTCGGCGACGCTGCGAACATCGTCGAAGCGACCGGCATCGAAGCGGGGTGCGCGTTCACGTTCACGTTCGTACTCCTTTTCGTAGACGACGCTGCGGGTGTCACCTCTGTAGGGGTCAATAACTTCGCGCTCACGCTCGGTTACCGTGCGCTCAACGACCTGACTCCGAGAGTCGAAGGCGGAGCGCGGGCGATCGGGAGCATAGCCATACTCGCCGGAGGTGCGCAGCGGGTAGCCCGAGTATCGTGACCGGCGGTCGTCTTCTTCGACTTCGACACGCTCAGTCCGCTCGACCCTTTCGACGCGGCTTGGCGCTACTTTGTAACGGCGAACTGTGGAGGTCTTGTAACGGTCCTCATCGGATGAGTATTCAGTCGGGTCCCGGTAAACCCGGGTGGTTTCTCTATAAACTCCAGCCATCGCTGAATGCGATAGGGGCGTCGAAGGGCAACGCTGTTTTCGGGACGCGGCAGAGAAAAGTCAAAACGGGCGACAACGGTTCGGCTGGATGGTGTAGATTTGCAGGCGGGGGGTTGAACAAAGGATGTGCGATGATGACGGAGGGGAGCCCACGGATTAAATGGTGTGCATGTGTAGTAGTAACTAGTTCGATTTACGGGTGTACGTGGTAGATTGGTTTTATTTAGGAGGCTGGTGGGACTGCGATGGCCTCTGGTTGGGTGAGTGGATGAGAATCTGTCTATTGAACACACCAATAGACGAATATCCAGTCGATTCCAGCCCAGCCAACGTAATAAGGGTCGGGTGGGTGATGTGAGAGAGGGAAGTGCCCGGGAGAAGGACAGAGAAAGTGAGCGAGTGGAGAGAGCGTTCGGGAGCGAGAGAAGACGTGAGAGAGGGGGGGGGGGGGAGAATGGAGGGGAAGAGATGGAGGGGCAGCCCGTCGACCCGTCCGTCACCCGTGGGCCGTCCAGTTGGTGTTGGGCTGAGATGGGAAAGTGCAATGCTGCGTAGCGGGCAGGACCACACAGCGCTGTTGCCAAAGCAGAAACAGCAGAATCAGGGCAGGGCGGCAGGTGGGCTGGTAATAATGTCCATGCCTTCCTACCTTCCTACATATCCTAGCCTACCTCTCCTCTACGGTCTCCCCTACTGTGGTAGTCCGCTTCTTCGGACCTCGATGATCATTCTGAGGCATCCCCCTGAGCCTTTCCCTTCCATGCTGACCAGGGCGCAAAACATTGATGGATGGGACGGGATCGGCCAGACCTCGTTTTCTGGGTCCGGTCTTGTCAGTGCCCGCCGCCCAGGCCACGACTTGCAAAGACTCCAGACGGTCAGGCCAAGGTCAGCGGACGCAAAAGGAACTGCTATTGCAGTACTAATGTGCAGCGAGCCACGGATTGTCGAAGGGTGTCCCATGTCACCATCACATTCTGACCCTCGACCGCCCACGCTGCTACTACTATGTATATCCATCCAGTCTCCAAAGCGTTTGGACACGACCAGGGCACAAAAGAAGGCAGGTACCTATATCTAACCCAAATGGAGGCGCCCTTTTCTCATCTTTTGATAGCAGCCTACCTTACCTATACTTCTTGACAGTCTGCGACCCGAACTGCCATATGCTCGCTCCTGGCCTATCTGCTTTCGAAAGCTTACCGTGGGGCTAGCGATATCTACCAACGCTCCTACGTCATTTACACTAGCCATCCGAAGCCAACCCCACGAAAAAAGCACCAGACGCTCGTCAGTCGCGAGTCTATTGACTACGAGCGAGACATGAAGCGACGAGTCCTTCCAACATCAGTAGAACACCGCTCCTCCCCAACAAAACATCAGAGTACCAAGAAACCGAGGGATCACGGCGCAAGGCAGCCTTGTGACCAGGCAGATTTGGTGCGGCACGCCATCCGAAGCTAGGAGGGTGGGTGGCTCAGTACAATGACAGGCCGTGACATCCCCGGGCGGCCTTGTCATCCGCCCCCATCCTTGTCACTCGGGACAGCTGGTCAGATTTCGAGAAGACAAAGATACCCCGCGGACACACTTCAAGAAGAGAAGACAGTTCGGGAAAAGGTGAAGAGGTGAGAGAGAACGCGTGCAGCCCCCGGGGCGGTTTGGGCCGGTCTGCGCAGCAGGCACGGAAACGGACAAACGAGTCGTCGCGCAACCATCCCCGCGGAGGCTATGAGTTAAGGTATTCCTTTAACCCTCGGGAGAGGCCAAGCTAGCATTCTTGACATTCTTGACAGATCAGACGGCGTCCGTGGCGGCAGACTTCAAAGATGTATCGCATCGCGACCATCACTCACAGTTTGAACCCTGGAAGCTTCTGCCCCGCCTCATCGCAGCCTGGTGTCGTCATGGTACAGGTAGGCATTTACAGTTGCGCCCAATCCCATCGTCCCCCTGCGCTATGTGCTGCTAGGCAATATTCTGGAGGCTGGAACCTCTCGGGAAGCGCGAAGAAACACTCCCAGCGAGAAATCCCCCCACATTGGCCCTGGTCTGGCCTCGTGGTCGATGGAGACGAGGTTGCCCAAGACACTGTTGAGTCGCTACCTTACAAGTCGCTAGAGAGCCCAAAACTCCGTCGCTGGCTCTGTCATCGTTTGAACAATTGTTTCGTGGGAAAAAGAAATCGGCTTGTTGGGATGGGCCCTGCTTGTCTGCCACGACATGCCGCCCACTGCCAAGTTCCAACTTTCTTTGACTCTATGAACACAATTGGAACTCTGGAGAGGAAACCGAGTAGTTTCCCCCAGATCTGCTTCCAGGAAATACTGTCTTAATTTGCTGTACTAAGGCGTTCTTCCAAGGCCAGTGTGCCATCGGGAAACCTCATCGACATTGGTTCCTCCCAGCCAGGCTAAACCGGCACTTGACCATGACCTGCAGGAAACTCCCCCTCCTCTCAGTGGCTCATCTGCACCGCCCACGCGTGCGGCAACGAACTGCTCGCTCACCGTCGTTATTCCTACAAAGTACGGAGTTTCCAGAGATCCCGAGGCCTCCCAAGACCTGGAGGCTGGAGCTTGCTCGAGCCGCAGAGCCGCGCGAGTGCCCGCCTGCCCGAGTCCTGTCGCGGCTTGTCATCGTGGCAGGTTGATCATTGGCCCGGAGGCATTCCATTGGAGATGGGGGCTCCACGGCCTGCATCGCCGCGCCCCCCGGGGATCACCGACGTCTCTGTGGCAGCAGTTGAATGGGACTTTGCCAAGAATAATTTACGTTTTCAAGGTCTGTGTAACCTTTTGCCACGAGCATCAAGCCAGGTCATCACGCGTGGAATGGAGCGATGAGATGAGAAGGGTTTATTTGCATGGCAAGTAGTTATAACTGTGAAATCAAATATCCAGCCAATCCAACACTGAACGCCTCAACCTGGAGGTGTATAGTAGTATGTAAAACTGATTGTCTTGTTAGCCGACTGTATGCTTCCAGAGCTGAACAAGTAAAGAGGAAACAAATAAGTGTCGTTTCAGAATTTTCAGTGTGAATAAAAATCATTTAATAAGATATCAAATACAAATGGAGATTAATCCAAATCATCTTTAAGACGAGGGGGGAAAGTGCGCATGACGTCCGAGAAGTTGAGTTCACATACCTTTTAGTGGTGCTAGAGGATCAGACTGCGTATACAGATTATTTCCAATCTCTGAAGCCACAAGTAGCCAGCATAAGACTTTCTTGTTGGTTCGTTGAATCGTATCTCTGCTCGCAAGTCTGATCCTCTACCGGTGTCGGCATTCGATGGTTTGGGTGATGGACGGGAGGGAAGCCCTTCTCGAAAATTTCTGCGGGAGGTGCGATTTTATTTGTCAGGTGACGTGGGTCGGTGTTATGTAAGCGAGAATTTCCGAAAGTCTGGCGCATGGTCCACTTTTTCAGGCTCCGAGGCTCTCAGGACTCAACGTAGAGCTAGCTTTCAACATGAGGATAGGTCTTGAGGGTGTTTGTCCGCCATGAGAAAACCTGTCGGATCAATTGACCGGAAATTGCGGCAAGCGTCTTAGCAGTTGTGGTCGGAGCCAGCACGAGTCTGGTTTTGATGCGACAAGATGACTCTTCGTGGATTCGTGTTTGAGAAGTATCCTCCCGCGGCGCAACTAGAGAAGTTTCCCGGACCCTCCTTGAAAGCCAACGTCGGTCGTGACGGAATTCATACTTCATGATTTGGAGAGGGTCTGAGCAGTTGTAATGTCGAGCTCCCTTCAGCTCTGTTAACAAACGCAACTTCCTCGCCTCCCTCCGCGCTGAGGATATCGCCTCGGAACTATGTGATCTCCTGGTCGTGAAGTAGCTTTTTGCTGATGGCAAACGGTTCCTTGTGAACCTAAAGGCTGGGACAGACCATCTGTCCGTTTCTCCGTGGTCTTTCCGGGCTCGCGGTTACGACTGCTTCAAGAGGTTGCAGTCGTCCGAGGGAGATGATCTGTTCAGGCTCCTGATACGGCCTGGTATTTAGTGTTGAGAAGGTCGACGTACCTAGGTGAGGAGAATTCCGCAAGGCTTCGTGTTCGCCATGAATCATTCGGCAAGCTATATGAATCCTACTTACTTTTCTTGGCCTCGTAGATGTGATGATCTGCCAAGGCATGTCGTCAGGGCCAAAGAAGGTTTTTGGATCAGTGTCTCTTTAGATGACCGTAGCTCTTACCTACCTATTTTAAGTTACTTAGGATTCCCAAAGAGGTCTACGATCATTCGGTACCAGTTGTGGCTCTCCATCAGTGGAAGCAGCCGGGATCTTCTTAGTATTGTTAGATGGCATGTAAGTAGAACCAAAAGCTCAACTAAAACGACAGGCTCCGTGCTTGATTGCGTGCTTTACATGTAGATGGTGCAATGTGCTCCTCCACTATCTACTTCAGGGTAGAAAAATCGTTGACGTTGGTCGACCCGACCCGGCACCCGGTAGCCCCCACTGACAGCATGTGTGTAACGGACATTATCCGGACCTTGCACGCCGGTTCTCCATCGGCGGGGAGTCACGAAACTGCAGAAATTTCTCCATGGCGAATTCCCGCTTGCCGCCATCCCGACATAACCTGGCTCTGCAGACCAGTAACAGCCATTGAAGTACATTGGGGGTTGCAAGAAAGGCCACCGCGGGTTTGCTGCTTTCTGATTTCTCCCTTGTTGCTGCTCTTTGCCTGAGATTTCCCGATCCCCCACAGTCAATCTCATCGTTTCATGTTCCCGGAGGCATTCCATCCAATCCCGGCTACGCTCCAAATCAAGTTGAGCAGCGTTCCAACAAACGTTCTTGACAAAGTTCCATCGAAGTCAACCAACCGGCACAAACCATGAGCAACCCGCACTCCCGGCCCCGCTTGTCAGATGATGAAGTCGGCAGAGCACGAGCCAACCTTCCGAACCCGGCATCACCGCCGCCCCCGTACTACTCCGACCCGGACACGGAATCTGCCGCCGCGGCCGCCGCCATAGCCGCCCCTCGCGAAGACCAACCCCTCCTCCGCGATCCAGCCGCCGCAGTCGAGGCCGGCGAGTCATGGAAGCCTCCACGAGGGTTCCTCTGGATCGAGCTCGCCATCATGGCTAACGTCTTCCTCTACGGGTTCGACGGGACCATCACGGCGGCGACGTACGCCGTCATCAGCTCCGAGTTCGACGCCGCGAACACGGCGAGCTGGCTGACGACGTCGTACCTTGTCACGAGCACCGCGTTCCAGCCGCTGTACGGGCGTTTTTCTGACATTTTTGGACGGAGGGTGTGTTTCTTTGTGAGTAGTATCACGTTCGGGCTGGGTTGTCTTGGCTGCGGGCTGGCGGGTGATGTGGTGCTTCTCAACTGCATGCGCGCGTTGACTGGGTTCGGAGGCGGTGGCTTGATGACGATGGGTGAGTTTGCGGGTCTACTTGCTCAGATCTCCCAGATGTGATGCGTTGAGCTGATACAGAGAAATAGCCACGATTGTCAACTCGGACATGATCCCCTTCCGCAAGAGAGGCATGTACCAGGCCCTTCAGAACGGCATGTTCGGCTTCGGCGCCGTGGCCGGTGCTTCGTTCGGTGGCTCCATTGCCGACCACATCGGCTGGCGCTGGTGCTTCTTGCTGCAGGTGCCCGTCTCCGTCATGGCGCTCGCTCTGGGGGCCCTGGTGATCAAGAACCCCGAGGGCGGGTTTGATATCGACACCAACGACTGGAGAGCAATCTGGTCGAGGGTCGACGTTTCTGGAGCGCTCCTCCTCGTCGTGGCCATCTCCGTGCAGCTTGTCGGCTTGAGCTTGGGCGGCAACGAGCTGCCGTGGGGTAGTCCCGTCGTCATTGGCACGCTCGTTGGCAGCGTGCTGTTGTTGGCGTTGTTTGTGCTCGTTGAGGCGCGGACGACGGCCATTCCTGTTATTCCACTGAGGATGCTTCGGGGAAAGTTGCCCATTCTCACGCAGATTTCCAACGTTTGCGCAGGACTCGCGGCGTATGCGGTACGTAGACCTCACACGGACAAGCTGTCAACCGCTCGAAACGTTGGCTTTATGATTGCTAATATGACCGTGACTATAGTACCTTTTCATGCTTCCGCTCTTCTTCCAGGTAGTGTTGCTCGATTCGGCGACCAAAGCCGGCGCGAGATTAGCGATTCCATCGCTTGCCACACCCCTCGGGGGTCTGTTTGCAGGCATCGTCATGTCTCGCTGGGGCAAGCTTATCTGGCTCGTCCGAGCTGGCGCGTTCCTGATGCTGTTCGGCAATACACTCGTCACTGCCCTCCAATTCCAGGATTCGCAGTGGAAGTATCTCGTCTACATATTTCCAGCGAATTTGGGTCAGGGTATCATCTACCCGGCAATTCTGTTCACGACTTTGGCCTCGTTTGACCACGCCGGTGAGTTCTCCACTTGAAGTGATTGGGCAACCGTAGCAGGAGTCCAATCCAAACTCGACTGACACCATCTCATCTATCATAGACCACGCCGTTTCAGCTTCGACAGTGTATCTCGTTCGCTCTCTGGGCACAGTATGGGGCGTGGCGATAACTTCTGCCATCGTGCAGACAACGCTCAGCGTGCGGCTACCCGAAGCCCTCGGCGACATTCCCGACAAATCGAGAGTAAGTTTTAGTCGCTATCCCTACTAGTATCGTCTTTACGAGCGAACATGATCCCGATGCTGACAAAAGTCCTTCACGACCCAGCTCATCGACGAAATTCGGCATTCCGTGACAGCCCTCAAGACCCTCCCGGTCGAGGTGCGCTTACCCGCTCGTCATGTCTACTATGAGGGCATCCAATATGCCTTCGCCGCCTCTACTACGTTTGCCGGAATCGCCCTCATCGCCTCACTTTTTGCGAGCCCGCGCGGCCTGCGTAGCACTCACAAGTAGACTATCGCCGGACTGAAAGGGTTGACTGCATCTTCAACGCTCTGTTATACAGTGGGACTTTGTCGGCAGACTCTAGGGATGAGAGTGTCGAAGCGCGATGATGTATATCAATGTATATAACCTCTTCGAAAAATATACATTGCAAGAACTCAAAGCATGGTTCAAGGGACACTTAGACCAGTATCTACTAAGAAGATAGCTGATTAATCGCAACTCAGAGACCCTCTAGATCTAGCGTACACAGAAAATTTGTGATACACGCAATATTTCCGATTCAGCGAAACGATCATGCCAATTTCAATTCTCTTGGAGACGAGGTGGTAGGGTTGATTTGCTTAGGTCTCTCTTCCAGCGCCTTTCAACGATTGTACGTGCCGCTTACTGGCTTATCAATGGCATCGTAGAAACCTCCGACGCGAGATATTTTTGATCACCAGGCTGGCATATCAAATCAATTTCATTCGCTCAAGCTCGGCTATTGGTGCTCTTAGAAGAACTTCTTACTTGCCAGTGTTCTCGCACTTATCTACTCATCCCCCGTAGGATCTGTCCCCTGGTCTTGCTCAAGGTTGCACACAAGATGCGCCACTTCCTTTCCCGTTCTACTTTTATCAACCTGCCTTAACTCCTTTTCAGACTCCGCCACCCAAGCACACTTGGAACCCAAAGGATTGCCTGCATACAAGAGAACCCCACGTAATTACAGCCGATAGACGCCTAGCTGCCAGCCTGATTGACGTTTTGACTTGGAGAGAGCTACCATGAGGAATACTGCCCCTGTAAACTCTCACTCGGCATGGCATGATCATCTTCAGTTTTCCTCGATGAGTATTACCAGCACGACAGTCTCATTTGTAGTGGAACTTCAGCATCGCAGACATATAAATCGACAGTGACAAATTGCAATGGTGTAGCCACGCAAGACCAGTCTTGTGTGCCGTCAACTGCAGTGGCCCGCTTGTGAAGCGAGGCTTTATCAGAGCCGGGCGCTGAGGTAAATCAATTTCAAGTCACATATGCAAAGCATATCCCTACTTGATGCTGATATGGACCGCAGCAAGGCACTGCAAAACCCAAAGAAGGAGGGGGGACTGCACGTCTTCCTGATAGTACGCCCCCCCCCCCCCTTTCCAATGTAATACTCTGCCACAGCCTGATGTCGAAGATCGAGGAAGAGCGCATAAGGAGCGACTTGAATCCATAAGTACTGGGCACCGGCGACCATTACCGTCCCACTCCCTTACCTCGAGTTTCGGCATTGTGCTCGAGGATCCTGGACACCGGCAAGATGAAGATCTTCTCATTACTTTTCGTGCTTAGTCTGACAAGAAATTCTTTCGCCGCCGATGATACCAACACAAAGTTTACATACCCCGTAAAACCGGCCGGTCTTGAAGGTCCCACATTCGTATCAGGCCAGAATGTCGTCTTCAACTGGACGACAGATGCTGACAAGCTGAACCTGCTTCTCTGGACAAACAAGAACACCCGATCAATTACGTTAGGAAGTCAGTTCTGCTTGAATCGGTTTTGCTTCGCTTTTGGCATTCAGGACTAATTAAGATGCATCTTTAGAGGGCATCTCGTCCAAGTCCTTCACTTGGACAGTTGACTTTTATGCCTTTTCGAAGACCGACCCACCGAGCGACACTTACTATTTCCTTGGGCTCTTTGTTGATGGCTCGACGGGCTCTGCAGATCAATCGACAAGATTCTTTATTACACTACCTGATGGGGGTCAATCCGGGTCCACTTCGACTTCAACTTCAACGCTCCTCACTTCTTCGCCAACTAGTGATTCGGCAACCACGACTTCATCAGACAGCTCTACAGCAACGGCAGCAAGTGTTACTGAGACACCCGGTTCCGGCACCGAAGGTCTCAGCGCAGGTGCCATAGCCGGCATCGTCATCGGGGCTGTTCTAGGCGTAGGCTTATCCGTGTGTGTAGGAATTCTGCTGGCGAGGAGGAGATACCGGGCAAAAAGAGCCCTTGATGATCAAGGAGCTGGTCAGGGAGAAATTTACGTTTCTCCAAAGGTCACCATGGACGCCAAATATCATTCGCCTCCTGTACAAGAGGCTCCGGGAGACGGGAACGTTTCTCGGTCACCTCCACCAGTTGAGCTTGGATAGGGTTGGCGCGAACATCAGAAGTTTCTTCAATCATCGTAGATCCCGTGCGCTCGATGTTGTCAATTGCTGATGGAATGAGTAGTTATGAACTGGATTTTGCTTTTGCTTCGTTAACCATGGCGCATCTCGAAAGATGTCTGGACAATTTAGAAAGAACAAGATATAGATAAACGCTTTCATTTTCATTTATGGCAGACATTCAACTTTATTCCTCGATTAATAGTAGAATATGATTTTATATCAAGTCTCCCCTTGGGCAGGAGTTCGAAAGGCTGAGGATTTCAGATGTGGTTATTCTTACTCGGTTTCGTTGCCTTACTAAGTTGGCTATTGGCCCTGCCCCAAGTTCAAGCTGACGCAGTAAAAATTCCGATCGTCAATCTTAAAGGCCTGCACTGTAACCAAGGAGTTTTTGTTACCACTCGGCGGTTTCTGAAATTTGCGGGCGCGCAGTGCGATAGCGGCATCGCATAACTGTGGGCAACTCGGTCGGCCGATCGGCCGACGAGACTGACTGCGCGATCTACCTGCTGGAAGCCGACAGATCCGACTGCAAAACATCCAGATTGCGCATTCCAAGACATGAATGTCACAATATTTGAGCTTCATATGACAAGGAGGCTTACCGAAATCCCTCGCCGGATGACTCAAGTTGAACATTGTAGTTGAAGTGAAGAGCGATGACGGATACACGTTAAGGTGGCCGAGGAGCCAAGCTTATAAGAACGGCGATGTGAAAACGCATCTGCTTCTCATCCTCTAAGTTGAATAGCTACATCAAAACCTGGCCAGAAAACTATTTTTGTTTCCTTATGAATTGAGAATCGGGCTTCTAAGATGTCCGAAAAGAAGATTCTCATCCTGGGTAGCGGCCTGATGGCCAAGCCATGTGTCGAATATCTGCTTCGCAATGAGAAGAACAAGTTGACAATAGGTATCCTATTCCTCTTCCATTCGAAATCAGTCTCAGAAGTGACTAATACTTTTGAGATAGCTTGCCGAACGCTTTTGACAGCCGAAGCTTTGGTCTCGAATCACCCTCGAGCCAGCGCGATTTCTCTGGATGTGGCATCTCCAGAGCTCGATAGCCAGGTGGCATCTCATGACCTGGTCATTTCACTTGTCCCATTCATTCATCACCAGGCTGTCGTCGAAGCTGGCATACGTGGCAAAACTCATGTCGTGACCACGAGCTATGTGTCTCCGGCCATGAGGGAACTAGAGTCTGAAATCAAGGCTGCCGGGATCACGGTTTTGAATGAAGTTGGCCTCGATCCTGGTAGGACATGATTTCTCCCAGCACCAAAGAATATGAAGCTCATGCATGAACCCGTAGGAATCGACCACCTCTACGCTATTCGCATCATTGATGAAGTCCACGACAAGGGAGGAAAAGTACAAGCAGACCTACTACATGCTCACTTACCCAGTTTTACAAGACTAACGTATGCAAACGACAGATCAAGGAATTCCATTCCTACGCCGGTGGCCTCCCAGCTCCAGAGTGCTCCAATAACCCTCTGCGCTTCAAGTTCTCCTGGTCGCCCCGAGGCTCGCTCCTTGCGCAGCTCAACCCGGCAACCTACCTCCAGAATGGTCGGGTTGTTGATGTTTCCTGCGAAGATCTCATGAAGCAAGCCAAGCCGTACCACGTAATGGACGGTTACTCCTTTCTGGCGTACCCTAACCGGAACTCCGTCCCCTTTCGGGAGTTCTACAGAATTCCTGAAGCGGAGACGGTTGTGCGCGGGTCGCTGCGGTATGAAGGGAACCCTGCTTTCGTGGCGGCGTTGACGAAGCTCGGATTGTTGGACACGCAGCCACTGGAATGGCTGAAGAAGAGTAGCGGCGGGTTGATGTTGCGGGAGGTCTTTGGGCGGGCAGTTGGTGCTGCCGAAACTGATGAAGAGTAAGTCATCCAAGCATACATACTTCTGGTTCTATCTGAAATACTAATGTGACAAAAAGGTCTCTGATCGCGCGCATTGACGAGATTTGCGAGTTCCCGGACAACAATGAGAGGAACAGAATCATTGACGGCTTGCGATGGATCGGACTCTTTTCCGACAAGCCAGCAACTCTTCGTGGTAATCTCCTCGACACACTATGTGTAGAGCTCGAAGGACTCATGAGCTATCACTATGGTGAGAGAGATCTGGTCATGCTCCAGCACAAGTTCATTGTTGAGTGGAAAGATGGCAGTCGAGTAAGCATGCATGCTGCAACCCCTTCCCAATTGGGTCAAACTCTGACGGTGACCCGCGTGAACAGGATACAATCACATCGACACTTGAGCTCTTCGGAGAACCTGGTGGGCATTCTGCCATGGCCAGAACCGTTGGTGTGACCTGCGGCATTGCTACCCAGCTATTGCTGGACGGGGAACCTGCTTTGAACGTGCTGGGGGTGTTGGCGCCCTACAATTCAGAAATCTGTGACCCCATTCGCAAGTTGCTCGAGAAGGAGGGGATTAGCATGGTAGAAAAGACACTCTGATGAGTATGGACGGGAGAACCCCTTAACGATCGAGATAGCTCCGTCAGACTGGTATCACGCATCACATTGTGGTCGACAAAGGTTGAATGCTTCTTATGCTCCATCTTGTGTTAGCTTTCGCCAAACCCAAACATCTTGACACTGTTTCTGCAAGCCGCATCAGCAACCTCATCCACACTCAGCCCTTTCAACCCAGCCACAACAAAAGCCACCCTGTCCATAGTGCAACTCTCATTTCTCCCCTTCACCATGAGACCCAACTCGAACTTATCCTTCTTCTTGCTCTGCGGCAAAGCCGATGCGTTACCAAGATATCTCTTCGCTACCTCCGAACCCGCCGGTATCTCACCCCACGGCGAATCCGTCTCGATCTGCAAGTTCTCCAGCGGAATATCGCGCACCATCTCCAAGCTTTCCCTGTCCTGGAAGCTGAAGCCGTTGACGCTGACGTCGAAGCCGAGCTCCACCAGAGTCCTCATCTGAGCCGAGGTGCCCACAAAGGAGTGTACCAGTCCACGGCGGGGGAGGTTAGGGAGGTAGGGCTTGATGATCTCCACGAAATCATCGTATGCAGCGCGACAATGAAGAAATAGGGGCAATTCAAACTTTTCTTCGACAAACAGGTCCAACTGCCGCTTAAAAGTACGAATCTGCGCTTCCTTGGACGCGTGGATCAGGCGGTCATAGTCAAGCCCCAATTCGCCATACGCAGCCAACGGTGACGAAGAACTACCATCGGCTACGGAACCCTCCAACGCTTCCCGAACGATTTCAGCCAACTTTTTGAAGTGACAATCCTCGCCGTCATCTTCCTCAGTATCGGGCTCCGCGGCATGATACGGGTGAATGCCAATCGTCACGAAACACGTCCCCGCCGGCCGCGACTTGGCAATGGCGAGGTTCGTGGCCGCGTCGCTGAGGGACATGCCCGTGAGCATCACCTTGTCGACGCCCGCGGCCGAGGCGCGGTCGAGGACGGCGTCAAAGTCTGGTTGGTGATATTGTTTGCCTCTGTAGAAGCCGGCGAAATCTTTTGCTGTTGCTGTTACTGCGACCTAGTGTTGGTGTGTCAGATTTTGGTGTGATGTTTTTGATTCAAAGCAATAATCGCGTGTAGTTCATCATGAGGACTCATGGTTTCGTGAACTTACATCTGCAAATCGAAGCTTGGTCTTGGGTTTGGGCGGTGTGTTTGCCGGAAAGCCGGCAAGCAGGTCCGACGACATGGTGTTGAGCGTTATGACTTGTGGGAGATTTACAGACTGAATTAATTCTGAGCCTCACTAAATCAAAGATTTAATTGAGCGTGATGCAATTCCATTGATACCTTATGTTTTGCTAGCCATTATGTGATTGTCTCTTAGTCTCCCCAGAGATTCCCCCATGTTCCCCCCGCTTCGGTGGGAGACAAGCTAGTGGATCAGATGGCTTGGCGGGGCCGGTCTCGGCCGGACCGGCATTCGGCCTTGGAAACTAGAACGAGCTACTCTCAGATGTGAGTGTGAGCATTCTTCTGAATTTACAGTCAGTGGGTATGCTAGCAGTTGTTCAATATGACTTTCGCGCATCGTACTTGTATCTCTTAATTTGCTTTTTGGCGTGCAAGTTTCTCGTCTTGTCTTTGAGTGACTTACCTCCAGAGGAATGGAGACGTTGCTTGCAGTAGCTGAGATAAGGTACCTTACTTGACATATGTTCCATACCTAACTACCTTCGCTTCCGTGGCTTCCAATGGGGCACGCAAGAAAGTTCGGCCAGACTGAGGAGTAAAATGACGTATAAAGCTCATTCTCATGAACACCTCACGTTGTTACAGCTTCACCATGGTACAAAAGTTCAAGATGCTAAAATCCAAGGAGCAACAGTTTTATTTTATATGGAATTCTCGTCGAACAAGGCATCTAAGCAGAGTATGGCTCCATGAACTTGTTGCATATGAATTATCCCACTTCAAGCCAGTTCCTTCTCAAGAGCATCAGCCATTTCCCCCAACGTATCAAACTTCCAATCAAACACCTCGCGATCCCTATTCCCCATAACCGCCCCAGGCCTCACAATCCAAGACGACTTGATACCAGCCTCCTGGGCCGGATGGTGATCATGAAACTGACTCTGCGCCGTCTGCAGTACCTGTCCCTTCTCAATCCCAAACCTCTCCTTCACCTCGCGGAGCATATACGTAAAATTGCGCTGGTCGGGCTTATACGACCCGACATCCTGCGCCGTAACAATCAAATCAAAGGCCACGCCCGCCAGCGGTCCCGCATTACTGAGTGCAAACGAAGTACGGTCGACGTTGGAGAGCACCACGAGCTTGTAGTACTTGCCCAGCCGGCGGAGTGCGTCGACCGTGTCCGGGAACGCGGGCCACGAGCCGACGGAGTCGCCAAAGGCCTTTGAGGCCTCTGCGGACGGCGGCGGGGATGTCAGGCCGAGTTTGGCGGCGATTTGGGGGTGGATTGTGGTGAGGAGCTGGGCGTAGGGGAGGTCTGGGGTTTTGGCCTGCTGCGCGGCTTCGCATTCGTGGTAGATGTCTAGGAGGTGCTTGCGGGTGAAGTCTCCGACGCGGTTGTTTGCTTCTAGAAGTGGTTGGAGGGCTATTAGGGCGCTTGTTTCCCAGTCGATGAGGGTGCCGTAGACGTCGAAGGTTAGGACGCGGAAGTCTTTGAGGCTGGCCATTGTGAAATTGGTTTTGGTATTGTTGTTGTTGATGATGAGGGTTCAGTCTTTTTGGTCGTAATTATGCGGGGTCAAATTGATCGGCGGTTTTCAATCGATAAACTGCTAGACCAGGAGTGCAACTCTGTCTCTCTTTTAACATCTGTTCAACGGATTTCTCACGCCGTCTCAAACTGCAACTCGAAAATGATATCGTCTACTGATCAGTCTTCCACTATGAGCATGAAGCTATCGACACGCATGTGGCCTCCACCTCGCAAGGGCGCGCAATGTCATCATGTCAGTCGGAACCGGGAAGGCGAGGACACGGCCCACTGCTCCGTCCGGGTCGCAGTCCGGCCCGATTGGACGATGGCGTTAAGTGGGGTCGCGGCACCGGTCCGGTGACCGGATGTGACCGGCACCGCTCCAGCCTGCCGCCGTGTAAGTCAGCTGGACTTAGGTAGACCCAGGGAACCGAATTCTTCGATTGAGCTGACTTGCGTGCTGCTGGTTCACGAGTGACGGGATTACTGATCAAGGAGACTATGTAGCACTCCTGTGGAGTTTGGCCACAAGGAGATCAAACATGTTCTGAAAGCACATGCAAGAGCTGGTCAAATTACGACTAGGATCGAACCTAACAAGAAATCTTATGTTACAGCATGTGTTTTCGCTGATAGTATCGATCCGGTGATTCGGTTGGCATAGATATCGCAAAGCGGTTCCTGCCTGTAATCCTCGAGTTCGGCTTACGCCGGCGGGTGAATAAGTATCAATCTGTGTACTATGTTCGAGGCTTTTGCGACTTTGTTCTACAGCATTCTTACACAGCGTTGACAACTGGCGACAGTGGTACATAACGAAATGTTAACGTCGTGTTTGACCGTAGCAAATCACTCAGGCGCAGTAGCTCTGATTAGCACCTCAGTCTCCAGGAACTAGCGTAATGCGACTTCGCAGGTTGCGCTGTGACGTCTTTCCTTCATATCCAGACACTCCTTAGGTCCAGAAACGAGGTCTGTTGGCGTGAATTAGGACAAGATGAACGTTGTAAAAAGAATGAGGAAACGACGAGTATTGGAGTCATCACATTCCCCGAACCAGTTTCAACGAGGTGCACCATTCTGCTCGCACCACTCGAAGATCACGCAGACCAACAATCGAAGACTGACAAGCCCCTGTAAGTTGGACCCTGCGGCTCATCCAACCCACGGACTTCGGGTTAATCTTGACGTCGCGCAAAAAAAAAGTATGGCTCATCGACCTCTAGCTCTCAAATCATGTGTGAGACTATCTGGGCAAGGCTGCATAGATACCATGAGCAGTCAGAAATGCTTCTGAGCACTGCTCAACCTTGGCTGACAGTCAATTGCAGCCTCAATGCCTCCAGACCCTGGTGCATGATTGGCACGCACATCCAATTGTCCAGTATGCGCGACGAGCCTCAATTTGGAAAACGCCGTGGGAATGTGTCGAAAAGGGTCGCATCGACCTATTTGGGTACTGCAGAGTGGATCTCCCGGCATGTCCTTGGCACTACGTCGCATTGTTCGGTGTGCAATGCTATGCTGCTCGCATTATCGTATGATTGAGAAGAGCCAAAACCAGCTCCTCGCCTTGTCCTCAGGCTCGCGTATGGTTGAATTGGAAAGGCGTCTGGCACTACGGCTAATGTTCGACCCCTCTTCGCAGGATTCAGAGATCGACCATCCTGGGCGGGGAGACGACTTATAACGATCTTCGGGCTTATGCCAGGCCCGGCCGGAAAGCCTCGTATTCGGCCGTCAAGTGCTGGAAGGGCTCTCTAGTTCCCCGTTGACGCCTCTTTTTGATACCGATAATGCTGAATGGTGTTACGATCGGTACTGTCGGAAGCTATATGATTCGGTTGGAATATCATCGTGCACACCACTTGATAACAAATGGAGGGCTGTATTGTCGAAATGATGACTTGTTTGTGATTACTGTTCACCGGCAGTTCCAGCGCCGACGAATTCGGTGTTGACGGCGACGATCGCAGCAGCCTTGTGTTCCAAAAATCCGGGACCAACAGAAAAGGGAAGGGTCCAGGGTTCATCTGGATCGTTGAAGAACTCGAGATCCTAGATATATAAGAAACCCCGGTCAGCAATGACTGGCAGACGCTCGCCATCCCCGCATGCTCGCCTCGAAGTCGCGAGCGGCGATCGACATGATCTGCGCCGCTTGGCTGCCAGAAATCGCCGACGCCTTACCTTACCCACCAGGGTTCATCCATGGAGGAAGTTGAATTTGCCAGGAAGCCACGAGGGTAGGTCCCATTTCAGCATGTCCGCAAACGAGGATGGCGATGAGATGGACCTGTAGAAACTGCAGCCTAGTCCCGTCACTGGATCTCGCAGCGAATTGATCCATAGTCGAGAAGTGACTGGCGAATGATAGCCGACAGAAACTTCATTCGAAAAAAGGTGCGCAGTAGAGAGACAATCGAAGGACTCGATTCAGGTCGTTCCGATGCATACAGCGACTTCTGACGGTGATTCGTGGTTACAGGTGGCGGGATTGTTGCGGGCGTGTGAGGCGAACCGTCATGGGGTTGCCGCCGTCCGCCTCACTTTGCCTATCTCCTGCAGGCTCACCACCCCCAACCTGTAAGGTGGAACACACCCAGATGGATGGGTTCCCACCCTTGTGAGAACCGACATTGCAAAGGCCGTATGTGGCGTCTGTCCTTGCATGCAGGCATTGTAGAGGCAGGTTCTGACGACTGAGAAGCCGAAGCGGTGAGGATGCCGACAAGAGCTGTGCCGAAAAGGCAAGACAAAGTGCTCTTTTTGTCTTGCTTGGTGCAATAACATGCCCTGGGAACTCGTAATATCGACTCTGTCGGAGCGTACGAGGATTGGCACCCCCGAATCATCGCATTTTTGGCGAAGATAAATACCTTGTCCGTCCTCCTGATCGCCAGTATCTCACGACGACTTGCGCCATCTTGCTCATCCAATGCGCTCGAGCAGACAGCTCATATTTTCCATGCCCAAGCATCTGCCATGCCTTCGTCAACAGAGATGAACAGATATTGGATTCCCCGGTTGGATATTCACAAGAAGATCATCACTCAAGAGCTTCCCTATTATCTCGGGCCAGATGCAACGGTCAGGCCGTACACAAACGAGGTGTGAATATCTCATTCACGATGACTGAGACGCCTCTCACAGCATCTACAGGGAGAAGATGGATTTCTCATCACTACTCCAGGCCCTTGCTTGACAGATGTGAGCTTGCCGCTTGATTCTTTTCCCCATCTCTTCTTCTTCGACCGCGCAGAATTTGCTGATCATCGTCTCTGCGTATAGGAGCAAATCGACGATATCTGTAGGAAATCCAAGGAAATATGGGAGCGCCAGGCGGCCATTAGAGCCCAAGAAGCAGACAAGCCCCTCAAAAGACCGTTGCATCAACCGGTGGTGATATCCCGAGGGTCAAACGACTCGTCAAGAAGGAGACATGACGCGTACCGAAGCCACGAGCGACATCGACGTTACGACGACAGGCGGCGTGAGTGAAGTCGAGTGGATCGGTGGAGTCGACTACTGTGAATGAGATCTCGCATTGGGCCAGGTCTTTGGATCTAGGCATTTGAATATTAAGGCGTTGCAGGCGGCCGGGTTAGCCCTTTCATGCATACGGAAGGAATTTGTGGGATTCGATGATTCGAGGCATGCGCAAAAGGTCGCGTCTCTTGTGAGGGGGATCGAATTGTGTGGCCTGGTGGCCGCAGACGGTGGACCCGACCGAACACTCGTTCTTTTGACTGGTTGGGCGTCAGGCGAAACGAAGCAGTATTATAACCAGATTTTTGTTTGGTTGGGACGAGAAGAGTATGTGTCCCGAAACCATCCAGCAGTAGTCTGCCATCTGGCATTTTCGGGGGGTCCAATGGTAATAGCAAAATCTCCGAAGTCTTTTGCACACTGCTCCTTTTTGGTATGTGTATGCGGAACTGTTGCAAGAGGCGCGCATCAGAGTGCAGCGCCAGCGAATGCCATTAGCTGTCGTTTTCTCAACCAGGTACCTAATTGGCGCGTGTTTGCTCTTTCCAGAATAGACAACGTGCATTGATACCGGACCAAATTGTCGATGTAAGCTAGTAGCACATCCATGCGGGCCGAGAATATTTGTTCAATGAAACCTTTGACAGGATGGCGTGGCTGACATGATACTCGGACCGTGCTCCGTCGCGAATGCTGAAAGAAAAGCCCATCTTCAGTCACAATGTAAGATCTCTTATCCATGCCTGTTGGTTCGTGGCATGCGTGACGAATTGGACGAGACACGAGAGCCTGGTTGCGGTGTTGAGCATGACACGTCTGCCTACATTATTACCAAGGCCAATGTCCGCTTCCTCTCAGGTCAGGCGGCAGCTTATGGTAGTAGATGGTATGCCTCGTCTTCCCCAACGGGCGGCATAGACTCATCTAGACTCTACTTCAAGTCGTTGCGAAGGAAGCTTCGTATCGCTGGAGATTAAGAGGGCCAGCGGACCAGAGCATCAGTGCCTGGACGGCGGCTATACGTGGTTCACGGGTCGTCCCTTTGGCCCAGGTTCCCGGGGGAGCGGGCGTGAGATAGCCAACCACATTCACCCACTCGCCGACGCGTGTCTGATTTGAAGGCATGGTACTGAGTAAGAGTTGAACGTCGACCAATACACTGATATTGGATCCTTTGGGGAAGCTGTGCTCTAGAGTGAGCACAGCTGAGTGCGTCGAGTACGCAGTTACACTGATGGCAATTAGTATGGTTACCAATAGACCACCCTTGACATATCACGAGAACGAACCATCTATCAAAGTTAGAAGTGGGCAAGAAGTATCAAAACTTACCAGCCGAGAAATCTGACCTTATCGCCCTGTGGTCGAGACGGCAAGTCTGACAGGAGACAAAGCTGAGAAGGCAGCGGGCCTCTAGACATGGCTTAGGTGATTGTTAGTTGCTCAGGGCTCGAACAACATGCATCGCTGCTTGGCCAAGTCGAAGGTAAGTTCCAGTCAGGTGGCCGGTGAAGCGATTCAGACAACGATCATCTGAGGCTGCCGGGTAGTGTAAATCTGAGGGACGTTACGTGTAAGATCAACTTTGTGGTTTCCCCGGCCATGACACAAAGGCAGGTACGAAGTACGAAGTACCCACTGAGGAGGAAGGGAGTGGTGAATGCCAGCAGCTGCTGGCGCCTGCAATTTTGGTCACTGGGGCGCGTGCACCAATCTAGGTACCTTACCTATCGGTGATAAGATATGCCTTATCTGGATCAGGTACCTACCTTAGGTACCTTTTGTAACCACCAAGGTCGCCTGTCACGCGGGCGTCTCACATGATCGGCTGAACCGCGGCTAAATCAGGCGGCGGCACTGTTGCTGGGCACAACCGCCGTCATCGCTTGCCCACTAAACGGCGTCGCTGAGCCAGTCGGGAGCTTGCATCATACCTACCTACCGACAACCTGCCTGATTCTATCTATCAGCCTCCCAACTATCAACTTGGCGACAACTTGACTTGAGCGAGCCGCGGGTGTTCGTCGCATGATATAGAAATTACTGGCATCTCCGCCTATCAGTACGCCTTTGCTAAATTTGCGGCACGTTGACGACGACGAGTGCCCGCTTGTTTCCCGTTTCGGTACCCCGCCATCAAACTTCGGTCGAGTGCCACGCAACCCCGGAATACGGCTGCCTTCGAACGATCGCTGCCTACGCACAACCTCATAAACGACCGGAACTCATTTGATCTACTCGAATCATACTAGCAACCCCGAAACTCCAACACATCTGATCATGTCTGGCGTCTGGGGCTGGTTTGGCGGTGGCGGTGGCGCCAAGAAGAAGAACGATGCCAAAGATGCAATCCTCGGCCTTAGGGTCCAGCTTGATATGCTGCAAAAAAGAGAGAAGCATCTTCAGACGTTGATGGATGAACAAGATACTATTGCGAGGAAGAATGTTAACACAAACAAGAATGGTAACTTATTTGAGCAATCGACATCGTGGGGAGACTGGATGCTGACGGCATATCGTGATAGCTGCAAAGGCTGCCTTGCGTCGCAAGAAGGGCCATGAACACAGCCTCGAACAGACTATTTCGCAAATCACGACACTCGAGTCCCAAATCAACGCTATCGAGTCGGCGAATATCAACCGCGAGACGCTGTTGGCGATGGAGAAGGCTGGCCAGGCCATGAAGGGTATTCACGGCAAGCTCACCGTGGACAAGGTGGACCAGACAATGTATGTTTCGAAGGTTTTAAGCCAGTACGGAGGATGTCTGCTGACTACGAGAACAGGGAGGATCTCCGTGAACAAAATGCGCTTAGCGAGGAAATCGTCAACGCGATCACAACGGGCCAGACCGATAACATCATCGACGAGGACCTGGAGGATGAGCTGGATCAAATGCAGCAGGAGGCTTTGGACGAGCAAATGGTGGGCACTGGCACGGTACCTGTGTCAGACCGCGTCCACCAGATGCCTGCCGCCGCGAACGGACCGAGTAAGGCGATCCCACCCTCCGAGATCATGATAAGAGTGATGTACTGACGTGATGATTCAGTCAAGGGCAAGGCGCAAGCTGTCGAAGAGGACGACGAAGAGGCCGAGCTTCGCAAGTTGCAGGCGGAGATGGCCATGTAAAGGAGTCAGGTGTGAGGCGATCCTGTGGGGATGGCCGAGAACGATGGCATAGCATTCCTGGTTCGGGATGGAGCTTCTAGAGGCTTTGCATGAGAATTGCGGCGCGATGGGATAAGCAGGTCGAAAATCACAGCTGCCCAGAGAAGTGGATACCGTACGACACACTTGATGTACACGAACATGCTCACCACCAACGACGGATACGACTCTGAAGCGGCCCTCGTTCACATGTTTCTCAGCTACCTGCCCCTCTTTCTCAGACCTGTCTACTGGCGTTGGCGTTTTGGGTTATGTGGGTGCCATTCGATAGGAATCTTGGGGTTGTGGAGGCTGATGGGAGGGAGTTTGACAAGCTTTTCTGGTTTGCTGGAGTGGCACTTTTTACACAGTCTCCGAGTACTACGTACACCTCACTTTTTTCATAGAAGACATATTGATTGTTGTTGAGAAGCTATTGCAGCGCTGGGGCCTTTTCCTTTGATGGACAGGACAAAATACTTGAGGGCTAATGCATCGGAAGCGCTGCCGCGTTGGAGCGATGTCTAGTCCGGTGAGCAAACGGGCGAGACATGCTGTCGCCGGCCCACCGGCAGTGCCAAGTTCGCTGTCTCAAAGAGGTCCCCACCGGACCGGGACCGGGACAGGAGCCATTCCTCACGTGTCTCGGCACACCGCCAGTCGTCAGGAGTGACCGATCGCGAGCCGGAGTTCTGGTGGCCCACGATCACTCTTCCCTCCGTGGCACAGTTGCGGACCTGCTGTGTTGAGGCAGGTGGCGGGCGTCGTTTCTGCGGAGTGCTCGGCTGCCTCTTTCCGACTCACGTAATTCTATGAATTTATGGACAGGATCCTCGATATGAATCCGGGACCTTATCATTGTGATCACGATGTGGGCTGGATCATTGTACGAGGTCAAATGAGGCTCTCTTACACGATCAATGCAAAGTTGGGCAGCGGGCACCGGACTCCTCTGCGGTATCTTGCGGATGAAGGCGCCAGAAATTTAGGGCGGTTGGGCTGCCAGGAGAGCCTTTGAAGGCCCAGCACACTGAGAACATAAAGGGCCGGAAGAGTGGATTCTTTTCGAGATGTTTTGGAAGTATTTTCCGTCACCGTCATGGCTAATTAGCTACGATATTGGGCTGTGACGGGGACACCGATACATGCCTCTTATCGAGTCCCACACAAGTATCTTATTCAAGCACCTATGGACAGGCTTCTCAACTTTTCTTGAGAGCAAAACCTTGGGATGCGCCAACTCAAAGAGTCAAGCCTCAAGGTCGGTCGTTGGTTGTTCGGGTTCTACCAGGGTGCCGGGGCCTACCTAAGTGCCCAAGTGGGCTCGTGAGATATTAACAATAACGGCCAGGGCAGGCACTGTAGAGTTGCAGGTGTTGGCGCCTGCCACATGCCACGCCGAAATTCCCAGCGGTGAGGGCAGGCACGTTAGTGACTTCCATTAGTGTAGCAACGTCTTTCCCAACACGCTGGCTGTGACGTGACAGCGACCAAAGCTTCCTTCCCGAAGAAAGTGAAACCATCTTCCTGGCAAAAGCTCGGGTCAGGAGTCAGGACTGCCAACTCAATTTCTTCCCCTGGCCTTCCCTCTTCCGCCTCCCTGCAAACATTTTCATGGATGGGTCTTCTTTCGCATAAACAACAAAACAATCGACGATGAGCCTTATCCACCGCAAATGAACGCCCATTGTGACAGTCCATGACATCAATCAACAGCTGGCTTTGTTCACGGCCATGTACCCGACGATTACTTGACCTTCCTAGTAATATCAGTATACGTATCAGCCTCGGAATCGCGATGGCTTCCCTCGCAACCTCGATGCTTCCCCAGCCCAGATGCTACCGACTCATTCTCTCCATCGACCATCTGTCTTCGATCATCGGTCATCAGGTCCGCCCAATACCACCAGTCATGCTACCTGCCGTCCTCTCAGCGCCTAACCGCCGACTTATGTACGGGCCCATTAATACTTTCCTCTCATGCCAAGTGGCATGTAGTCGGACCAAGTCGGGTTCTTGCAGGGCACCAATTGCATCGACGGCATCATTGCGGTACACAACCTATGTACGCATCTGCTCGGGCTAGACTGAGCTACTGCACCTCTCAGACACTGACCTCGGGAGGAGCCATGCCATCCCGTCCCATCCCATATCGACGTCGGCCCAACCTCCGCTAACCTCACCAACTTACTCTCACCAAAATTTTCGCCCGAACGCTCCATCTGACGGTTACATTGGATGGCACAGCAAGTCGTTCCACCGAAGGCGCCTTGCTGACATGACATGGTCACCACGGCATTGTATTCCTCGAATTTTCACGCCCACGTTTCTCCTTACTTCTTCGCAGACAGCCGAAGAAGACAGCCCGTTACAAGCCGTCGCCCAACCCAACCCCACCACTCTTCTGCTGGTGCCACTGTCACTGTCACTGCAGTCACATCCGCCCCTCCCGCCAGCCGTGGTCCGGACCTCTGCTGCATGGATCTTCACAGACGAGCCTCAGCCAGGCGAGCCACGTTGCACCTCGCTGACCGGGGGTTTAATGGCCGATGAGAAACAAACCGCACTTGCCTCCAACCCCCACCATGAACATGCCAACCGCCGGTGAGCGTCTATCGAAGGGAAGTGCCAGTCAGCAAGTGGCCATGTGCACAAGCATAACGGTCTCTCGACGCCGTCTAACTACTTCTAGCCAAACCGCGGCTTCTCCCTTGTCCACCCTCCATCTCTTCGAATAACACGAATGACGGGAAGAAGGTTGGGTTTACCCTCCATTTTGTTCCAAGAACCACTCTTCCGCCGGCAATCGTTTCCTTATGTCTCGCCAGGCGCGATGGGGACCTGTGCATACAAGGATATGCCTGGCCCTAGTGGACCGGCCCATCGACCTACCCTGCTCCGGCTGCCCGATGCGTGCGAGTGCACTGGGCCGGAAATCGACGACCAGCGCAGCACATCAATTATTAGCTCATAGCCGCTGAGTGGAGGGATACTTGACACTTGACACTTCATCGAACCCAAAAAAAAATTACCTCGTCCTCAGAGGAGTCTTGGAGAGTCTAAGCCCTTTCGAGTCATTCCCAGGCCAAGTACAAATACATATAGCCTCCTCAGTATTATTCATCCATCATTGCCTCAGGAGAACGATTGGGGGAGAGGCATTGCGACTTGTTCTTTTGTGGTCTCTCAGTCTTTTCGAGTGCCTCACCGCAAAGACTGGCCCGTATGCTTCTCTTCGCATTGGCATCCGCAATGATGTTGGCTTCTGTGGGTAAAAGTCAAGCGACGGTACTCATCCGATAGAATCAATGGACTTCAATGGCACGGCGCGCGGTATGTCATCTTGAGACTTAAGTACGGCCCTGTGAGACTACGAAAAGGGATAAGACCACAAAAAGTAAACCACATATCCCGGGGGAAAAAATCACCGACGTTCATGCCCGGCCTCGTTGATGCCGTCTCATTATGCGGGTTGGCCGCTCGCTTCCAATCGCATCGTCGTTGGGCAGCCATCAACCCTCCTCCTTGTCTCCTTGTCCGTCTGATGTCCCAAGTCCAATTCTGTTCGTCTGCCTTGCCTCTCGTCACATCATTTATCACATCACTCAAGCTCCCGAGTCCCAGAAACCGCACTTCCCAGTCCAACCCAATTGCGACGTGGCGCCAGTGCTTGTTCCGCCTCACTTGAGCCAATGGCTCTCAAGCACGCACGACAGTGATCACTTGGACTCTGAGACTGACAGAATTTGTCTCCATTCGTGGGGACAGCGTGGGGTAGGCCTGCGTCAGGGACCCCTTACTCCCGCACCTTGAACCCTGCGACAGACCAGTGATGCTTGTGATGTTTGGCACTCCTGGGAAAGCTCCCCCCTGCTTCTCGAGAGTCTACTTTTCTTCCCACAGCTTAGCCCAATTGTGTACTCCTGGGATGGTCGTAGTCGGGACGCATCTCGTCACTCTTGGTCCCTTATTTCTCAACTCCATCCAGTGTCAAGCCGAGACAAGAAACCTGTTGCTTCCTTGTCATATCTGCCCATTGCACTTTTGTCTGTTGTTTACACCACAACACGGTCTCACAGGCGACAAGATACCTCTCAATACATCCTTTTGAGTCTCGCGATACCAGCCCAAGAGACTCGAACTTCTTACTCCGGCTTGGGCACCGCACTATCACAAGAACGTTGAGGAATTGTCAAGAAAAAAACTCCCAATCTCATCTCACGCCAACGACAGCCGTCCACGTGCGCCACAGACAACATCAGACCATCTCCCCGGATCAGCATTGATCAACTTTCGCGTAACAAGGACCCCCATAATCCACGAGTCCCGGAAGCATGAATTCGGAAGAGCCAGTCGATTTCTGCCCCTACCGGCAGAACCTTGATTGGAGCCATGTCCAAACCCAAGATTTCTCCAACATCCAGTATTTCCAACCATCAGATTCAGAGCTGGAAAATGGTAAGTCACGTTAGATTGCGCTTTGAGTATCGCATTAGTACGCCTAACCCCTTCATCTTACAGACGGCGACGTATATGCCAGTGGCGTGACGTATTCCTCACAACCTGCACAGGCCAGCAGCAGCAGCAAAAAGAGTAAGAAGAAGGCAAAGAAGGACAAGAAGGCAGCACAATACACTTATGAAGAGCCACCGGCTGTCGCCCCTGAGCTTCCCACGCCTGAACCGCCTCAAGATAACGGCATAGCCGAAGACGAGTGGCCGACACAAACCCCCAAAAAAGACAAGAAGAAGAAGAAGAAGGGGAAAAAGGAGGAAACTGCTGCACCTCCGCCACCTCCGCCTCCACCGCCCGTAGAAGCTGAGCCCGAACCGGAACCTGAGCTTGAACCTGAGCCCGAGCCCGAGCCCGAGCCTACGCCTGAACCAATAAAAGAGAAAGAGATCGTTGTAGAGGAGGCACCCGTGTCTCCGACGAAGACGAAGGAATCCTCCAAAAAGGACAAGGAAAAGGACAAGAAGAAAGACAAAAAGAAGAAAAAGAAGGGCAAGGGCGGAAAGGACACCGAACCAGAGCCGGTCGAGAGCTCAAGATCGATTCCACCTCCGCCGCCGCCACCCCCGGTAGAGGACGCCAAGCCGCCAAAGATGGAGGATGTTCCAGCTCCGCCTCCGGAGGCCGTCATTGAGGCCAAGGAGGAGCCGTCGGCGGTCGAAGCTGAACTTGAGCCGGCTGCTGACCGAAGCCTGGATGACGCCAAAGTCGATGACACGGTGGCGACGGAAGTATCTCCAGACGCTGCCGAAGCCAATGCAGAGGCAACGGAATCTGCGGCCGTAGATCCAGCCCCCGCCGAAGCTCCCGCTGAAGCCTCTGCTGAAGCGCTTGTTGAAGCTGCGACAGAAGGTAGCCAGGATAACGTAGCCGATACACCAGCACAAGCGACTCACGAGGCTACAGAGGCTACACCTGAAGCTCCCACTGAGGAGGTTGCAACCGAAGAACCTTCAACAGTCGAAGCAGAGCCTATTGCAGCGGAACCCCAGACTGACGACACACCACCTTCCGAAGCTGTTCCCGAGGCTCCTGAGGCTCAGGCTGAGGCCGAAGTTGACAAGGAAGCAGACGACAAGCCTGAAGACGCAACTCCTGCCAACGCTCCTGCTGATGCAGTCCCCGAAACGACCGCAGAGACACCAGCAGAGGAAAGGTCCAACGAGCCCGCACCTACACCAGACGATGCTACGCCGGTGGTCGACGAAGCCAAGCCTGATGAATCCACAGTCCCAGATCCGGCCCCCGACGCACCCGCAGATGCAGAACCTGAGACTGCTGCATCAGCAGAGGAGCCCATCAGCGAATCTTCAGTCGAGCCTGCATCGGAAGAGACTGCACCTGTTACAGATACTGCGGTTGATGCTCCAGTCGAAACGAAGTCGGAAGACGCTGCTCCTGTCGAGGAGAAAGCGGCTGACGAGGCTCCTGCTGAGTCAAAGCCTGACGATTCCGCGCCAGCCCCGGAGGAGACTGCAGAGCCTGAAGAGCCAGCTACTGAGGCTCCAGCTGAAGACAAGCCGGACGTTCCTGGTCCTGCGGATGAGCCCATCACCGAGACTTCCGAAGAGACAAAGCCAGTAGATGCTGCCCTTATAGAGCCTACGGCCGAAGCGCCCGTTGGCGCCGAGCCTGCGGCAGAAGCCGCAGAGGAAGCTAAGCCGGATGACGCTGCCGCTGCAGAAGTTGCCGATGTTCCTGCCGATGCTCAGGTCGACGTCCCGGCTGATGCCTCGGCTGACGCCCCAGCCGAAGAACCCGCGCCCGCGGAAGAACTTATTGCTGCCGATGTCAAGTCTAAGGATCCCGTTCCCGAGGAGGCATATGAAGAGGCTTTGCCTGAGGACTCCTCTGCTCCTGCTGCTCCTGCAGCCGAAGAAACTCCTGAGGCCAAGACCGAGGATGCCCCTCCTTCCGATGCTCCTTCTTCCGAACCTCCGGCTGCCGAAGTTGCGGCCGACGAAGCATCTGATGAGCCAGCTCCAGCTGAGCCCTCAGCCGAGCCTCCTGTTGAGGCAGCGGAAGAGCCGCTCTCCGAGGAGTCAACACCGGAAGAAGCATCGACGGCTGCAACTGCCGAAACGGAGGCAAGTGCTGAGACGGAGGCATCTTCAGTTCCTTCTGAGGTCGCTAAAGAGGCCGATACAGCCGAGCCTGGATCGGTTGAGGTTGATGTCGCAGACGCTCCGGCTGAAGTGGCCGCTGAGACTCCGGCAGCTGAAGAAGCAGTGTCATCGGAAGAGACCCCAGTTGAAGCTGCGGTTGAGACTCTAGCTGTAGAGGATGCAATCGAACCCGCAGTCGCCGAGACAGATGCCCCCGCGGATGATGCTGCAAAGCCTGAAGAGGCCGAATCAGCTCCCGTCGCCTCAGAGGACGCACCAGTACCTGCTCCGGCTGACGCAACCGAGTCTGCGGAGGTTCCATCTGAGACAACTGATGCTCCAGTTGAAGTAGCTGAAAGCGAAGAGTCTGCCCCGGCTGAGCCGGCCGAGGTCAAGGAAGAGGCAGCGCCTGCTGAGGCCGAACCTGCGGCTATCCCAGAAGATGCAACAGCCACGGATGCAGCTTCTGAAGAGTCCAAGCCTGAAAATGCCGCGGTGGAGGCAGAACCAGCAGCAACACAGGAAGAAATTGCTCCCACTGGCGAAGATATGCCAGCTTCCGCTGATGCTGATGACAAGTCCGTTGAACCAGTCACTGCAGCAGAGCCCGCTGAGGAGCAGCCTGCCCCTTCAGACAAGGAAGCCGGCTCAGCGACTCAGCCGGCCGAGGCTGAGGCCGAGCCCGCGGTTGCTGAGCCGGCCGAGGCACTAGTCGAAGCAGCCGCTGATTCTGCGGCTGCTCCTGAGCCTGACGCTGAGACCACCAAGACTGAGGGCGTCGAGCCTCCCAAGGAGTCTGAACCCGAAGCTGACGCTGAAGCCTCCAAGGAGATTGAAGCTGAGCCTTCGAAGGAGCTTGCAGAGAGCGCTGAACCTGCCAAAGAGTCAGAGCCCGAGGCCGCAGCTGATGCCACGCTCGATGAACCGGAGACGGTCGAGACAGCTGTCGAAGAGACAAAAGAGCCTGAGGTAGGACCTGCCCAGCAGGAGGAGGAATCTCCCGCTCCCAAGGAAGAGGACGGCCCTACTGCAGAAGCTGAGGCCGAGGCTGTCAAGGTGGAAGAAGCTGAAGTTGCAGACGTTGAACCAGACGCTTCTGAGCCAGCCAAAGCTGAAGCTGAAGCTGAGGACCCTAAGGAGGCAGGGGTTGAAGCTGTAGCAGAGAGCGCTGCCGTAGATGAGCCTGCCGCGGCTCCTGAGGTTGATACTACGGAGGAGCCTGTTGCCGAAACTGCGGCAGAGGTTGAGGCTCCTGTTGACGCGGCCCCTGAAGGTGCTTCTGAGAGCACTGTTGAAGTTGCTTCCGAGACTTCTCCCGAAGATGCTCCTGAGGCTGCTCCGAAAGCCGAAACCGAGGCAGCGACAGCTGCAGTTGAAGCTGATGATACCAAGGACGCCGAAACCGAGGTTGCTGTTGAGCCTGAAACAGCTCCTGAGGCTACACCAACGGAAGCCGAGCCAGCTGCAGCCGAGCCCGAGGCACCGAAAGAGGACGAAGCTGCCGCCACACCAGAGGATACCCCAGAGGATGCTCCAGAAGCCCCCAAGGAAGCCGATGTCGAAGCTCCAGACGCTGCTGCCGCTGCTGCCGCCGATACATCTGGGGATGCCGCCGCCACGGACGACGCAGTGGTCTCAACTGAAGGTATGGACGGATACGAAATCATCAGTGACGGCAAAGAATTCAGTTTCACCGTGGACATTCTCTCCCCAGGGACCAAGGATACTAAAGAAGAAACAGAACCTGCCGCTGAAGCCGAAGCCACGCCCGAGGATGCCAAGGCCGAAGAGACAATTCCCGATCCCGCCCCGGAGGAGCCGATTACCGCCGCTGCCGAAGTGGAGACTGAGCCAGAAGCTCCCGAGGAGACCCCAGCCGAAACGCCCGCCAACGCTGCCGAGCCCGAAGCTAATACTGAAGAGGTCAAGACCGAAGCTACCGAAAATGAAGTTGCGCCTGAGCCCGAGGTCGCCGCAGGAACTGCCGTCGCGGAGCCAGAGGCACCTGCCGCCGCTGAGGATCCCAAGCCTGCGCCCGCTGCTGAGGCAGAACCGGAGTCGGCCCCCGAGACTAACGACGAAGTCCCAGCTGCGGACCCGACCCCAGAAGCCAAGGAGCCTGAACAGGAGGCGATTCCAGATGCACAAGAACCAGAGCCGTCAATTGAGGAACCTTCAGAGCCCGAGGCCGAGACCGCTGCCGACCCTCCTGCTCCTGCCTCGGAAGAACCAGTTCCGGAGAAGGCTGCAGAGACGGCCGAAGATGCTGGCGAGGCGCCTCCTGAGGCTGATGCTGCTGCTGCTACTCCCGAATCTGAGGTTCAACCTGAAGACTCCGCCGCAACTGAGGTCCAGGAGCCTGCGCCCGAAGTAGCGGCTCCCGCGGATGACAACGAACCAGCTGCCAAGGTCGAGGGTGATGCTGAGGTTAAGGGTCCTGAACCTGAAGCGCCAGCAGCAGAGCCTGAAGTCGAGACGGCGCCAGCTGAGGCACCGCCTGCGGCCGAGGAGACCAAGGAGCCCGAAGCAGAAGCTGTCCCTGAAGCTTCCTCTGAGGCGAAGGAGGTCGATCCTGCTGTCGAGCCTACCCCCGAAGCTGAACCCGCTGCTGAAGCAGAGCCTGCCGCCGAATCTAAAAACGAGCCCGAGGCCGACGTACCCGCTGTTGCTGAGACAGAGGAGGCAGCGCTTGTTCCGGAGACTGTGGCTGATGAGGTCAAGGAGGCTGATCTTGAGCCTGCCGCTGAGCCTGCTACCGAGCCTGCAACGGAATCTGCTGCGAAAGCTGAGCCAGCTTCTGATGTTAAAGAGGCAGAACCCGAGACTGATGCCGTTACTGAAGCAGACGTCAAGGAACCTGAGGGTGAGGCTGCAGCTGAGCCTGATGCTACTCCTGCGACTGAGGCTGTTCCTGAGATTGAGGTCGCTGCTCATGAGTCCGACGCTGCTCCTGAAGCAGAGGCTGCTCCTGAAGCGGAAGCGGCTATCGAAACTCAGGAGCCCGCACCTGAACCTTCTGCTGAGGCAGTGGCTGAGGAACCCGAGTCTGCCCCTGCTCCCTCTGCTGAAGAAGCTGAAGCACCCGAAGCTGAGGTCGAAGTGGCAGAAGCCAAAGAAGCAGAGCCCGCGGCTGAGGCGGAATCTACTACAGGGGCGAAGCCTGCTGCAGACGCCGTTGATCCTGCTCCTGCTCCTGAGTCAAATGAGCCTGAACCTGAATCGGAATTTACTCCGGCCGATGCTGCTCTGGCTGAAGAAGCTGCCGATGTTACGGACGCGGTTCCGGAGCCGGAGGCGCCAGCAGCGACCGAAGAAGCCAAAGAACCCGAAGCCGCTGCTGTAGAAGTTGCCGCAGCAGAAGTCAACGACCCTGAACCCCAGACCGAGGTTGTCGAGGAGGCGAAGGATGCTGCCGCTGAGCCACCTGCCGTCCCAATTGAGACCGCTCCTGAAACCGAAGAGGCTCAACCCGATCCGCCCGCTGCGGTGGAGGAACCTGCCGAGGCGGAGCCTGCACCCGAAGTCAAGGAGGCAGAGCCGGAACCAGCGTCTGAGCCAGCTGCGGAAGAGACTAAGGAGCCTGTACTCGCCGAAGCTCTCGCGGAGGCGAACCACGCTGCCGCAGTTGAAGAACCTGAGCCTGCTCAGGAGACCGAGATACCCGAAGCAGATACGACGGCTGAACCGGTTGAAGAGCTTACGCCTGCTGAGGAACCTGCTTCGACAGAAGATCCTGCACCTGCGCCAGTTGAACCAGAGGCACCAGTTGAGCCAGAGGCACCAGTTGAGCCAGAGGCACCAGTTGAGCCAGAGGCACCAGTTGAGCCAGACGCGCCAGTTGAACCAGACGCGCCAGTTGAACCAGACGCGCCTGCAGAAGCAGCTGTTGAAGAATCTGCGCCCGTCGAGGAGTCTGCCCCGGCTGAGCCAGAAGCACCCGCTGAGCCAGAAGCACCCGCTGAGCCAGAAGCACCCGCTGAGCCAGAAGCACCAGCTGAGCCAGAAGCACCCGCTGAGCCAAAAGCACCAGCTGAGCCAGAGGAGCCTGCTGAAGCAGTTGTCGAGTCTGCCCCGGTTGAAGAAGCTGCTGCCGCTGAGCCGGAGCCACCAGCCGAACCAGTTGAAGAGCCTGCCCCTGCCCCTGCCGAGCCAGAGCCACCGGTCGAGGCAGATGTTGAGGCACCAATGACAGCTGAAACTGAAGACCACACAGCAGAAGTCGCAGTGGCTGCAGTGGCGGCGGCGGCAGTAGCCACGGGAACAGCGGTGGCGGTGGCAGCAGATGGTGAAAAGACGCGGTCTTTGGATGCTGAGGAAAGCAAGGATAGGGTAGGACCAATTGCCTCTGATGCGACAGAGGCAGAGAAATCAGGTGAGAATTCCCCTCCTTCCTCTAATCCCGATTCCCCCGATGGAGAGGCACGGGAAGGACAGGATGGCCAAGATCCCGAGGACGTCGGACCGGAAGCCGTCGCGGAGCCTGCCGAGGACAACGCCCCGGAGCCGGAACCCATGGAGCCTGTCGAGGAGAACGAGACAGCAATGCCTGCCGAAGCTACCGAAGGAGACGCCCCGGAAGAGCCAACTGCCGAGGTTCAGGAGAGTCAAGATGCGGTCGACGAAGAGCCTGATGTTGAGGAATCTGCCTTACCACCCTCAGACGAGCTACCATCTGCCACTGATGAAGCGTCACCACCATCTGTCGAGGATCCTTCTGTTGAAGAGACCGAATCACCAGATCAAGACAACGCTGAAGTCGCCGCAGGTGAAACGCCCACTGGGCAGCCTTTGGAGGAGCCAGTTCTCGAAGACACTACTGTCGAGGCTGAGCCCGCTGAGCCAGCACCGGGCGAATCAGCTCCCGCAGAAGAGGCAGCTCCAGCCGAACCTGCTTCCGACGAGACCATCTTAACTGAGTCTCCGCCAGAGGAGGCTGTCGCCGAGGAACCTACCCCAGAAGAAGCCTCACCTGAAGAGCCTGTAGCTACAGGAGAAGAATCGGCCGTGGAGGAGCCGACTCTTGAGGAGGCTCCTCCATCCGAGACTACTCCCGAGACAACAGCAGAGCCTGAGACTATCGAAGCTAGCCCTGAAGAAGCTGCTGCACTTGGGGACGCCTCTCCCGAAGAGCCAGAGCAAGTCGAAGATGCATCAATAGAGATCCATGTTGCTCCTGAAGAGGTTCCAGCAGATGCAGCGCCTGAGGAGTCAGCGGCAGAGGAAGCTCAACCAGAAGAGCCAGACCAAACGCCAGAGACTCCAGCCGACTCTGCCCCCGAAGAGGCAATCTCGGAGGAGCCCACCGCTGAACCCGCCGATGAACCCGCCACTGAGCCTGCACCAGAAGTCGTATCCGAAGAGCCCGTCGTGGAGGATGCCCCTCCTGAAGATTCGACACCTGAGCCCGCACTAGCAGAGCCTGCCCCCGAGGAGGAGACTCCTGATGAAGCTGTTCCAGAAACCACACCAGAAAACTCCGCAGCAGCCGAGATACCTCCTGAGGACGCCGTTTCTGAGGAAGCCGGCTCTGAAGAGGTCGCCCCCGAAAAGCCTGCCCTCGAAGAGCCTGCCTCCGAAGTAGCTGCCCCTGAAAACGTCATTGCCGAGGCCGAAGAAACCGCTCCAGAGTCTACTCCTGAGGAGCTTGCCCCTGAAGAGCCTACTCCTGAAGCTCCTCTTGATGAGGTTGTCTCTGAAGAAGTCGCCTCTGATGAAGCTGTGCCCGAAGAGTCTGCTCCCGAAGAGTCTGCTCCCGAAGAGCCTGCTCCTGAGGCCGCCCATGCCGCGCCTATAGAGGCCGAGGACGCACCTGAAGACACACCGGCAGCCTCCGAAGAACTCGCCTCAGAAGCTCCTGTCAATCCTGATGACGCTCCTGAAGACGCCCCTGAAGAGGAACCTGCAGAGCCCGACGCAGTTGAAGAAGCATTTCCAGAGGCGGACGCCAATGGGCCTGAAGAAGCAGTACAGGCCCCAGATGACAACGCGGAGCCTGCTGATAGCGATGAGTCAATTGGTCAAGACTCACTCATTGCTGGAGCCGCCGCCGCTGGTGTTGCTGCTGCAGCTGGCTTGGTTGCTGCCAATGCTGTCAAAGACTCAGACGACGATGCTACGGCTAGAGAAGCTCCTAATTCTGCTGCAGCAGACGCAATGTCACGTCGCAGCTCATCAGACAAATTGACGCAGACTTTGGATAATATTTCGGCGCTGGACACAATCACCATGGCGGACCAAAAGAACTCGGATGTGGATGCCATTTTCAGCCCCGTGCAGCGAGACGGATTCTCGGACTGCGGAACGCAAACCGATGGCTCAGTATGGGGCCTCCGGCCCTCGACTCCCGCCGTGGTTCTCCCTGAGTTTTCCATGTCACTGGCCGCCAAAGATAGGGCGAGGGCTCTCAGACGGCAGCGCAAAGTCTCCATCAAGCAAGCGGAAGAACTCATCGCGGCTGCTGTGGTTATCTACGCCACAGCCGAAACTCTTCGTCCACCATTGAGCCCATCATCTCAGAGCAGCTCGCAACTCATCAAGGCAATGCCCAGCTGGGAGAGAATGGACATCAAACCGAAAAAGGCCTTTTTCTGGAGGGTTCTACCAGGCCTTCTTTCCAGACGCAGGAGTACTACCACTACGGGAGCGGATAAAACTAGAAGGTTTGATGCTAACTACTTTACAGAGAAGAAGGAAGCAGAGCGCGAGAGGCACCGACGACGACGCCAGTCTTCGACCCACCATCCTTCATCATTCTCGAGCCGTAGCCGAGGCGAAGACGAGAGGAGAGAACACGAGAGCAGAGAACACGAGAGTAGCAGACGCCACTCGCACACATCACATCACTCAAGTCGACGACACCGAACTGACAGCGAGCGGTCTCTACGATCCGGCGAATCTGTGCCTCGAACTCCGCCAGGTCCTCCAAAGAGACAAGACAGCGGTTTCTCCGAAAGCCCCCAAACTCATTCTCAGCACCGTCATCGTAGCGAACGTAGCGAGCGGAGTGCGCGAAGCGAACACAGCGAAAGGACCGAGAGAACTGAGAGAAGTGAGAGAAGCCACCGCCACCGCAGCGAGCGTACGCCTGAAGAGCAGGCTGCCCATGATCGACGCAAAGAGGAGAAACGACTCCGAGACAAAGAGCGCGAACGCGATCCCGAACGTGACAGACCAAAAGATAGGCACCGCGAGAGAGAGCGCGAGTTCGCGCTCCAACGTGAGATTGACCGCGAGAATGAGGAGAAAGCGCGTTCGCGTCGCAAGGGCAAGGAGCCCGAGACCATTGCCAAACCCGAGGATACTCCCGAGCGCAGCCATCACCGCTCTCGCCGCCATAGCAACTCAGAGCATCAGCGCCCGCACCGCACCCTCAGCAAGAGAGAATCCATGGAGCCCGCGCCAGAGAAACCCCGGCGATTCTTCAGCGTCAGAGGTGGAGGTACGACTGGACCCAAGGTCCCTCCCCAGGACCACCCGGCGCCAGCCACGCCAAAGGACGACATGCCAATGGATGACAATGCAGGACGACAGGAGTCTACTCCCACACGCGACACTCCCAAGCGATCAAGCACAACGCGGGACAAGCATAGGCACAGAGACAGATCCGAAGGCGGAGGCGGTGCCAAATTGCAAAAGGTTCGCGACGAGGTCGCCGAGGAAGCCCGCAGAGAAGCTCGCAGGACTGCTGAGAAGGCCGAACGGGCTGCCGCAAAAGCAGCTGAAAGGGCTGAAAGGGCCGAAAGGCATGAGAGAACCGAGAGGCCCGAGAGGGCTGAGAGATCTGAGAGATCCGAGAGATCCGAGAGACCTGAGAGGGCTGAGAGGGCTGATACGGCCGACAAGCCGAGATCAAAGCACTCGGACGACTCTCGGCGCCGTCTTCGTGAGGAGGGCAGGAGGAGGGAGAAAGATGACGACAAGGCTAGAGAGAAGGAGAAGGAGAAGTCAAAGGGGATCAAGGGCGTGTTCAAGCGTCTCTTCAACTAAGGACTTGGGATGTGTGTGTAATGATTCTACGACGATGAGTGTACGCGGACCATGTTTTTCACGGGAACGGTATTAGACTGCCATGCTTTTTGAGATTTTTAGTACTATTTGGGAGGCGTCTATTGAGAATGGCTGGATGGTTTTGTTTGATGATCTTCACGATGGATTCCATTCTTGCTAATGGCTAATCGCTTCATGATTAATGTACTTGAGAACTGAATGTCAAATGTCTGATGAGTCTTCTTCAATTGACGCTGGAAAAGATGCAATATCTTTCAAATGTGCTTGGGACGGACAGCGAGAAGTTCTATGAAAATCGTCCTATCGTGAGATCCGCCCGTTGGGCTTTCTGCGTGATATTTCCGGGTTGAGTCCGTTGGCGCGCAAACGGGATGTGGGTTTCACCGTTCTCGTGAGTTTTCCTTCGTAGCCTGGGCAAAATGTCTCGGCCGAGTGAGGTCGCGATGTCCCGTCTCCCGCGAGGAAACGTTCTCTGGTGTTAGCATCTAACCCAAGAGGTAGACTTTCAATGCAACAGAGGTGATTGAAACTATTGAACCTTGTTGAGATGACTATCTAGATAGTTTTGACTCAATGTCATCGTGGTTCTCTCGGTCTTTACACGGCGGATATAATGCCTAGTAGTCAGGGGCTGATAGGCTCGGGATCCGGATTGTGGGTTTCCGCCCTGCGTTCCTAGTGTGTCCTTCACACCTAGTGTAAAACGTTATTACTTTATCTTTTCTCTTCAACCTCGAGCAATCCTTTTTGCGTGCGAAACTCTTCTGAACCTCTTGTAGCTACTGCAGTCTACTCCTCACCGCGATTCCCAGCCTCATCTTCTCTGCCCTCTGCAATCTACCTTCTTGGCTAAGATACTCCGTGAACTCCCAAAAACACAGACCCGAACACGGAGGGCGCGCCTCCCGGATTGTGGGGCCCAATCCCTCCCCGCCCGAACCCCCCCGCCAGCCCGAACGGCCCGCTAGCGGCACTCTTTTCCACTCCCCCTTGCCAGGTGCCTGCCTCTCCCCCCCTTCCTTAGTCCTAGTAGTTCCTGACGATCTTTCCTCCAAAAAAACAAGACCAACAATAGCAAGAAAGCAAAATCAAGAAAACAAAATCTAGTGACGAAGATGTTTAGTCCATTTGAAGAAGGTCTGTTGGCTAAAAGTACTTGATTGGAACTTACCTTCGTTGTGTCTGCACGCACCAGCCACCCCAGTCATGTGACACGGGAGTGCTTACCTTACCTTATGTTTCTCAACCCCGGGGAAGGGCGGTCCACACACGTCCCGGAATGTGGGGTTTCTTAGCAAGACGACGTCCGTTGACCGCCGGTTCAAGCCCTCAAGGTCTACCTCTTTACTGTGTAACCGTACTCTCCTCTCTCTCTCCTCTTCCTCGCTCTCGTTTTGCTCTGCGCCTGTTGCTTGTATTTCAGGCGGTAGGGACGGTTGGAGTTAAGCGCCTGTCACCATACCGGCTGTGTATGCTCGATGCGTCTCTAAGGCGCGCAGAGCGCTTTGGGGTGAGAATTGTGAGACAATAGATAGATAGATGGAGTGTATTTACACGCCTGCGTCAGCTGTAACAAGGTTACAGGGCAATATGTGTGTGTGCCATGTTGGGCCTTACTGCCTCGGTGATCAACGAAAGATGCATCTCGGTTCGCAGAGTTGCCAAGATCTCGTAAATCCTAGGCAATGGAAACCCTCAAAAGCCGATAAACGCTTGCAATAAAGCTTCAAGAGTCAACTCTGACTGGTCCCTCGTTTACGGATGATTCGGTTGTTATCGTTGGGTCTCGTGTCTCGTTCAGCTCATTTAAACTACATACGCGTCCACCCCCGCCTCGGTTGCTGCCGCCAGCGCCGACCAAAAAAATGCTTGTTTTTCTATCCAAGGGTTCTGAATACAAGGCTATTGGATGAAGAGAGTCTATCTTTACCCGGCATGGATGATGAAGTTGTGCCACAAGCCCAATGTTCAAGGCGTCAAGCGAAGCATGGGTTGTTGTATGGGTTTCTGTTAGTCTTGTTTGTCGGCTACCAGGCTGCAGCCTTGCACTGGGGACGGACTGTGAGAGGTACGGATAGTCATGCGGACACAGAAAACCGATAATTTGGTGCTTCTGCATGTTGCATGTGCATTACTTCTCTGTCCACCCCAGTTTGACACCGGAGAAGCATTACCTATTCAGGCCCCGTTGCCTATCTGCGGACTGCTTGGAAGTTTTTCTGCCCTCTCGAGTCTGTTCACATTTCGAAGTGGAGTATCCTGCGAGTATTTATGCGAGAATCATGGTAATCTGGCAGATAGGCAGACAGAACCGAGGCGTGTCAACGGGGGTTTCGATTTCCAATTTCCAAAGAGCTGGAAGTCGTCAGGTTTTCTGCCCAAGGCTCCGGACGTCGTTGTCGGAAGCCCTTGCTCGACATATCCCCATTGGACCGCTTGAAACGATTTTCGCAGCTTGTCATCGTGTAAGGCGCAATCTTTATCAGACTTCCTACCCTTGCTTTGTGGGTGTAATATATCCAGCCAAGCTGCAGGCATACCTGCAGACACTGCCGCGATGAACCGAACCAGACGTGGGCTCCCTTGTTCCTGTACTATATTGTTAACGCCGTCGTCTGCAGTCTGTAAGCTGACGCCCCTCAAGAGTCTGCAGCGGAAACTTGTAACCCCTTCTCGGCTTTCATCTGCTTTCATTTGACCATTGTTTTGGAATCAGGCCTGTCAGATATCATGTTCATGTCTGTCTAGACTTACAGGGCAAGGGACAACAAACGGTGTGGCGTACAGAGACTGATAGGGGTATCTACTCGGCCCGCTTAGCCTTAGATGAAGAGCCACGCCCCGAAAACGCGTACGTCCAGATCTTGTTCTGACGCCTGCATGTCTCCGCAAGGGAGACGAACGTGAGGGGTGTAGGGAAAGGGTGGTGTAAGACGACACCGCCCCGAATCTTTCAGCCTTTGGTGATCGGCCATGGCGATGCCGAGTTTGAGCAACCCTTAGCTCAAGATGCATCATATCACCTGCCAAGAGTTCTTGCGGGCGGTCCCGCCATCCCGTGAGGCCGAGGGCGCCGTGTAAGTCTATTCCTTTCGGCCTGGTCCGGATCATCGTCAGCACCCCTCTTGCCGCCCTTTTCAGCTGCTCCCCACCCTCGAAAAGTGTATCGAATATCGAGCCTCGCCCTGGACGTATGGACGCGTGTACACACCGGATAGTCAACCTTGTTTGGGAGCAGTAGCCAGTATGTTGCTATCGTGAGTAACTATCAGCTGTCAGTTTCCGGTGTGAGTTCCTGCGTCTCTTGGCAAAAAAAAAAGGTTGTCTGCATGGCGGGAACCGCGGATGAAAATGGAGGGGCCCTCCAGAGACTCGCCTGTCCAGCTTTGACAACCGACGATAGCGGGGCAAGACCGAAGTGCCATTCAAGCACCATAGCAAGAGACGAGGCCGGTGGCAAATTGAAGGTTGCAGTCGATACTTCAGATGCGCGTTTTTGATTTTCGAGTTTTGGAGTTTCTGAACGGTTGTGTAATTCGGCGTAGCCGCCTGATCCTTGAGTCAGCTGCTAGCGCAAGGCCTCGCTCCCTCTCTAGTCTTAACGGCGGCATATCGGAGAAGTGGCTAAATCCGTCTTCATGATATTTAATGCGATTTTTTCTAGCGTCATCGTGTTACAATCCCTGTCGCTCATTTCGATGCAAAGCAGAAGGCTCAAATGGAGAAGCCGTCAGCTTGACTAGGTAGCTCGCGCTATCACGAGCATCTCGCAACTCTCGTAAACGCAGTTGTCTAACTCCCAGGCCGCTTACCAAGGGCAAAAAAGTGAAAATTGTCGGTTTTCAGCTTCGTATTTGACTCATGCGGCTCGTGCGGATGCTCCCGCAAAGTCAAAGTTAGAAAAAAAGCATAGAGCAAGCGGGGTGCATTCGTGCCAAGACCGCGGAGTACGGGGCGGGATGTCTCGGTGAACGATCATGGCCCGAGGCCGAGAATATACAAAGTCAACGGTTATGGCCGGAACACACGGACCAAGACTGTTAGTAGCCGAAGACCGTGATGAGAGCGTACGGCAAATTTGTTTGTGGACCTGACTATTCTGTGATAGTGACTGCTTCGCATTAGGATCTTGTGATGGAGAAACCCAAGAGGTTGCTTAGATGGTCTGCTGCAGGTGTACGGGTTGCGGGCGAGTCAGGAGTCAGGAGCATAGGATTCGATCCAGGGGGAACGGCGGTGAAAGCAAGTGATCGTATGCATTGCGTCTGGGCCGTATTCGCCGAGTCCTACCACAAAGACAGCGCTTCTTCGAGGTAGCAGACGCTGGGATGTGATTTGGTTCGGCAGATGAAATATTGGCTGATAAAGTCGCTGAGCTCTACAGATGTCTGAATCATTTGCTTTTCCCACTCGAGCAAAGCAAGCCAACTGCTAAGTGGCCGGCATGTGACCTATACTTCCAGGTTAGAATATGTATACTATCATATCAGTGGATCAACTGTGTGAATGTTCGGCATGAACCTCGTAGAGGCGGCAGGCAAGCCACAGAGTCTAAGGATTAAGCATATACACTGTTGCTTTTTGGGAGCTCGCAATCCCCCCATGAAGGGATTTCGGGAGCAACCGATGAAGGACATACCAACGAACGGCGGGCGGATGACCCGTCGAGCTGAACTCTGGAAGAAGGTTATCTCGAAGGGGGGTATAGAGGGGCAGAGGCGAAATTTGATGCGAGCGACTTCGGCAGCACCGTGATGGAGAGGTTGGAGATGCCAAGACTTTATTGCCTATTCCGGCCATGGGAGACGAACAAAAATGGAGATACGGCGATGGCGGCGAATCTCCGGATGACGGTACGGTGTTATCCACGAGATGATGTTACTTGGATGGTGACATGTTCTTGCTCTTCTGACTCCTGAGGTGGTTGAAGATGATGGACGATGGCTGGGTCAAGGAAGATAGCAGAGTGTCGTTCCGTCGATGAGGTGAAGTTTGCTGCAAGCGGCGATGTCGTCGTTACACTGGGCAACCCGCGGATTGAATCCCGCGAGAATGGAGTATGGAGCGGACGAGGTTTGGGCTGGGAGGAAGTTGCAGTCCGTGGTTGTGGTGGTGGTGGTGGTGGTCGTTGTCGTCGTCGTCAAAATGGCGGCTCAGGGTAGCCCCTGGCGTCGGTGAGCTAAGACATTCCGGTAGTAGTGCCATGCAATGCGGGAACCGGCATTTGTCTAGCGCTGTGCACTGTCCGCTAACGCACCCTTGCGGGGGGCCACGCTGGTGGGTTCTAAAAGAGGTAGCATCCAGAGATGAGGCTTGCGCGGCCAAGCAGGGGTGAAGGGGAGGCAGGACAGACTCAGACTTGGGAACTTGGGATCTTGGGTAGAGGAAAAGAAGGGGTGAAGTCTGAAGGGGTGGATTATTGGACGACGGGGGAAGTCTCGGAGGCGAGGTTCTTGTTGCCATTGGCACTTTGCGATGTTTTCTGCCATTGCCCACAGTTCTTCCTTCTCCTCTCCTCCATCCTCCATGATACTACACATCGATACTCCATCTTCAACCACCTATCATTACCCCCTGCTTCAGATGCATGTACCCACAAACCCAACAGCAAACATCGCCGGCCGACATCTTTGACAGGCACATGGGCCTTCCCTCGTGCTCTCGTGCCCTGTCAACGCCGCCAAAACCCACCACCTCCTTGCTCGACAGGACACCAAGACAAGGGTGTATAGCTATCGGAAGACTTCTCCATTCTTGCTTCCCCTTCTTACTTGCATATTGAATCCTGCCAACCTAGACGAGGCTAGCATCTCACCTGCGTCAGGTGTCTCTCCCTCCGTCTCTCCCTCTCTCTTTCGCTATCTCCATACCTATCTCTCCATCACCAACGGCCAGCCGCCCCTCATCTGTCTTGAGTCTACCTAACCCCCCCTGCTCTATGCGTGCCTACTGACCATCGATACTCCCCTGGCCCCCCGCAGGGAGCCAGGGACTACGTACGCAATCGCAGTCCGATGGTGCTTCCCGCAAATGGCGCCTGAGCCCGCTACGGAGACTTGACGGGAGCTTCTTCTAATCAAGCATACTTTGCGCGCTTGCAAGATGATAACGAGATTGAACTCAGAGTCTAATTACCAAGAGGAAAAGAGTCGTGCTGATCCGGCACACGAGAAGCGCTCGCTCTCGGTTCTGAGTTGCCATTTCAGCCGTGGAAGCTGCTTGGTGGTTGATTTTACGCACTCCGTAGTTCGCAACAGCCCCTCCCTCGTCATCGATAATCGAGATCCTGCGGGTGATCCTACATTCGGAACCAGGTCTTGGTCTTGCCGTCCCATGTTCGCACTTCGTCAACTCTTGGGTCTCTCTTCTCGTCTTTCGTCCCGAATCTTGACGATGTGTTTCCCCTGATCAGCCAACGTTCGCCACTGTCAATGGCATTTAACCCCACGATAGGGGCTTCCAACGCCGTGAACGCCACTCAACACACGTGGGACTGGGAAAAAAACATGCGGCGTTACTGTTGCACTGAGTCCGAGACTTCCCAGCAAGCGTGTCTCAAAGACAGCTTTGCGCGGGGGAACCAGACGAGCTGCAGCTAGGACGGTACGACCTGCAAACATCAAACAATTTCCACCGCCGTTGGAGGCTTGACGTTGCTTTTCCGAGTCAGAGGCTCAACATAGTTACAAACGACATCGGTCACCGAATCTCTATTGTTTTACGATTATTTGCCTTCTCCGTGTGTTCCAGCAAGGCTGCAACCTCGTTAGGGTATACAGTACACTCCATTCAGAAGTCTTTGTCTTGGCCACTGGGAGACTAGCCGTGTTGGCTTGATTCTTCTCCATATCACCCTGACCCCCCACCCCACACTTTGCTTCCCTTGTCCCTTTTTGACGCGCCCATGCCATATCGAACGGTTTTCGTTTTGACGCCGTTGCATTGGATGACGTTGACCGCGGCCACAATGGGGCCCCGGCGGCTTAAAGGATGGGATACCCTTGCCAAGACGCGTCTGCTCGTCCGCCCATACGCAGCGGAGCAACGCCACAGATTCGGACGTCGAACGGTTCAACAGCAATTTTTGTGCTCTTCTGCTATATCCCGTCTTATCATACTACTGGCCCGATCAGAGCTTTCTCACCGTCAATGTTTCCGTCCAGCCTATTACGCTAACCGCCAAAGGATTACCCACGTAATGCTTGGCTTTCGGCTCTATCTTATTGGGTAGCCAAGATAGGAATATCCCCCTTCTCCCTCATCTAGTTTGGGCACGATGAGGCTCCTAAAGTCTAGGAGTTTTAGTGGTGAGGATCCTTTTAGTCAAAACCATGATGCCGAATTAGGCATGGTTCATCTCAAGGACATTTCTCCGGTCCTGATCGCCGTTGAACAACACAACCCACGGACATGGAAGACGTCAATGTCATTCCATGTTTCGTTCGTTTCGTTCGGAGTAATCCATTGCAGAAGAAACAACGGCGCACGGGGTTCGGGCCTGATGGCACTCTGTATCCGTACCCGCACCCGCGGGGCTAATGCAGCCACACAAGCACGGTTTCGATAGTCCTGCCTGTCTGCTGTAGCCTGTACGGGCTACAGATACGCGTCAGCCAGTTTCGAGCACTTGTTTCGATGGGGAAAGAAGACGCTGACTACAGAGAGAGTCGTAGGCGAACCTCATTCTGAATCGACTAAGCATGTGGACGGACTTGGCGATCAACGACGAATCTCCATCTTGTTCCCACCCTCACCGGTGTCTTACTTGCTTAGCCGCCTGAACTTCAGACGAGGGCATGACGGGCCAAGAATATGGAGACCTCTTTTGCCCTGCCTCCTTTGACAAAGCTGCAAATTTCAACGCACATATTCACCGGAATGGCGCCTATATGCAGGCCTACATGATCCATGTAGAACATCCATATCGAACTGGGCTCAGGGGAGGAAGGGGGGGGGGGGTTCGTCAAAGTGGCCCACCGGAATAAGGGAAACAGCACCCGACGATGGTTTTCGGCAGCAGAAAGCGAGAAAGTGAGCGCGGCATGGATCCTTGTGACTGACAGCAGACCCTCCTTTTCTCTCAACGTTGATTTTCGACATGGGTACTGATTCCTCGTATAGGCACAATGTTCGATAGTTGCCAGCCAAGCATGGAGTTCGTCCACCGGAGTCGATGTCACGGCCGAGCGGCCGAGTAACCGACGACACTCCTCATTCACA